CATCTAATCAAATAAAAAATTCTGATTATCCACCTACAAAAAATAAATTCAGAAGAAAATTTTGTGGACAATGTGTATGGAAAGTTAGACTAGACTAATATTTTACAAATGTAGTTATATACCAAAAGAATCACTTGGAATAGTAACCTAGGATTTTTTTAGGCCAACTCACAATCCCCAAAAAAGATTTGTTGAGACCTCTATATTGGTGGAAAAATACGTATTTTTGACAACAAAGTATGAACTTAAATGAATTTTTTGGTCCAAAGGTTTGTATGAAGTCTATAATACTAGGCATCTACAAAAAGCTTCATATAACAGTATTTTTAGATGGAAACACATGAAGATGAGTCATATATTGATTAATTTTAAGGTCACATTATAAAAATGACACAAGGTGATTTGTAATCTACTTCACAGAGCCTCTCATTGGTGAGACATGCTTTTAGTGTGTAAATTATAATATTTAAAAAAATGAAAAAAAAATCTCAAGAAAGTTCAAGTGAGATTCTGGTATATATCAAAAAGGAAATGTATACATGACCATGGTTTCACTAGCTTATAACTTCATGTTAATGTAATTCATGGGTATAAAGTTATAACTAAAATAGTCAGCACTATATTTCAATTGTGAAGGAGATTAAATAAATTTGATTTGGAAACAATGTAAAAAGGTGTGATTAAACAATGTAAATTGGAAACAATGCAATAAAAGTTATGACATCAAGGCCCTCATACTTGTGAGTGTCTTGTACTATTGGAAAACTTAATGGAAGATAAGATGGGAGAGAGGGTGTAGGCACGAGCCAAGGATGAGAAGAGTTTATCACATTTACATGGTGACGAGATAATCTACTTTTCAGTAGCTTTTTACATGAACATCACAAGGGTTTTATTATTTTATTTATAGCACTCAATATAGACCAGAAATCATTTCCCTTAAAAGATATTATGAATTCCAAATAACTTCCATTCTTCTTTATTTGACATTAACATTAAAAATAAGACAATTAAAAAGTTCAATTTTATGGATATTCGATCCTAACCACCAACAAATGAGTAGGAAATAGATAAGTCCCTTGTATTTAATTGGAATTCTTAGTCCCTAAAAACTATCAAAGTAATATTAATTCACGTTTTTAATTAATCACAGTTAGCATCTTAATTGAGGTGAAAAAGGCCTTATCACCCTTAAACACTGACAAATGGGTAGGAAATTGAGAAGACCCTTTTTTTTGTTAATTGGACGTCTAAGTCGCTAAAATAAATTGAATTACTATTAGTTCACCATTGTACTTAATCACAACAATAAAAATAATTATGTCAATAAGACTGAATATCCCTAGAATAATCCTCTTTCTCTCTCTCCTTTCTTGCTCTTAGTAACTCCATTTTCTTGTTTCCAACTGCTGATGGTTTAGACGTGCCAGTTCTTTTTTGATATTTGCAGTTTAACAAGGCCGAGTGTGTCCACAGAGGAAGAATCCTTTCTCTTTCTCCCTATCTCTGACTGTTGGAATCGTGGAGAATAATCTAACGGACTCCAAATGGATGAAATGTGGGAAGCACGTGTATCTAATGGGTTCTCCGACGGGTAGAGTTGTAGAGAATAATCTAATTGGAGGATTCTCCAAACCATATACATCTGGCATGTTCCTTCTATTCTTACCTCTCTCCCTTTCTATCTATCGCGGGTGTGTTGACACTGTTCTCCGCTGCAATATTTTGAACGAAGACGCTCGTCCCCAACACCAACTCCATCAAGTCAATCATCCTCATTTCCATCTCCACCCTGGGATTAGTGAGCAGAGGGAGGCTGTCAAAGAGGGGGCCGTTGGTTGTTTCTCCCTTCACACGCCGCCAGCCCTTGTCGGTTGTAAATTGAGCTTAGCACTAATTCACCTTGCCAGCAATAATACAACTCTTCCCCAGTAAATAAATATTGGCTGCGCATCTTCACTGTATGGAGCCATTAGTACATAAATAGGGCTTTGAGAGTCTTGTCTTTCTTCTTTGTCTTCTTTGCTCAAATTAGACTGATGAAGAGAATAAAAATAACACAATGATTCTAAGACCTCGAAGTATGACTTACGAACAAACACGCTTGTAAAAAAATTCCCTTTTTGGAGAGTTAAAAATAAATAATATGATTCCGCAAACAGCCCACAGCACTGATGAGAATAATTCCCTTTTATCAACGTGAAATTATTAAGTTGTTGACCCGTCGCTAATGACCTCTCCTACATATTTTTGCCAATATTTCCTTCTGATGACGTAGTTCCCACGCTATCTTCGCTGAATCAGTGTCGTCTTTGATCAACAGAATGCATGTTTTCGTTCGAAGAGGGGAAAGCACGGTGGCCCGTCTTTATTCAGCGGTCTGTAAAAAGAAACTCCACTCATACAAGCATGAGTGTGTTTGTTCGGTCAGACCTGGCTACATTTATTCTCCAGAGTGTCAAGGCTCTGAGGAAGAGGTGAAACGGAGGGAAGATGGGAGCCACCATGCCGCTACTGACATCTGCAACAGCTGAAACCGCACGGATGAAGGAGATGGTCGTCCCACGTCCTAGAAAGGTTCAGCTCTTAGTAGATGCGGGGGCTCCTGCGAGGGGAGAACATCATCATCTGGTCTTCCCTGTTGCACTTGAGGTCCTGCGATTGGCTCTCCTGGATCCTGAAGGCGTTGGTGATCACCCCGATTGGCATCCCCTTGAACACAGAGGCGTGACCAACGATGGGGCTCCTCATTGGGACAGGGGAAGTCTTGAAGGCCACCCATTCGACGCCGTTGTCGCCGACCTTGTGCACGGAGGCGAAGTACTGAGGAATGACAAAGACGTCGCCCATCTTCACGTTCTCGTCGAAGAGGGTCCTCCCCTCGTTGGAGACGATCTGTGTTCTTCCCTCCCCGCGGGTGATGTAGACAACGGTGTGGGCGTTGATCGTCCAGTGAGGTCCGAAGAGGACGTTCTGCGAGAAATAGGATCGATCAACTACTCACGGTGAAGAGGAGGCGGCGGAGAAGGAAGAAGAAGAAGAAGAAGGAAGGAGCAGGGGGACAACGGAGAAGGACCCTGAAAACCGTAAGATGAGATTACCGATTTCAGGTTGCCTCTCTCGGCGCTCATGCCGATGTAACGGAGAATGGGGAGCTTGTGCATGTTGACAGAGTAAAGGCGGCCCGCCTGCCTCGAGTAGACGTCGGCCTCCCTCGGGTTGTCGAGGTATTGGTGGATCCTCATGTTGCAGTATATCTCCTCCATCCCGTTAGGGTTGGGTCCGTCGCGGCTCCACCTCTCGCGCTTCTCCTCCATAGCAGTGGGCCTGATCATCCTCAACCCTCCCTTGGGGACCTTCACGATGATCCCCCTCTCGTCCTCCCTCTGCATTTTCTTTGCTAGATCCACTGGGATGCCGAAGGCGTCGGCTATCATGTTGGCGTCGAAGGCTTGGATTATGTTGGCCATGCGAGATATTTCTCGTCCTTTCTCACACTCCTCGGACCCCGATCCTCTCGGTCGCCCGCCGGCGAGGAAGAACGACTGCAGCCATGAAAGAAGACGTCCCTGGTGTCAGTTTATCGGTCACATTTATCACTCTCTTGGCTGAGAACTCGACCTTACCCTTTCAGTCTGGTCGAGCTGGTTAGCCTGATTTCGGAGGTCGGTGACGGAGAAGACGACGAGCTCCTCGTTGCCGTCATTATAGCACCAGTGAACGGCACCGGGGGGGATGGCCACGACATCACCCTGCTGAATCCTGTGGATCTTCTGATGCTGATCCTTCTGGCTCTCCTTCTCTGACTCTTCCTCTCGCCTGGAGTAGGCTCCCCCCGCGGAGTGGAAGGTCTCGGGGCAACCCGGGTAGGAAATCCCCATGAGACCTTGGCCTGCCGTTACAACCATTTGCATCGGGTTTAGTTAAATGACCCGGCTAAGAAATACCACGAGCCTAGTACAGTGGATAATCCGAGGTTACCTTTCTGGATGTAGACCAGGCGAGGCGAGGGAGAGTAATTGGGCAGAGTCATCGACTCCGACTGGATGGTGTCGCGCATGGCGGAGACGCCGGCGCACTGGAACTGGTCTTCGTTCTCGTCCCACAGCTCCGTTATGCCACCCTCGGACTTGAAACTGCAACACGGGCGAGTGGTAGATATGTGCTGCATGCGGCACTGCCGCGCGTCGCTCCTGCGCTGCTCCGAGGTACCGTATCCCACCGCTGTGTCCGCGGCGATCAACGCAGCGAGGAAGAGATGTAGGAGGAATGGAGAACACCTAGCCATGGCGCCGGAAAGCGAGAGAGAGTGGGAAGAAAGGGCGACGGTCTCCGTAGGGAGGGAGGAGGGGGTGTCTTTATAGCCTTAAGATGTGATGGGCTGGTGGCAAGTGGCGGCTGCATGGCCTGCGGGTCGCTACGCAGCATCCATGTAAGAGCGATCTCCACAAGGATTCCCCGACAGGTGTAGAGCTCCCACAGTACCCCGGCTGATGGAGTTGGAAGAATCTTTAGCTAGTTTAGAAATTAATGAACTATGACCTTCGATGGAGCATGAGGCAATAATTAACCGGCGCATCGTATTGACGTTCTTACTGAGCCAGGAAGTGGACTGCCTCGTAGCTAAGGGCAGCTTCTAATATCCATGTCCGAGGCTGACGGCCTTTTTCTTTTAGGCTAGGAATGGCGACACCTGTTGGAATGCAAGGGAATTTCTAGTGTTAGAGCGGATGCTGTACAGTGAACCTAGACGCCACGAGACGTCTGATCTCCCCGACACGTCATCCGTTTGCCCCACCTAGTATTTTACGCGGCGCCACGACAACTTAAAGAGGCCACGATGAAGGGCTGAACGGGAGAGGAGAAAAGGCCTCGCTAACCGTCTCCAACAAGTGCTTGTTTACTCTCCCTTTTCTCCCGCTATAAATGGCGACATCTATCTCGTCCCCTGCATCTTGATCCGAAGAAAGCTTTGTTCGCTTCTTAGATAGCCAGCCATGATGACTTACGGTGGGTTCTCCCTGCTCTCCTCCGCTGTCTGCGTGCTACTCCTTTGCCAGGGTTCTCTCGGCCAGCTGCCCTTCGGACAGGGGAGACAACCCCGCCAGCAGGCAGAGAGGAGGAAGTGGCGGCTCGAGAGGCTAGAGGCAGTAGAGCCGTCGAGGAGGGTCTAGGCCGAGGCGGGCATGACCGAGTACTAGGACCAGAACGAGGAGCAGTTCCATTTGGCCGGCGTAGCTCCCTACCGTGTTGGCTTTGCAACCCAGGAATAACCTCAAGTACTTCAAAATCAGAAAGGAAAAAACAAATCGGAAGTAGAATCAAGAATGCTCAATTAAATTCAACAACTGAAAAGTGCAGCACATTTCATCGAACACACAGTCTCTTATTTACATACCCAATAGGAAGAGGAGAGAGGGTGAGTCTAATGGCCGCTGGATGAGCTGACACCGTGTCTCACATGGCCACTTATCTACCGTTATAAGTCTCAGTGATGTGCGGCCCAGATTAACCCTACAAAAGAAAATAACGACCTGGAGATAAGAAAAATTCTCAAATCGCTGCTGCCGGAGAGTTCGTCGGACATGGTGAATTTTCACAAAGCTAGAGCAATTTCTTTAATCTCTTCCTTATTCTTGTTCCTCCGTGCAAAGACTTTGAACTCCAAGGCACCGTCACATCTCTTGAAATTTTTGTCTTCCAAGAGCTTTAGTGAGAATATCGGCCAGCTGATCCTCTGTATTGATGTAGAGAATTTCGATCTTCTTATCTTCAAAACACTAACGAATGAAATAGTATCGAGTGTCAATGTGCTTCTTTCGATTATGATAGACTGGATTCTTGCTCAATGTAATGGCCGATTGATTATCCACCATCACTTTGACTGTCTTCGTCTTCTCTTCTTTCATTTTGCTGACCAAGTGGTTCATTCACATACCTTGGTAAGTTGTCGCCGTGACTGCAATATACTCAGCTTCACACGAGGATAAGGCAACAATGTTTTACTTATGTGATGACCAACTGATGGTCATCCTTGTAAGAAAATAAATATGACCAGAGGTGTTATTCTGATCATTTGTGACTCTTGTAAAATTGTTATCACTGAACCCAATTAGTTCAAAATTTAAACCACCTTTCATATAGACGAGCCCATAGTCGATTGTATCTTTCACATATCTCAGAATTTACTTGACCCCACTAAGATGATCTGAAGTGGGATTCACCGTGAATTTACTTAAAACTCCACTGAGTAAAGCAAATCTGGTCTTGTGTGTGTCAAGTATCTCAGACTTCCAATGAGGCTTCTGAATTTCGCGGAATTCACCCTTGTGCCTACTTTCTTTTGGGTGAATTTTCCTCGAGCTTTAAGCAGTGTGAAAATAATATTAATGTCTCCCATCTTTGCATGCTTTAAAATCTTTAAAGCATAAGTTTTCTGAGATAAGAAAATAAAGTCTTCATCTTGTTTGACCTCGAGTCTCAGATAAGAGCTCAATGATCCAGGATTAGTCATTTCAAATTTCTTTTTTCATCCTTGACTTGAAATCTTCAATACATTTGGGACTAGACCCTATAATGATTAAGTCGTCAACATAAACTCTGACAATTAGGACTTCATTACCTGATCTCTTGAGATAAAGAGCTTGTTCATGATTGCTCTAGTCAAATTCAAGAGAGACCAGACACTCATAGAGCTTGAAGTACCAAGCTCTTGGAGCTTACTTTAAGCCATACAAAGTCTTCTTCAATTATAGGACAGAGCCTGCTCTACCCTCCATAATGAACCCATTCGGCTGCTTCACATAAATCACCTCTTCAATCTCTTCATTCAAGAAGGCGGACTTGACATCAAAATGATGAATTACCATCCTTTTAGAGACGCTAAAGTAATTAGAGCACTTATAGATTCAAAATGAAACATTGGGGCAAATAATTCTTCATAATCAATCTCTTGCCTCTATGACCTTTCACAACAAGTCGAGCCTTGTGTCTAATGCTCTCTCCTTGTGAATTTTGCTTCACTTTGAATATCCACTTTAGCCCAATTGACTTGTAAATTGGTTGGAGGTGGCACAAGCTCCTATGTTTGACTTTGGTCAATGGCCAACATCTCTTCTTTCATGGCTTTCCTCCACGCTTCTTCACGAGAAACTTTAATATAAGAGTATGGTTCTTCACTAATGAACATGCAAGCTTGATCATCAAGTGAAGTTGAGATCATGTCTAAGTACAATTCAGCCATGGACTTGTACTTGTAGTTGACTTTCTTTAGAGTCACTATGAGGGGCTGAATTCACTTCTCGAGGAGTAGAGACCTCTACATCTTCAATGTCAGCATCAGTGTCTTCTTTCATACCTTAATCAGACAGAAAATTAGGTAAGAAGGTATAAGAAGGAGATATTTCACCTTGCTTTGTCCAATCCCACTTGTCATTTTCTTTGAAAAGGACATCTTGATTGATGTTGACCTTGTTAGTTACTAGGTCATAGCATCTGTAGGCCTTGGATCCAATCTCATAGCCAATGAAGACCATGGGTTAACTTCAATCTTTCAACTTGCTTAGAGGTCCTCTAGTACATTTCACATAGACAATTGAACCAAAAACTCACAAGTAGTCAATGTGGGGCTTTCTTCTAGTCCACATCTCATAGGGAGTTTGACCCTACAAACTTTTAGTAAAAGACCGATTAGTGATCTAAATAGTAGTACTTACTACTTCTCCCCACAGCTCTCAAGAGAGCTCCTTAGTCTTCAACATGGCTTGGACCATGGACATCATAGTGCGATTCTTCCTCTCCACCACCCCGTTTTGTTGAGATGAGTAAGGTGCAGTCAATTGTGTTTTAATGTTCTGCGAAACACTATAATTAACAAATTCATCAGACATAGATTCTTCTCCTCTGTCTGATTTGAAATTCTTGATCTTCATTCTCTTTTCTATCTCTAATAGAGTCTTGAATCGCTGAAAGGCCTCAAATACATCTAATTTTTATTTCAACATAAGTTGGATGGGATAATTGGCCCACAGATGTCAACAAAGATGAGTTCCAAAGGCTCATATGCTCAAAATGAAGAGGCCTGAGAAAATGGTGTTCGGTGTTGTTTTCCAGCAACACAATTACGGCAGAGATGATTAGGTATACTGATATGTGGAAGTCCATCCACGAGATGCTTGCTGGACATCTCCTTCAAGGAATGAAAATTAATATGCCCAAATTGAGAGTGCCACAGCCAATTCTTAGAAATGTCACTAATATGATGTAAACACTGATCCACCATAGTCAACTTCAATAAATAAAATCTTCCCTCGGATTTGTGCACCTCAGCAAAGAGACAATTATTTTGGTTAAAAATGGTCAACTTACTCCCTTGCATCATCATGCAACAGCCTTCTTCATCCAATCAGCCGAGACTGAGCATGTTGGCCACTAATTGAGGTACAAATAGCACGTTGGGAAGTCAAAGAAGTCCACCATCTTTTTGATTAATGAGAAGATCACCGGGTCCCTGAATTTAAACCCTTGAATTATCTCCAAAATTAACAAATCTAGATATAGTGTCATCTAGATCTTCAAAGAAATTTTGACAATTGGACATATGGTTCATCGCTCCAATATCAAGATACCAGAGATTGGGATCAGAGAGCTCACCCTCAAACCCTTGTAGTAGCAAACCGTCGTGTTCCTCCACAACGGCCATTAGAAAGAGGAGATTTTGCAGCTGGACCAGAAGAATCAGCCACATATGCTTGTTCCTCCTTCCCTTTCTTTGCGCTTCAACACTCGTAAGCAAAATACCCATATTTTTTGCAATTGTAGCACTAAATTTGTAATTTGTCGCAATGTGTCTTTGCATCTTCAGGAGGTGGTTGACGACGTCTGCCTCTTCCCCTACTACAGCCGCGATGTCTGCCTCGTCTGCGAGATGAGGGCTCCTTCTCACTCAGAATTGGGCTTTGCTCAGCACGTGGGCTAGCAATATCTGCTCCTCCTCCCATGACTCATAGTCGTTGAGCCACAGCTCATGGACACTCAAAGAGCCAATGACTTCGTCCAACATCATCTTTGTAAGATCACCGTATTACTCCTAGGATAAGGTGAGTGCGTCAAACTTTGATAGCGTCGCCCTCAAGAAACGGCACACAACATCTTTCTTCCCCAATGTCTCGCCTAAATTGTGAAGCTCGGAAACAATCTTCGTGAATTTTATTGTGAAATCCACCACTGATTCATCTTTCTGCATTATGAGAATTTCAAGAAATGATAGCATCTCCTCTGGGACTATTCTGAAGATTGTCGAAAAGGCAAGACGATCCTTCTTCTTAGGGACATTATCTCCTTCGATTGCCTGCAACAAATCATGTGAGTCCAAGAATACCTCCATCCGCATCGTCGAGACAGAAAGTGCTGGCAACGTAATCTCCGCTCCACGCTTGCTGAAGGTACTCGCGTCATCTCCAAGAATACTTAATTAAATTCAACAACTGAAAAGTGCGGTACATTTCATCAAACACAGTCTCTTATTTACAGAGACCCAATAGGAAGAGGAGAGAGGGTGAGTCTAACGACCGTTGGATGAGCTGACACTGTGTCTCATGTGGCCACTTATCTGCCGTTATAACTCCCGGTGATGTCCGCCCCAGATTAACTTTACAAAAGAAAATAACGACCTGTAGGAAAAATCCCCAAATGGCTGCTGCTGGCGAATTTCCGCAGAGCTGGAGCAATTCCTTCAATTCGCCGGACACCACCATCGAGCCCATGGGACTTGTCCTGCCCTACTACTCCAACGCCCCTCGCCTCGTTTACGTCATCCAAGGCTACTTTCCCTAGTTCACCTTTTAACTTCATTCTCATCAATGCCTCTGGAAATCCTCCCTAAACGAAAGCTTCTTCATCCGCGCAGGACGTGGAATCGGTGGTTTAGTGTACCCAGGTTGCCCCTTTCAACCGTCCCAGTCTCGTGAACAAGGTCGGGAACAGGAATCCCGTGACCGGCACCAGAAGATTCAGCGCTTCCGTGAGGGAGATGTCATCGCCATTCCAGCCGCGTAGCATCATGGAGCTACAACGACGGGGACTCGCCCATCGTCGCGGTCACCGTTGCCGACACTCGTAACTTTGCAAACCAGCTCGACCAAAGGCTGCGAGTAAGTTTTTCGTCAATGAAATCGTAATCTACTCAAGCTTCAGACTCGTGCTTGTAAGGAAATAATGAGATCCGTTGTTTTTTCGTGTGGTTTCCTTGTAGAGGTTCGAGCAGGCCGGGAGCCAGCAACGGCGAGAATCGTACGAGGGCGAGAGTGCAGTAGGGGAGGCCTCCTCCGCAGGTAACGTCTTCCGTGGACTCGACGAAGAGGTCATTGCCGAGGCATTCGGCATCAACAGAGAGACTGCCAGTAAGCTTCAAGGCCTCGATGACCGAAGGGGGAATATAGTACGAGTTGAGGGGGGGCTCCGGCTCGTGAGTCCTGAGAGAGGCTACGAGCAGCAGGAAGAAGAAGAGGAAGAAAAAGAAGAAAGGAGGGACACAAACGGGCTCGAGGAGGCCCTCTGCAACATCAAACACAGAGAGAACATCCGCAAACCGGCCAGCGCCGACGTGTACAGCGAACAGGCCGGAAGGATCACCAGCCTCAACAGCCAGAAACTCTCCATCCTAAGGTTCCTTCGGCTGAGCTTGGAAGGTTGATTCCTCAAGCAGAACTCCCACTACGCGCTCCACTGGAACATCAACGCCCACAGCATTCTCTACGTTACCAGGGGTCGCGCCCGCATGCAGATCTCCGAGAACCAGGGCAGGAAGAGTTTCGACAGCGAGGTGCGGCGGGCCAGATCGTGGTCATCCCGCAGAACTTCGTAGTGACGGCGCAGGCTGGGAACGAGGGGTTCGAGTGGGTGTCCTTCAAGACCGAGGATAACGCCCTGGTCAGTCCGCTGGTGGGGAAGGCGTCCGTCTTCCGCGGCATCCCGGCCAACGTGATCGCCAGCTCCTGCCGTGTGTCGAACGAGGAGACGAAGAGGATCAAGTACGGCAGAGGAGAGGAGTTCCTCGTCTTCCGTCCCCGGGCGCAAACTGGTCGGAGTACCGCCTGAGGCGGTCTTAGATGTGTGACCATAGTGGACTTTATTTCAATAAGGGCGTAGTCGGCTCCCTTTGTTGCCTTGCTGAGAATAAAATAAATAAGGAACGGTGTTTGACAATGGAGTTTACGTGTATATTTAATATCATGGCTATTTTACTCTAAATTAATGTTCTATTACTTCACTGCCGTCCTTTATTGAGACAACTACACTACTCAAATAACATTATAAAATTTTCATTATGATATGCTAAAGCTACTGGATCAGTTGTTTACATCCAACTTTATAAAATTTTACAACAGTTGGTATATGTTTTACTTGCGAAGTCTTTGGAAGTAAACATGCCTCAGATTTAGTCAACATTGGTATTCATGCTGTAGAGTGAGCCTATCATCCATGAAACAAAGTTCATGCATACTTTTAACTACCGATGATTTCACTATAATGTGTTCATTATTGTTTCTTGGCCGCAAGTCAAGTTTATTTGGAAACAAGTTTGCAGTTAGAGATTCATGCTGAGAAAATTTGGGCTGTGATTGAAATTTTTTTCAAAAAATAAAGTCAATAGCTCTTATTGAACAAATATTTGGTGAAAACAGATCTGCAGAAGGGAAGTGCAAAATTCATTTGGAGATGGTTGTGTTTGAAATGGTATAAGAAACGTTAAAGTGGCCTTTGGTTGAAGGATTTGAAACTTTGACTCATACATCCCGTCTCTCTAGTCAAACTAGCGACAGCAAACATGGTTTGAAACTTTTCACCCAACGAATATCAAAATATTTAAATTCAGCGTCTTGTCACTAACAAAGAGTGGGATTAGAAAAGAGAGTTTTAGTTTTTGTGGTATAGGAAAGAAAATGAAGGTAGTAGACTATATGATATTTAAATAAAAGATTTATTTATTTGTTAAGATGTTACATTTCATGTGAAATTTCTTGGGGCTCAAATTCTTCCCAAAGTTAATATCTGTAAATAAAATTATAAATAAATGGATGTAGTTTTTTTTTAGATCAGCAGTACATTGTTAGACAGTAAAACAATGCTTAACTTGAAGTCAACACCATTCCATCAGCAAACATAAAATCTCTGCGAGAAATTTATGAATTCTCACAAACATAGAACTTATACGGTATCAAGATTATAAAGGGAGATAAAGTTTCAAAATAAAAGAAAGAAAATGTTTGATACGCCTCAAATAAAACTAACATGAGAGGTTGAGATTTTCTTATGAACAAGATGTTACTTTTGCAAAAGGGGTATTCAGAGTCAAAACATGATTATATATTTCTTCAACACTTTTTAACTTGTTGCATGGTTTGAAACGTTTAAAATAATATTATCCTTAATAGCCAGATAAATATGAAATATTTATCAACTTGATGTTAAATGGCTTTTACAAGATGAAGTATATAGTAAGGTACCCAAAAAGGCTCAACTTGCATGCAAATTCTGGGAGTACTAGGTCGTGCATCCACCAAGAACATTTCTTCCCTTAAGCGTAAGCGTAAAACTGAAGATAGTGAGGCGTTTCCACTACATAAGAAAAAACTGGAATTAGATCTTGGAAATGATCGAATCCAACTCATCATAAGCTTTTTTTTTTCCTCCTATTCATATGGATCAGAAGCATCCAGCAGTTGGGAAATTTTAAATTATTTTTAAAATTTCAGATTCACTATGCTACTGATGATATTCTTATTTTTCGATTTCATTATAATCTTAGACTTGCTCTGAGGACTAGCCTTGTTCAAATGCAAAGTGTTCCCCGCACAAATAAATCACAATGATATAATCGTGTTTTCTATGGACGATGGAACTCTTGAAATGGATTAAAGAAATTTAAATTTTAAACTCGGAACATTGATATTTCTCACTGATTATTGCCTATCTATAATGTCTTTTGTCAAATTCGTTTATAGATTTTTGTATGATGCACCATTGCATCAGGTAGGCGTGCTAAGTTAATGTTTTTTTACCTGTACGTAATAACCACCTTTAAGATATCGTTTATGTTAGTATACTTTCAATTGCATCAACTTTATATTATTAATCGTTTATGTCAGTATTAACAAGGTCTTAGTATCAAAGTTTCCGAAGTAAAGAAAGTACTCAGAATAACATATTTGCATCATGAAGAAGCGATAAAATCTCATGCAAATCATCCGTCTAAGACGTGATTAAATAATTATTTGAACCTAAATATACCTATAAATTCGACCAGTTTGTTTACTTAAATTTTTGGTCAGGGGTTGTAAGTTATGATGCAGGTTGCTTATGATTTAATATTAGCTAAAAGTTATAGCCGGAGCCACGGAGCCTGCTGATGTTCAGGTTTATTCTACATTATCTCAAAGCACTGTTTTCTGCTAGTCTCTGCTATGATTTGTCTCCTCGAGCCCCTTGGTGGTCCTCCTGTCCTCAGCTTATCTCCGGGCGCGTGAGCTGGACAGTCTCTCCTGCCACGCGAACCCCTTGGTGCTCCTCCATGTGCCCTTCCGGTCATCCTGTTCTTGTGGGTGCCTGGCGGTCTCCCTGTTGGCGCCGTATGCCTCCGCAAATATCTCAACGTCGAGTACCCGAAACACGTTACCGGAGGAGGCCTCCTCACTTGGTATGAGTCTCCGGGTCAACGGCCCCTGGCCAGCTCAGACCTCCTCGAAGTGGCATCAAAGCGAACATATCGTAACTCGTAATCACATTTTCTCAACTGACGTAGACAGGGACCCGGACACCGAATTGCTAATTCTCAGTTCTGGTCGAGATGGTTAGCATCAGCTGTAGTGTTCCAGAGAGCAGTAACAGTGAAGGAGAACGGAGGAGGCGGCGAAAGCAGGGATGACCCATCTGAGAAGCGAATGCATCTTGCTTGGGATGAGAAAGGAGGGGATGCCAGAGGGGTCAGGATGTATGGAATTTGAGAGTGAAAGTGGACGTGGTGAAGCATGGACACATGAAGGAGACAGCTGCAGAGGTCTTGTCCCATTCCTAACTCGGCCCTTCATCGTGGCGTCTGTGATACAGGCGTCATCTAGGCGATACGTAGCCTGTTCGTCGCGGCATCCTTTCACCAAGCCAGCAATTCATCCACCCATCTGACCTCGTGGAGATCGCTCTTACATGGACTGTGTAGAGACCCGGAACCCATGCAGCCGCCACTTGCCACCCAGTTCATCACATCTGAAGGCTATAAATACGCCCCCTCCTCCCTCCCTTTGGAGATCGTCCCCGTTGCATCCCACTCTTTCTCGCCTTCGGGGGCCATGGCCAGGTGTTCTCCATTCCTCCTACCTCTCTTCCTCGCGGCGCTGGTAGCCGCGGACACAGCGGCGGGATACGGTACCTCGGAGCAGCGGAGGAGTGACGCGCGAGAGTGTCGCATGCAGCACATCTCTACCACTCGCCCGTGCTGCAGTTTCAAATCCGAGGGTGGTGTGGTGGAGCTGTGGGACGAGAACGAAGACCAGTTCCAGTGCGCCGGCGTATCCGCCATGCGCGCCACCATCCAGTCCGAGTCGATGACTCTGCCCAATTACTCTCCCTCGCCTCGCCTGGTCTACATCCAGAAAGGTAACCTCGGATTATCCACTGTACTAGGCTCGTGGTATTTCTGACCCGGGTCATTTAACTAAACCCGATGCAAATGGTTGTAACGGCAGGCCAAGGTCTTATGGGAATTTCCTACCCGGGTTGCCCCGAGACCTTCCACTCCGCGGGGGGAGCCTACTCCAGGCGAGAGGAAGAGTCAGAGGAGAGCCAGAAGGACCAGCATCAGAAGATCCACAGGATTCAGCAGGGTGATGTCGTGGCCATCCCCCCCGGTGCCGTTCACTGGTGCTATAATGACGGCAACGAGGAGCTCGTCGTCTTCTCCGTCACCGACCTCCGAAATCAGGCGAACCAGCTCGACCAGACTGAAAGGGTAAGGTCGAGTTCTCAGCCAAGAGAGTGATAAATGTGACCGATAAACTGACACCAGGGACGTCTTCTTTCATGGCTGCAGTCGTTCTTCCTCGCCGGCGGGCGACCGAGAGGATCGGGGTCCGAGGAGTGTGAGAAAGGACGAGAAATATCTCGCATGGCCAACATAATCCAAGCCTTCGACGCCAACATGATAGCCGACGCCTTCGGCATCCCAGTGGATCTAGCAAAGAAAATGCAGAGGGAGGACGAGAGGGGGATCATCGTGAAGGTCCCCAAGGGAGGGTTGAGGATGATCAGGCCCACCGCTATGGAGGAGAAGCGCGAGAGGTGGAGCCGCGACGGACCCAACCCTAACGGGATGGAGGAGATATACTGCAACATGAGGATCCACCAATACCTCGACAACCCGAGGGAGGCCGACGTCTACTCGAGGCAGGCGGGCCGCCTTTACTCTGTCAACATGCACAAGCTCCCCATTCTCCGTTACATCGGCATGAGCGCCGAGAGAGGCAACCTGAAATCGGTAATCTCATCTTACGGTTTTCAGGGTCCTTCTCCGTTGTGCCCCTGCTCCTTCCTTCTTCTTCTTCTTCTTCTTCCTTCTCCGCCGCCTCCTCTTCACCGTGAGTAGTTGATCGATCCTATTTCTCGCAGAACGTCCTCTTCGGACCTCACTGGACGATCAACGCCCACACCGTCGTCTACATCACCCGTGGGGAGGGAAGAACACAGATCGTCTCCAACGAGGGGAGGACCCTCTTCGACGAGAACGTGAAGACCGGCGACGTCTTCGTCATCCCTCAGTACTTCGCCTCCGTGCACAGGGTCGGCGATGGCGGCATCGAGTGGGTGGCCTTCAAGACCTCCCCCGTCCCAATGAGGAGCCCCATCGTCGGCCATACCTCCGTCCTCAAGGGGATGCCGATCGGGGTGCTCAGCAACGCCTTCAGGATCCCGGAGGGCCAGGCACAGGACCTCAAGTGCAAAAGGGAAGACCAGATGATGATTTTCTCTCCTCGCAGAAGCCCCCGCGTCTTCTAAGACCAGAGGCTGTCATCCACTACGTTGGGCGGCCATCTCCGTCTTCCTTGGAAGTCTGGAGAATAAATGTGGCCAGGTCCGGCCAAACAGACGCACTCATGCCTGTATGAGTGCAGCCTCTGTTCTAATAGAGTGCTGAATAAGGATGGGCCCCACCGTGCTTTTCCCCCTCTTCGAGCGTAATGCTCGTGCTCCGTTGACTGAAGACGACGTTGACTTCCAGATAGACTGCCAGACAAAAGATGGACCCCCTCGTGCTTCTTCCTTCTCTGTCGAGCCTCACGGGATTTTAATGACCGACCATCTGGTTGACTCATACAGCAGCTTCGTTGAATTAGGGTGCGGACAGGTGGACAAGGGACCAACGAATCCGCATTATTAGTGCGGCGGGCTTTTGTCCATAAAAAAATGTTTTTTAGGATTATATTGGCGACTAAGTTGACTTTTTGATCCCGGTGTGCGCCGTCACGTAGCTGGGAGATCTCGATACCTTTGTCCGGACGCGTCAGCATGATTTTCTAGAATTATCTAATTTTCTGTGGGCATAATTATTTTAAAAAAAATACGTACAAGTCGTAGTTTTCTTCGGTCTCGTATCTCAGAAGTCAGCCCCCCGCCATTTTCGGTGGGTATTTTCACGGCGTTTTCACGGAAAATGGTAAAAAGGCACGATATCGGGTTCATCCAGTAGGCTGCCGACATGTGGCTGGGCCTATCGCACCTCTGGGCCCGCGTCCACGTCAGTTAAACACAAGCCCTTGTCTGTCTGATAAGTACTGCCCTCTTCACCCCCACGGCTTCTCGATTCTTGTACTGCCGCCGTCGTCCAGCCCCGCATCCATTGTCCGCGAGCTTGAGCTGCGATCTCTTCTTGTTACTGGCCATGGCGCGTGATCCAGTCCGAGTTCTCGTCACCGGCGCCGCAGGTCCGCCGGATCATCTCTCTTCTTCTCGCACTCTTCTGAACTGTTTCTCCGTTCTCTGCGATCTTCACAGTATCTTAGATTTGCGAGAATCCCTTCACGGAGATGCTTCATGTTTGGGATCTATACCAGGATCTGGCGTCCGATCTTGTTTCCTGAAAGATGCTTCTGGTGCTGAAATCGATCGGAATCGTGTTACTGATATTTTTTATTTTCATTCTAGCCCGCGGAATATTTAGGGACAGTTAGGTGCACTGGTTCCCCTCGTGATCCGTGTTATGGATTGGGAAGAAGAGTAGGAAGGGTTTTAGAGAACACCGATGATGCTCGATCTAATGGTTAAACACCGTGTCATTTTTTGATACTGTTCTATCCGCATAAATTGGGCGGAGGGAACGTTTCCCTGGTGCATGTTTGGTAAAACTAGGGCAGATCCATATTTTTCCCTGAAGCTTGAAATTTTGTTAGTTAAGTCGTCCCTGTTTGGCGTGTTCCTACTTCCGCGAAGCGCCGTCTTATTGCGCGGGTGCGGGTGCCGGTGCCCATTATGTTGCATTCAGCAATAGGCCGAATGGAACGGATTCATCGACCTCTGATGCTTAGAATTGACATATCCTGAAGTATATTAGTTATCCCCCCTTTGTCTGCAGCTTTAGGTTATTGACCTGCCATTTTTTTCTTCTGAGCTATCTTATATCGTGAGATCAATCCCTGATTATTATTTATGGAAGAATGGCCATTTCTTCGTGGATTTACCGAATCAGTTTAAGGGCTGATGGATTTTTCCTTAGAGACTGTACCTTATTTGAAAGTGTTCATCTGCTCAACTGGAGAACTGTTCAACTGTGTGTACTCCTTGTGCAAGTCCGATTGGAGGCATTGGCTAACATTCGTGGCAAAAGTCCTAACCATCACAGCTCCAGAAACATTTCCAATCCTCTACCAATTTCAAGAGTGAATAATAGACTGAAAGAAAATCATTTATGAATGATTTAGGTAATCATCTGTCGTGAATGGCACGTGGGTTGCATAATGAACTTATTTGGTCGTGGAATCAGGATTTGGATCGGAAGCGCTTTTCATGCTTGGCTTATTATTTTCTGGGACTGGACCCCGCCGATGTTCATTTGTCTTGGAGTTCGAGTATTGTGTGCGTGGAAGATAACATGGTTTCTAATACTATTTCTTGCTTAAAAAAAAGTTCATTTAATACAAAACAAGGTTTCTTCCGACATTCCCACACAACAATGCTTAGTTTTTTTGACGCTTTTTGGTCACAGAAGCTGAAATGTTGGTAATTTTTTTCTGTCAAATGATTCTGAACCTTGGTCATTGGTACGAGGTATTCAGTCAGCAAACCTTCCTTCTTTTTTTTCTTTCCATAATGCGGATGTTTAGTTATTTTGGTGTCTGAAGAATATGTTTTCAAAATCAACGCAGTAGTATAATGGATAAAAACTAAGAATAATACTGTCACTTTGAACAGGGCAGGTTTATGTAATTATCTTTAGCTCTCGAGTAAAAGTTTGATTGACGTCTATGTATTTATCAAGTTTCAATTTGTCAACATCTTGGTTACTTTTCAAGGTCATGACTTTGTCTATGTTCATCGCAGGGCAAATCGGATATGCTCTCGTGCCTATGATCGCCAGGGGAGTGATGCTGGGACCTGACCAGCCTGTCATTTTGCACATGCTTGATATCCCACCTGCAGCTGAAGCTCTGAACGGAGTGAAAATGGAGCTGGTTGATGCTGCGTTCCCCCTACTTAAAGGTCTGTTCTTATCCCCTGTTGCAAGATAGAAAATGTTAGTTGTATGTATTCTACGGCTGCGGCGCTTCTTTTCACCGGAGCTCCAAAATCACGCCTGTCAAAACTAAAATCAGCTCTTCTTTTTCAGGTGTTGTTGCCACTACTGATGTCGTTGAAGCCTGCACCGGTGTCAATATCGCAGTCATGGTTGGCGGATTCCCCAGGAAAGAAGGGATGGAGAGGAAAGATGTCATGACTAAGAACGTCTCCATTTACAAGTCTCAAGCATCGGCTCTTGAGAAGCATGCTGCCGCAAACTGCAAGGTATGCAATGCGTGACTGTGGTAGTATTTTCTTGCGTAAATTCACTAAACTGAATCCTCTGATCACCGTCGCTATGCATCTCCTGGCTACTCTCTCGAGAGGGAATTATTTATGATGATGAACGACTATTCTTCGTCCAGGTCCTCGTCGTGGCTAACCCAGCGAACACCAACGCCCTGATCCTGAAGGAGTTCGCCCCATCCATTCCCGAGAAGAACATAAGCTGCTTGACCCGACTGGATCACAACAGGGCCCTCGGCCAGATCTCAGAGAGACTGAGCGTCCAAGTCAGTGACGTCAAAAACGTTATTATATGGGGGAATCACTCGTCATCTCAGTACCCTGATGCAAACCATGCCACTGTCACGACACCAGCCGGAGACAAGCCCGCCAGAGAACTCGTCGCCGACGACGAATGGTGTCATCATCTTTCATTCCCTGCACAACTCCTGATTCCTGCTTGTTCATCTCCTGAACCCTTTCCGATTATGGCAGGCTCAAGGGGGACTTCATCACGACTGTTCAGCAACGGGGGGCTGCAATCATCAAAGCGAGGAAGCTCTCCAGCGCGCTGTCCGCCGCGAGCTCTGCCTGCGATCACATACGTGACTGGGTCCTCGGGACTCCAGAGGTTGCTACTCTGATCGCGCCCATCCTGTGTCCTTGCTTTATATGTATCTTGAGATCTCTGCGACCAATACCCTTTTTCTTCTTTCAGGGAACATGGGTTTCCATGGGGGTATACTCCGACGGTTCGTATAATGTGCCTGCTGGGCTCATCTACTCCTTCCCCGTTACCTGCAAGAACGGCGAGTGGAGCATTGTACAGGGTACGTGCCGTCCATCATTTCTCTTAGAACTCTACTGTTCTAGTCGGCTAATGGGTGGACGACATACTTTCGACCGAGATCTTGGGACCTGAGTCCCCGGGAAGCTTCAGCTCTCTTATTCGGCGTCTGTGATGTTGGCACAGGGCTTCCCATCGACGAGTTCTCGAGAAAGAAGATGGACGCCACGGCGGAGGAGCTGGCCGAGGAGAAGGCGCTGGCGTACTCCTGCCTCGCCTGAGCGATAAATCCGTTGGCTTTTCGGCTCCGAGGAGTTACCACTCGGCTTTCCCCTAAAAATAAACCAATCGGCCATGCTAGAGACGATTGTGCATCGACGGGGCATCCGCTCTTGATGGGCCCGCTCCAGGACCATCTGTTTAATGCGCCGTGAGAGACAAGTTCGGCTGAATTAATCTTCATCCTACTGCTTTACCTGGTATATACACACAGAGACAGAGACAGATCCAGAGACACAGACAGAGACACAGACAGGGAGACAGAGACAGAGAGAGCGAGAGAGAGAGAGTTTTGTCTGGGCGAATTCTCGGAAATGAGGCTCTGACCCAGCTGAAGACTCAACGGGTCAAGCTGGGTCAGCTTGGAAAAGAGGCCTACGGCCGAGCCGCCGCCGGAGTGATCTTCCGCTAGAGCGTGTGAATCTACCATCCCCGCTTCACCCTCATCAATCTGGTGATATCTTGGGTCAATCTGGGCCCACCCGGGCTCGTCCCCTCCCTGATTTTCCTTTTACTCACCAAGATCATGCGGCTCTGCTACGTACAGGTGTGCCCTCGGTGGGGTGCAATTAAACGCGCAGCAAAGTGCGAACTTTACGCGTATATAAAGTAATTTATTGATTTTACTTATGTGCTGTGGACTGTGGGAGGCAATAGCGTTCGAAGCATGAGTGGAGGAAACCGTAGGAAGTAAGAATATGAGCTTTCCTTTCCGACGACGCCTCCCGATATTTCCCCGGTTTCTGTTCCGGAGATCGGCGATTCTCGCCGGCGGGCAGTTCCGGCGAGTTCCTAGACGCTGAAGCTTCTCTCAGGGAAAGGGACCCTTCCTTCCGGGTTTCTCCTTCTTTCCACGGAGGATCCACAATTCCCGTTCGAGCCAGGGCAAGGAGAAGCGGCGGGTGTTGTTCCTGATGGTGACGATGTCATAAGCTCGGCAGCTCGGGGAAGTCTCCCGCTTCCATGAGCAACCGGAGCCAGAAATCCATATCGTCCTCGCCGGAAGACGCGCTGGCCTGCAGGTCTTCTCCCCGTTGGCCGGAGGAGGAGGGGAGGGAAGAGCCGCCGGACTCCGAGAAGTTATCCGCACACGTCCCTGGAATCTCCGAGGACATGGGTGCCGCCCACCAGAGGAACTCCGCCATGCCCGGGAACTCCAACGAGCCGTCGTGCTCCTCATCCTTGACTGAGGCGGCGTTGGACGAGTCCGTGGCCGCCGACGAGAGCTCGCTGCAGGACCGCCACGGAGACGGCGGGGCGGGCCTCAGATCTCGGAGAATCGCGTGCTTCGTCTCCTCCTCCGCGGCAGAGGAGGCGCCGCCGCCGCCGCCGCAGGACTCAGAGTGGGCCTCCTCTCTCGTCGGCTTCTGGGAACCCGGTTCGGGAATGGCCTTCCTCCGCTTCTTCAAGTGGGTGTGCCAAACGTTCTTGATCTCGTTGTCCGTCCTTCCCGGGAGCCTCGCTGCAATGGCAGACCACCTGGTACACAGAGGAGAAGGAGCGACGCTCAAGGCGCTTCCCGGCTGCGTCCGAACGTTAATTTACCCCCATCTATCTGAATGATGGGTGGATCAACTCTATTACATAAGTTGAGAAACATCCAAATTTGGCATCGTCTGCTCCATCGATGCTCATAGCGTCCAGCTAACGGAAGCTCTCTCTCTCCCTGTGAATTAGCGGACGGTGGGAGTACCTGTTGCCCAGGAGCTCGTGTAAGCGGACGATGACATCTTCTTCCTCCTTGCTGAAGTTCCCTCTCTTGATATCCGGGCGCAGATAGTTGGTCCACCGGAGCCTGCAGCTCTTCCCGCACCTCAGCAGACCTGAGACATCCCAAGAACAATCCAATTTCAGAGATCTCGCCGCCGATCTCCACAGCCCTGATGGATGGTTGCTGCCACCCCCCTGAAAGATAGATAGAGATAGAGAGAGGGAGAGAGAGAGAGAAGGTGGTGATTACCGGCTTGTTTAGGGAGAGCCCGCCAATTCCCGTGGCCGTGCCTGTGAATGTAGGAGACGAGAACCTGGTCCTCCTCGACCGTCCACGGCCCCTTCTTCAGCCCCATCTTCTCGCAGCACGGAGCTCTCACCATCTTGCTCTCCTCCCTTACCACCCTACACCAGTGGATCACCGACACCAGTCCCTCTTTCTCTCTCTCTCTCCTTGGCGCCAGCTCTTGGACAATTGGGGCATGTGGAGTAGCACTGAGTAGCGCCCTCACCGACGCCCTCGGCCACTATTTATTATCCCTCGGGGCTCAACACGAGCGGAGAAAGGCGACGCTGGCCTTCACTGACCCTCTTTCCTTGCAAAAAGGTCATATCGTTGAAGCAGTGTTTTTACGGGATTTTTTCACTAATTTCCCTTCTGCGACAAAACTCTAAATTAATTTCCGTCCCGATCAGTCGAGAATATTCCGTCTTATAAACGGAAAATGTCCCACGTTGGCCGAGTCGCAATGACTCGTTCACACTGCGACCCCGTCACGGGGGGACTTATATATAATTAAAATGGGACACGGGGTACGGTTCCAATCACGACCTCTTTGCTGAATCAAACTTAACTGCACACGTCAGCGCTTCATAAGCCTCCGAGGACTGAATGACGTGTCACCGTGGGAAGCCAAATCATGGAAGGGCCTCGGATGGGCCCAGTCTGACGTGCAACATTGACCTCTATCTGTATCGTGTGCCTTGGTTAACAAGTGATTCGAAAGGGTCTGATGAGATTGAGAAGAATGAATATTATAATCGTAATAATCGAGTTATATGCTTTGTTAGTGTCTCTATTTTTACATCTCCACATTTCGTCGTATTCATTTGAACGATTGGGAATCCAAGAACTATTCATAGTAAGATCACGTTCATAATAGTTCCAACTTATGAGGACCCCGCGACCCCATCCCTTGAATCCCCCCACACTTGTACGGTAGAACCAGCCAGGCACGAGCTTCTTGACCAGAGATTAGTTAAGATCGGACCCTTCCGGCTGTTCCCATGGGTCATCCGACTTAGAAAATGACACTCTTACGGGCTACCTTGGACTAACGGGAGCAACTGAACTACCTACCGAGGTCTGAAAAATCAGAGCCTATCGGAGCACTGAGGCGCACCAGCTCTACCTTTCCACTGTGTGCGTGTGTACGTGTGTACGTGTGTACGTGTGTACGTGTGTGTGGAGCAGGTGGCCTAACCTATTTGGCCGCCAGCCGCCCACCGCGCCGTCCACTGAGCTCGAAGACGAGGAAGAGGGGTTGCACCGCAGGACGTGTCGATGGAGTCCTGTCTAAGAATGATCCGCATGGAATGGTTTAATACGATTGAAATGAAAGCTCCTTTGAATGATTATTCTACTTCGCGAGGGCGCACAGCTTTAAAAATTGCCTGGTGAAAGATGCTCAGCTTGCAAATCTTTGACCCTCCAACCTCCCCACTTCCTCGCTTCGTACTAACCCTTCCCTTCTGCCATTTTCCAGTAAGCTCGGCGATTCAAATTCGCCTGGCCGGGGTGCAGGGGTTCCCACGTGCGTAGACGGCACTGGGGAGGATACTCTCACAATGTGGGGACGGACGATCTCCGGGGATGTCCACTGAGTGGAGCCGGGGAGCTTTCCGAGAGCTCCGCCGCAGGGAAATTGGGAGGTCACGACCATGAACAATCCGGAGGGGGGCAATGTCATAACACTAATCTTCGGCTTTTTCAGTATCTTGGAGGATCTCGGGAACACGGAGATGCCCGCTTTAATGGCGACGGTCGAGTTGTACTTGCCCTCGTTCTCCTCTCCCACCTTCTTGTCAAAAGAAAAGAGGACGTCGGAGATTGGGTAGGTAGTACGTTGCGTCTCCGCACCCAACAAAGTCCTGATCGGAGTCGGAGCAACAAAGGTAAGTATGATGTTCAAGAAAATAGATCTTCAGAGCATCAGACAATGCGGAAAGTCGAGTGACTCGTTTGGAAAGAGCTTATTTCATTTCTTTCCTTTCATGGGAGGATCTGGGGATCAAATATTTCGGCCGACCTTGGGAGGATTGTTCAGATGGAAACCGCCAAATCAGTCCGCGGTATAACTTTCTGGTCAGTTCGATTCCTCGTGTCCAACAAGTAGGTGTTGTCTTACGTTGACGTAGCACGTTGTCTTACGTTGACGGACATAGGGGCTCGTCAAAGTTGACGAGTGTTCAAGGATCGTGTCTGCCCCACAACAAAGACCCCTAGGACAGGGCACTAATCTCTCTCTCCCTCTCTCCCTCCCTCCCCCTCCCCCTCCTCCCTGACTTTTGGAGACTCTAATGACAGTGAAAGCCCGACCAGAGCTAGGATATGCGGTCGAATGTCATCGATTATCCGCCGGTTCAAGCACGAACATCTCCCGCGCCGTCGTTTATGACGGAGGAAAAAATATGACACCACACAGACGAGCCGCTATTCGAGTCTGCTCTCTCAACGTCGATGGTCCCCTAGACACGGGAAACGCCAAACCATCATCTAACATAACGAGGAGGATGATTCTCTAACGGAGCCTTGCCGTCAATGGCCGGAAATTTAAGCACGTTCATAGTAGGTCGCGAGGGGGGGGCGGCGGAGTCCTCGACTCGTCTTGTTAACGTCTCCATCCAGCAACTGCCTCAGAGTCCACTCGATGATGTACACGCGAGCTCGAAATTTCTGACAGTTTGAAAAACCGACGTCTGAACCGCCTCAAAGTCATCGTCCCTTTACAGTATATTATAGTTTTCAGTTTTATCAGCAAGCCTACGAACGCCAAACAATACAGTCGCTTGGGTGCAACCTTCACAAGAATAGTTCAGCCTGTGAAGCTGAAGATATCTTAATATATCAGATGGAGCACGGCTCAGATTATCCCGCCGCCGCCGCCCACGCCAGCTCCTCATGGGAAGCCGATCTCGGAGCTCATTGGAGACCAATTGGTTGTGGATCAGTGAAGAACACATGGTGGGGTAGACTCATGGACGGACTCTTGGCCGCTTCAAAACCTATATGAAGCACCAATTGGTCCTTTAAGTCTGGAAGATACTCACTCCTCTGATTATCTATACCCACTTGACGAACATGAGCGTCTCTGATTCGTGGTCTTTTGTAGATACCTGTACTATGTTTCCTTCTTAGCGGTGCAAATGACCCCTGGCCTAATTTTTTCAACGCCGTAAGCTTTGAAATCAAATCGCAGAAGGTAGGATAGATCTCGCATAATCTCTAATTGGATCAAGTCCCAACTTTGGCAACTCGGTGTCGAGGCCAAAACCCTAGTTTCTACCCTGCACACCAACCCTCTCTCTCTCTCTCTCTCGCGCGCGCGCGCACGCGCCCGCGCTCCTACAGGTTGATGAATATAAAGGCCTGACTCAGGTCAATCATATTACAACTTGCGGCGTATGGGGGCTCCGCTTGGGCCCATCTTTCGAGCCAGCTTTCGAGCTTCTGAAGGTCCCACTGCCTTTAAACATTCTGGGGAAAGCTTCGAATCCACTTTTTCTTGTTTCTCACTTTGAACACGTACGTGAACGTGTGAGTCAGGCCCAGCTTACCCTACACCGGGACTCATTGCGTCCGCTTTAGGGCAGACTTTTCGGCCTTCTTTTCATGCCTCGAGAAAAGGCTCGAGGGCTCGAATCGCTCTTCGCAGGGAACAGCCCGTCACTACAGGTCAAAACGTTTTCTATAGCCTTCTATGAGTCAATATGTACGATGCTTGTGCAGCGCATTTCATGTGCCTCGCATCAGGAATTAACAGAGATTATGATCTCACTTTGGTGCTCAACAGCCTGCTATTAATGGTGAAAGAGGCTCTTCATGGGCAGCTCAGCTACTTCATAGATGAATGCAATATAGCTACGAGGCGATCCCATGGTTCTATGTCTTTGAACATGGTGTCATTTACTCACACTATTCTACGCGTCGCCATTGGTGTCAGGCAACAGCGACGTGATATCTGAACGCAAAAGTGAAGATAATCCTAGGTCTCTCGCAAGTTGTTCGGACGGGGTCAGATAGTCCTATTTTTTTGGATGTGCCTCAGCTAGAGCTTTTCCTCATCAACTCTCAAAGTCAAGCCCGCGAACGAACACAAGATGACTCAGCCTGTCTCTGCACAGCCCGTCGACTTACATCATACGTTTGTGCTCCAAGTAATAGTCTGACGGATTCATGGCCTCTCTCCCCCGTTCTCTCTATTTATCTATTCATCTATCGATCTGTCCCTATCCTCTCTCCTTCTCTTCCATGCTTTCTCTCTCCCTCTCTCTTTCTCTCTCTCTATGCCCTCTCCCGTCCCTTCCGACCCCTCTCACTCTCCTTCTCTCTCTTGTTCATGCATGCACGAATCGTTCTCCGAGTTCTACGGTTGCTTCGACGAGGGGGGCGGGAAAAAGTCGCCGGCAAATCAATGCGACAGGGAGAATTTATGGACTGTGGGGGCATATGAAAAAGGAGATAATTTCTGACCCCGACGACCTGATCTTCGTCGGAGATTACAGGGGTCAAAGTCAATAGCGCGAGCCTGAGAAATCGGTCACGTTCGCCCTACCCAAGAACACGCACATACGTTGGTTGACCTGGTCTTCTCCCCAAGAGTGAACGTCCCCCCCTCTGGATTTGGGTCCCAAAGTCCAACTCAAGAGAAAGGACGATCAGATGGGCCCAACTTGCAGCTGCTGCTGCTCTCTCTCTCTCTCTCTCTCTCATATTTTCATAAAATCAACAACCACCCTGCCTAATTAATTATTAAATATATTTTTTACCCTTTATGGGCTTAAGAAAGCATTAGGCGTTGACGGGCCGGGCCTGGCGAAGCCCAGATCAAAGTCCGTACGTGTTTAATTCTGTGCCCAGAAAATGGGCTTCCGTATAGACCTCTGTAACCCAGCCCTGGCCCAATAAGGAAAGATGAAGGAATGCGTTAACAGGGCTATATTTGCAAATTGTATCTTACCCGGGTAAATAAAATATAGTTTTAGGGATTAAACGCGATGTTTCCAATTATTCTATCAGATGGAGCCGTCATTGCCAACGGTATCATGTTCCAGCAGTTCTAAATGATATCAACGGTGAGGATGCGATGGTGTGGAATCGGATCCCCGCTCCGCGGACGGTCCCGATCTGCCGAAGAAGCCTGGCGGCGGGCGGGCGGGCGGCGGCTCCGCACCCTTCTTCTCCCAGGGAGGAAGGTCGATCTGTCACTCTCAGGGGGAGTTTCTTCGAAGCAGAAGCATCATCGGAGGGACCTCGTTTAGGGTTCAGGCGACGGTCGGGGGAGGTCGCCGGGGGTGGGAGAGGCAGCGTTCGTTGTGGAATTGTGAGCTCGTCCCCTTGTGTCCGTCGGGTTGGATTGGCGAGCTCTGTAGGATGAGGCCTGGCGATCAGGGACTTTGTTGCCTTGTGACGCTGCTGGCGGTGGTGGGGGCGTTGGCTTCCGAGGAAGCTTACGTCACACTGTTATACGGAGATGAGTTCCTCCTGGGTGTTCGCGTGCTGGGAAAGTCAATCCGGGACACGGGGACGAAGAAGGACACCGTCGTCCTCGTCTCGGACGGCGTTTCTGACTACGCTACGCGGCTCCTTCAGGTGTTCCATATTGTTTTGAGCCAAGCTTCGATTGTTTTGTCCCAGCAATTTTTTTGCTCTGGGCATTGGTTCAATGTCATCTCATCTATTTATCGCCCCTGATTTGCTCGTTCTAGTAAAAATGTTACTAACTTTTTATTCACTTAAATTCAAATATTTAGGAATCTTTTCGTGGTGGAAGGTTTAACAATCGAAACATATCCTATACCCGGTTGAAACCAGAGACCCTGTTCTTATTTACGTTGAAAAAGGTTTGGGCTGAGATCAATTGTATCAGTCTGCAACAACTGTCCATACATCTTGCTATTGGACCTTTCCCAAAGATCATATTGGTTATCATCGTTAGATCATTACTCTGTATTCTTTTGTTCCAAATGTGGGTTGTACCGCATTTTTATTTCTTTAACTTTTTTAAGGGAAGTAAACGGATGTACAATTCAAATTATGGTGTGATCATAAAAAAACCGTTCAAAGATTCTTGTCTAGATGAAGGTTTTGGATGGATATGCAAGCGACCAAGGTTCCCAAAATGACAAATTCATGTCATTGCCCCCACTTGCAGTGTTTATCCTCTGTCATCCTATCTCAAATAAAAGTGTAGACCCTGTCTGGTGAGAAACTTTCTTGTTAATGTGAACTTGTTCCTCCCTCTAAATATTTCTCAATGAGCTTTGTCACCGAATGACAGTCGCAGCCTCTAAATATTTCCTCTCCCTCTGTCGATTTTCTTGAATCCTTATTGACTAAGGCATTGGACCTCAACATTGACCGACTGTTACACTTCTTTTTTTCTTATCATGGTAAGGATATTGCAAAAAAAATTGTCATTGCCTCATTAATACAAAATTATGCCTCATATGAGCTGGAGACCATTTGCGACGTTCTTACCAGAGTAGTTATCCCGCAGATGTATTTGGCCTTATTTTAAACATCTTACCAGTAGAGTAGTCTTTTCTTTTTCGGCCATATTGAAATGGCATTCACATGGAGTGTTATTTGAATTACAATCTCACAACATGCCTGGCAGCTGATACGTGTTGTACTTTGAACAACTGTTTCAGGCTGATGGTTGGATTGTTGAACACATAAGTTTATTGGAAAATCCAAATCAAGTGAGACCAAAAAGATTTTGGGGAGTCTACACGAAGTTGAAAATATTTAACATGACAATGTACAAGAAAGGTAATCAGGTTCTTGGACTCCTGAAATAGCATTGCCAAGTTAGCTGCTATTTTAGGAAAACGTGCTACATTCAGATGGTTGACTGAATTTCTTCCTTTTGCAGTTGTGTATCTTGATGCAGACACCATTGTTGTTAAGAGTATAGAGGATCTATTTAAATGTGGGAGATTCTGTGCAAACTTGAAGCATTCCGAAAGGCTGAATTCCGGAGTCATGGTCGTTCACCCATCTGAAGTTGTTTTTAAAGATATGATGGACAAAGTGGCCGTCTTACCTTCTTACACTGGAGGTTCTCAGTTGAACTTATGGTCCTTTTCTATCTGTTGTTTCTGTAGAGTGCCGTCTGTGGTGCACTGATGCACTGATTCAAATTAGAAACATTAGTTATACCAAGAAGTATACTTACTGTTGCCAATTGAAAATGCACTTTGCACCAAATAGTAGGTATGCCTAGTAGATTTGGAGGATGAACTTTTTTTCTGCAGAAAAAAATTGGATCCGGGATCGTTATATCATTTTTTCCATGCTTACATTTTTCTTAGGTTAATGTGATGTCTTTTAGGTTAAAATTTTCAAAATATTTTACATTTAAGGTTATGTTCAATATCTCAGATGGACCACTTTTCAATGTTAACAGGTGATCAGGGTTTCCTGAACTCATACTACAGGGACTTTGCAAATGCTCATCTCTTTGAACCAAACTTACCCTCTGATCCCGGGAATTCTAGAACAGTGCCAGGGATGGAAAGGCTTTCTACTCTATATAATGCAGATGTTGGGCTGTATATGCTTGCAAATAAGGTAGTTGCATTTTGGTGCATTTTTTCGCATTATATGATTAGCTTTCCTTTTAGTTTCTTGCTATTGGAGGTCTTACACGTCGATATCTAATCAGGAGGAAAAGAATAAGCAGTAATCAGCAGGAAAGAGTATTCCATAATATTTCTCGCAGTGATCAGCAGGAATAACGTGCATTGGAAGCTAACACAGATCTTAAAGAACCAAAAAAAATTATGATTCTGTGGAAACTTCCTCTCGATTGATTGTTTATCTTTCTCAATCCAATCGATTGGCATATCTTCCCGAGGATCAAAAGACAACAGTCTATCATAAATTCGGGAACTCATAACAGATACCATGAAATCTGAATATTTTCCTTTACTGCTGTCAACATTTGACCCAGTACCCCAGATGTCTGGCAAAAACTGTCATAGATCTATCATGTAACCTTATTATCACCACATTTGCCATGATGAAAGACTGTTTCTACACTTTAAGTTCTCGTACTAGCAACTTAAATAGGGATTATGCTCACGTTTGGTCTAGTGTGCTTTATTTCTAGTTTACAAAATGAACGTGGGTTTCTCTTGAATACCATTCCCATTTCCGTTTATTAATTTAATTGGTGCCAAGCTCGACGCTTATTCTATGGCTACAATTTTTTTGTTTCATATCATGTTTAGTGGATGGTTGATGAGAAAGAACTTCGAGTCATTCATTATACACTTGGCCCCCTTAAACCGTGGGACTGGTGGACTTCTTGGCTCTTAAAGCCTGTGGATGTTTGGCAGGTATTTTGCTCGCTCTGATCATTTGTGAAACATTCCGAGTCTCCCTACAATCGAATAATCTCTTCATTTTCTTGATGCTGTAGAACGTTCGAGAACAGCTTGAAGAATCTCTTCCTGGAACTGCTGGTGGCACTACTTCTGAAGAGCAGTTGGTGGTCAAAATTTTGGTCTTCCTTCCACTATGTCTTTTATTATTTTTCTTCTATCGATCCCATTTTCAGGTAAAGAAGTGCCGGCAGTTAATATTGCGTAAATTGATGGCTGGGTGTTCATGTAGGCGCATTGAAATCTATCTGTTTCTGATTACTGCAGATAAAAGATGCTATATATGGTTGTAGAAGCTCCATATGTGATTATGCCAGGCGTGTCTACTGTGAATTTAGAGCTGGAGCCACTCTTCCCGTTTACTCTTCTGTTGCTTCATCTTCTATAGCGAACTCCAATAGCCAGGTAAGGTTCCCTATCTCCGCATTAGTTCTGATTACTACAAGAAACTGGTGGAGTTAGGTGCACGTCCCTACGTGATTTATGCTGCTCCTGCATTAAAATATCTACTGCCTGTTTATTTTTATTTTTATTTTTACAGTTCAATGTCGCAGAGAATATCTGTAAAATGGTATTGCCTTGCCTCGGCTTGGCTCCTTGGCATAAGGTGGTAGGTTACTGTCTTGATTTCCTTGGTCACCTTAAAAAAACCTTGATCCAAAGGAGATGCTAACTAAAGAACCCTGAAAGATAATCTTTATATATGTGCAGCGGAACACATAAATAATAAGTTTATTTGTCAGCTGTATGCGTTGCATGGTACTCACCCTAGAAATGGAGGTCCCAAGGGAAGCCAGACGGTGGGGGTTGCCTCTCCAGTGTGTACAACTAGTGAAAGTCGGAACTTTCATCGACATTATAGAAGAAGGAAAATTATTAGAACCATATTATTAAACATGTGCAACTTCGTGATAGTATTTGTGGGAGAATAAGTTCATAAAGCAAAGGGATTTAGTTTGAATTTTCATCGTTCTTTTAACTTTTGAACGTTGAACTACATCAATTCAATGGAATTAATGGCTTGTTTTTAGTACCAAAAACTGCATATTTGATGGACTTAGTACCAAGGTCCTGGAGTCGCCCCCAGATGATCGACATGAGTGACAAACCCATCACCACCCGTCGGCTCATCCCAAGATCATTTTCCCTCTCCAAGAGCGTTGGGATTTTTGAATTTGGTGATCTTTTCGTGGGGTTGGAGGAGGCGTTGTTCCTCATCCAAAAGAGGTCCTAGGAACAATATGGGAGATGAAATTATTCTAAGAAATGTTCTCTCTAGTTGACGACAATAACTTTGTTATTGATTTTGGGAGGTTCGGCCTATTAATTTTGACCAAAAGTGTGAGAAAAACGCATAGATTTCCAAATTCTGGAGCCAGAATCTGAATTTCCAAAAGTGTGAGAAAAACGCTTGGAATCATGCTTGTTTCATCTACTCCGGGAATGGGTTCATGACATGACATTATTCTTTTTCATCTTCGTTGTTTGCTTTTTATCTTGACAGTTTTCAAATGGCATTCACTCCAAGATACCTTCCCATCTGGGTGCCCTCTCCATCATCGTCTGCTTCTCGTCTGCTGCTGTGTCCCTTGGCCTGGCGTTTGTGCTGATACCCCGCCAAGTGATGCCCTGGACAGGTTTACTGCTCATGTATGAGTGGACATTTGCAGGGTTTTTCATGTTGTTTGGTACCTTTCTTCGGCTAATGTACCGGTGGGGGAGGGCCATGGGAACCCAGCTAGGAGCCGCCTCCTCCCACTCCGATGCGTCTGAGGCATATGACTCCGGCAAAGGTCCGCCGACTAGGAGCACTTTCGCTCTCCTGTCAATTCGACTGCCTCTGGATTCAAAGTATGAATGGACCCTCTTTCTGCCCTCCCTTCAGGTCATCAGCGGCATTCATCTCACTGCGACGTTGGAGTTTGCTTCTATGGACTGGGGATGGCATTACTCGCCATCATAGCCCCTTCATTGCCCTGCATCTTTGGGATCACCGCTCTTTTTCCAAGGTGAGAAGGAACCCTCTATCTCTCTCTATCTATGGATGTATGTATGTATGTATGTATGCATGTACCGATTCCCATTTGGGCTCCTGATGTTCTTCTTCCCATAATTTCGATTTTTATATCCATTGGTTTATCTAATGTGTGTGTGTGTGTGGGTGTGGGTGCAGACTGGGGCTGATGGTGGGGGGAGGTCTGATTCTCTCATCATTCATGACTTATGCGTCGGAGCAGCTGGCCATCAGAGCCTTTGTGAGAGGCCTGGAAGAACACGAACTGCCCAAGGCCAGGGGGCATGCTTATAGAGCTTGACCCCTGGAGTTGACCTTATATGTAATTGTGAAATCTTTTTCCCTGTAAAAATATGGTGGTATTAATTCGTTCTCACTTAGCTCTCTGCGCTGATGTTTATTTATTTATTTAATTGATCCTCACTTGGCTCTCTGGCTCATCTCGCCAACTCAGAGTGTGTGTGTGTGTGTGTGTGTGTGTGTGTGTGTGTGAGAGAGAGAGAGAGAGAGAGAGAGAGAGAGAGAGAGAGAGAGAGAGCTAGCCAAGAAATATGAACCCCAAGAAGCTGTCCAGAACACAATGGACCCAGATAGATATTTTTTCTTCACGGGCCATCGACAGATAGAGAGCTTGAACACGAGAGATGGGCCCAGACATCCCCACCCAGCTCGCTATCGCAGGCTGAGGTCGGGATCGTCGTCGTCCTCCAGCTCAAGTTCACTTGGTCGGACCCTCTTCGCCTCTCGTTGTGCTGAGCGCCCACCCTTCTTAGGCTTCCCTCTGAAACTCAAAAAAAAAAAAAAAAACAAACAAACAAAAAAACCATAAAAAAAACCAACTTTCGAATAAGACCCACTGAAATCATTAGTATTAATTATACAAATAATTATTTCTATTATTTTAATCATTTTCTGAATTGTCGGAAAAAAGATGTCATCTCTACTGACTGCCCATTAGCAGGGGTGCCTCCTCCTTTGGACCGTCCTGGGCCATACTCCGATCTTCCATCTGAAGGACAGGCGGGGAGGGGAGGAAGAAGAACACCCAGAAAGGGAAGGTAAGAACTTTGCTCGCATCGGTGGCTGATTTCATGCTCCAGGATAACCACATCTGGTAAGTTTTAACTTACCATCGCGTCCAATTATATGCTCCTCGACCTGAAATCGAACAGACATTTCATAAGATTTCTAGAGCAAAACCAGGTCCTCTTTCTACTCTCAAAAACCCAGAAGATCATACATACCACTTAACTTCCACAAAATACATCAAGAAACAGCTTTTTCTTTTTATTTTTTGTTATTAAAAAAAAAAACTTTGGAATCCCCCCCTCCCCACATCAAGCCTACGGGCAGCGAAAGAAGAGCAAGTAGATGCTGTGATTTATAGTACAAAACGCATGAGAGCGCAAGGGAATAAAAGGCTGTTAATTTCTCATGATGCTACTGAGTTTACTACCATGCTGGGCACATCGAACCAACTAACTAAATCACAAAATTTAGCGTTATAAACGCAAATCTGCTTAGTTTTAGGCTCATTTAGATCAATAACGAGGAAAAGGTTGAGTCGCATACTGCAGGTGAAGTCACAGATGACAATGAAAACAGTCTGTCTTCGGGCTGAAACTTCCTGGAACGTTTCAGGCTGAAGAGGCAGAAAAGTCAACACAACGTCAGATTGACAAAAATGTAGTGAGCAAATAATAACATAAATCGGCGTACTGAAAGCACTGAGGAACAAGGAATAGGACCAGTTCAGAGCCATCAACCGAGAATGCCGCATGATAAAAAAATCGATGAGCTGGGTGCTTCGGAAGCTTATTCCCACACTAAAAAGCTTTTCACTAGAACACCAACTCTCATCTCTGTCTAATCCTGAATGAGGGAAAATTTCACAAGGGGAAATTATCTGCCCTTCTGTGTATCCTGAGTTTTTGATAAGAACCCAGATCAAAGACGGGCTGTTTTGTTTTGTTACCACTGGGTGTGCGCAGACTGGGTAGCAGGAATCGAACGAGAAATCCTGATATTCCCATGAAGAGTAACTACAACCTCGAAACTCGCGTTAATAGAAAGCGTTGCCTGAATACCTTAGAGTTCACACGAGTTAGAGCTAAATGAGCCAGCGTCCAGCGAGCTACAAGTCAGACACTGATTAATGCTTTGGTCTGAGCGTGCTAATGGAGACAAAGCATTCTTGCAAAAACAAAAAAAAAAAATATCCCGAAGGGAGAGGAATCGCAGTCAAACATGATCAAACCGATCATCTGACAGTCTCCATCTCTGCAAACTTTGGATCCTCAATTTTATTATTCCCTGAAAGAAATCGTCTGGTTCATATGTGCCTCACTCTACACTTCATAGTATTAAGCCGAAGTTCAAAAACAATGTAGTATTGTTAATATGTGCCCCAATATCCCGCAAACTTGTCCCGGGATACTTTGAGATATATCTTCCTTCAGATAAGGTCGACACGCATTCTCAGAGGGTTTGTGCAGGTGGCTGCACGAATCCCAAAACGTTGGATAAAATACCATCAACAAAACTGACCCAGATAAGGAGCACAACTTCACTATTTTTTTTCAAAACAAGCCCATTATTTCACTAGGAAAAGGGTCTTCGTCACTTAGGATCAGATCCATCTTGTCAAATAAAACTAGAAGCAAGGAAGATTGGAGTGATATATGGGCAATAGATTGCAGTCCACGGGTTGTACCAAGACGAAGAGCAAAAAGGGGGTAGAAACAATCAATGCCATTGAAAAGCATCCTCAGATGCCTCATCAGCACGAGAAGGTGAAGCAACGCTGTTACAGTAAAGTCCTCAAAAATCAGTGCTACTATTCCTCCAAGGCAAGAGGAAGAGGGAGAAGAGCCACTGAAGTAATCACATTTCATCAAAAACTGCTTCTGCCCCAACTGGTTCATGGTGCTTAAATGGGTTCAAAGTGAAATTCAAAGTTGGTCCTTCTTAACAAAAGTCAGCAGTTTTTTAGTCATGTAAAGAACCAACAGCCATCAAACCTTGCAGAGACAAAGACACCAATCAAAGACGCTGTTATTAAAGATACATCAAGTTACTGAAAGAGGGAGGCCTCAAAGAGGGAGCTCCAATTATCATTCAACATATCCTCACTATTGAAAACACGGTTAATATGCACATCAGATGGCAAAACTAATACGTAGACATTCAATTGCAGTTTGTGGATGATATGGAAGGTACCGGTGGCTCAGGTATAGAGTTTCCAGGGGTGTTCAGGGTACGATTCATGAAATGCACGAGTCAATACAAAGTCACATTCATTGAACTCATGTTGCATTCAGGGTAGTTATAGAGTGATCACATGGATATTATTATGCTGCTCAATGGAACATCAAATTTCTAGTAAACAAAGTTAAAAAAGTTTCTAGTAAGCAGATTGGCCAGACACGGGTGGATGAGCATCCCAGGTATTTGGAGTGAGGTCAAGGAACAAGCAAGGAAGGGCGCCATGGATGGTTGGAGATGCCACTAATAGTTCAATTAATGGAATATTACAAGTTAAATCAAGCTCCATTCTCTTGGTTGGCACAGATAAGACATCAAGGAATGATCCTGCCTAAGATGGAAAACAAAAGAAATAATAGGTACCAAAAAAATTCTGGAAATATCGAACCAGTAGCAGAATCAAAATCACAAACAACGGACACAAGTAGCCCATTAAAATGAAATATATCGCCAAAGCAGAGTTTGGCAACAAGGGAGGAGAGCAGAGATTTTCACATTTTAGAGAAGAGCTCCATCGTCATCATGGTGGCAAGGCCAAGAATGAAGTCCAAGCTGAGATGTCCTCATTCCATGATGGTGGAGTTTATGGATGGATCCAAAGTCAACGCAAGATAGGTATTTGTCGGTCAATCACTCAACTTTGGGATTTGCATGCTCAACATCTTCAGGAGATAGTAGAATTGTCAACGAGCATAAGTAGGCTTCTTATCGACCTTGACCTGGTGGTTGAGGACAAGTGAGTTCTCCTAGAGGAATTTAACTCATTTCACATGATGGGGACTAAGTTTTTTTAGTGAATTAAAGTATCATGAGGCTCGGTGATCAGAATAGAGGGTAAAATTCTGTGGTTTGTAATAGCCCTGATGATGGAAACCTAGAATAATAACACCGAATTCTTTCTCAAACAAAGAACAATGTTGCTTACCCTCACTGACTTGATAGCTGAAAAAGCAACTGAGAAATCAGATACCCCACCTCAAAAGCAACTGAGGAAAAGCCACTTCGATTCAAGGCACCACTTATCCTCACACCAAACATATCATACCCCACTTCTGATAGTTACAGCACGTAGACAATCACCATTTTATTATTAATCTCGGTAAAACCCTTAACAGCAATGGCACTCCGAAAACATTCACTGATTTTCATTCACCAAGGTGATGCAACCCTTTAGATGAAACAGGCAAGAAAAAGTAAGCAAATGGAAAGTGGTGGAAGGGAAGAACAAAAAGAGGCGAGGGAGGGGATGGAAGATAACATGGGAAAAGAACGAGCAAAGGACATCTATTTCATCAAAAAACAACGGGCATGATGTCCACAACGTGTTTAAATAATGTCAAGTAGAATCTCAGAACTTCATTTGTATGAACTTCAACAGTATGTATGTTGTTTGGGAACCCAAAGAGCCTATAGTCATTAAACCTTGGAGAAAGAAATAAAAATATTAAGAACCCTACCACTGTTGAACTTAGAAATCGGAAAGATACATTGATCCTTCAACCGCCGTTCCATATAGATACGCCCACGGAATCAATAATCATGATACCCATCCGAATTCAACAGCTTTGGTTGTATATAAAGACAAGAGTGAGTCTTCCCCCTCCCTCTCTTGTAAGGTGGAAAACAAAGAATTCTGGATAAGAAAATGCCAGGGTTCAAGTGACATACTTCGCAGTGCTCTTGGAAGATGATAGAAATCCTTCAAACCCTTTCAAGACATTCCCACATTGGTTCGAATCTTGTAGGTAACTAGTTTCCAAGTCATAAACCTTCCACAGAATATCATACATCAGAAGATACCATACTAGTTTGTGTGCTTGCATAAACGAAGTGTGTATGCTGTGTAATCAAAAGAATGAACCGTTCTGTTTACCAAGAAAAAAAAAAAAACCAAGTTCATTAAGCTGAACGTAGAAGATCGAGTATATATATAACCATAGTAAGATCTCTTCCTTGAACCCCACGACTTAACAGGCTGCTGATTTTTAATAGACCAACATACAGATATAAACATATATATATAGCGAGAGAGAGAGAGAGAGAGAGAGAGAGAGAGAGAGAGAGAGAGAGAGAGAGAGAGGGAGCCGGTCTAGTTCCCGCTTCCCATTTTTCGACCCATGACCCACAAGGCGGAAGAAAATAGCGGATGAGGGAAGGTACACTCTTTAATGTTCAGAGTTTCCTAAAATTGTCTCAATTGGCAAGGATAGCAACCCAAGATAAGAACATTCCAGGGCACTCTCTGTACAAAGTACGAGGTAAAAGTAAGCATTAGGGAATCGAATGAAAGCACACGTGGGACGAGGATGATTCTTAGTAGCTGCCCATCGCCGCTCCTCTCCTCCTCACGCGTGCAACGATTTTTGGCCGAAAAGTCGGGGAGAAAGAAACGCAGAACGAAGCTCGTACCTGCTTCTCAATATGACGGAGCTCCTCCTGAAGCCGGTCTCTCTTGCTCATCAGCGCCGCCAATATGGCCGAGGGATTCGACGCCCCCCTTTGACCTAAACGAAGAAAACATGGCGGGTTCACCAACGGCCAGAGAAAAGAGGGCCCGAGACAAGACCCCAAGCGATCGAAGCAAAAGCGGACGAAAAGCAGCCCCTCGACGCGAGCTCCCGCGAGGAGGAGGAAGAAGGAGAGGTGTGGTTCTTCCCTTCCGCCGGCTGTTCTGTCTCATTCCAAACATTACCTTCCGATTCCATGCCTTCCCCGCGCGAAATTTGGAGCCCGCCTCCCTCCCAAAACCGCGCCAAGAAAGGGAAACCCTAGCTGGGATCTCCCGCGGCCGCCCCACCCACCTCCGTCTTCCTCCTCTAGGGCCTTAATCTTCGGCCGGCCGCAGCTGGGCTCCTCCTCCGGGCGTGTCCGAGCCGCCCTCCCCCAACATCAGGAGACAGACTCCTGGGCCCCACACAACCTAGGTCGGGCCCACAGCCTAAATTTAACCTAAATGCTAATATACATATAAAAACAGAAATAAAGTCAGCCGCCGCCGCCGCCGCCGCCGCCAGAGCAGTATATCAATACCCTATAAATGCCTAATTATTATTCTTATTATTACTTTCCCTTCTTTTCAGCCCGCTTCCAGGCCGATGAATAAAAATCCCAGAAGCAGACGAAGAAGGAGAAGAAGAGAGCATCCACAGGAGAAAGACGAGGCCTTTTTTCTCGGAGCAAGAAGCAGGCGGTGATAGCAATGACAGTAAGCCAAGCCAAGCCAAGCCGAGCCGAGCCGAGCAGGCAATACGGGGCCAAAATTTCACACCGTAATTCTTCCAGACGACCAACCAGTCGCAGGTCTGAACCAGCCGGCGGGGCAGGCCCTCCTCCGCCTCGCCGCCGGCTCGGCGGTACTCCCTACTCCTCCCTCTCTCCCTCTCTCCCTCCCTCAGCTGGCTATGGAGCTCGCTGGTTCTTGCTCCTCGTGTGTACAGTGGTGCGGGAGCGCGCTGGTTCTTGCTCCTCTGCGGGGATGAACCTGGCTGGGGAAGAGGAGAGGATCAGAGGAGGGCTTTCTTTGTGGTTGGATGGGGTCGTCTTCATCATCATCCGAGGCCGCGGATGCAGTCTTCCAGGTTCCTCCGTCCGAATCTCCTGCCTCCGAGCCGGGCTTCTCGGGACCTCGCGTCGAGGTAGCAGAGCAGCCAGACGACCATGAAGAAGACCTCCGCGACGGACTGGACCACGGCGGCGAAGAGCGAGCCGCCGACGGCGGTGAGCACCCATCTCCCGCTGTTCCAGCAGATCATCATCTCCACCTGCCGGAGGAGGAACGCCCGATCCGCCATGCCCAGCACCTGCCGGAACCCATCCCATAGCACCTCCGGGCCCCTCCGCCGCTGGTTGTGGTCCGTCACCGCCGCCCACCAGCTGAAGGCGAACACCAGCGCCACGACCCTCTCGAGCAGGCCCCACGCCAGGAGGAACCACCAGAGACCTTTCTCATCCCCGCCGGACCACTGCGTAATGGGGGACGCCGTCAGCAGGAAGGGCATCAGCTTCACCCGCACGAACAGCTTCAGCACCGCCTGCTGGTCGTTCACGTCGGAGAAGAAGAGGATGCAAAGGAACTGCGCCAGGACGTCCCTCACGACCCAGCGCAGGAACACGAACACCAGCGCGCGCCGGATCCCCAGGCAGCACCCGCCGTAGATCGTCCTCGTGAAGGACCGGCGGCGACCCAGCAGGAACTCCGCCACCGCCAGGAAGACGATCCCCACGGCGCAGGAGTAGAGGGAGAGGAACCCGACGGTGGCGAAGAAGTAGACGACGGAGAAGAGGCTCATAAGGTAGGCCAGCACCATGGCGTCGCGCCGGTCCAGGTGGAAACCCTGCCCGAAGATCCGGATCTCAATCTCCGCCGCTGCCCCCTCCCCGTCCTCTGCTGTTGTTTCCTCCTCGCCCGCGCCGTCTTCGTCCTCCGCCAAAAAGAAAAGAATGGGCAACACCGTGGGCTCCGAAACCCTAATCTTCCGAACCCCCGGGAGCCACGGCCTCCTTCCGCCGCGGCCGGTGTTCATCATCAGGAAGGTGGAGGAGTTGAAGAGCCAGCCGCCGTGCCGCCGGTGGTGGTCGCCGGTGGCGCGGTCGATGTCGGAGAAATCGTCGTCCAGGGTGCCGACGCGGGAGAGATGGAGGAACGGTGGGCGCCCCCGGGGCCGGCGAGAGTATCCAGGGCCGTGGTGGTGGTGATCCCGCCGCCGACCAGGGTCGCCTCTGCTGCCCCCCGCGGCGGTGGCGCCGGCGGAGGAAGAGGAGAGGCGGCCAAGGAGGGACTGAACATCCGGATTGCGATCCAGAACGTGCTCCACGCGGGCGGCGGCGATGTGCAGGATGCAACGGTAGGTTAAGAGAAGAAGGGAGACCGAGAGGAGGACGGGCATGGCGGAGCAGAAGGCACCGCAGGAGCGGCGGATCACCCCGCCGCCGCCGCCGCCGATCGGCATCCCGCCGCGGATGAGGCCCTCTTTCTTATCCCTACTTTCCACTGATGGTGGTGGCGGTGGCGGTGGCAGCGGAGGTACGGGGGGGAGGAGGAGGAGAGGGCTCTGGAATTTGGGGGAAATGCAGACGGAGAGGATTGGGCCGCCGCCCGATAGTTTTTAATAATTATCAGTCTATTTCGGAGGCATCGGGCTTTTCTGTAATATAAAATACTTCCAGTGCCTATTCGTCATAAAAAGAAACAAAAAAGAAACGAAGGTGGATGTAGAAGAGCAAATCTCACCCACTTGAGGGGCTCCAGTTCAATGGGCCCGCCCCATGAGCTGGCAACCCACTAGAGTTGACCAAAGGCGGACTTGAAAGCCCAGTCTTCCTCTCTCCGCCCCCAAAAAATAAGTTGCACAAGTAAAAGTAGACAACGGTCAACGGCAGGGTTTTCTCCCCAACAGACGCGAATCAATTATTCTAAAATCAATGCAAGGCGTCCGGGGGTCCACATGATAAGTCAACGTCCCCACATGGAAGTCGTCGCCGACAGGCCGGCTAAGGCCACCCACCAAAGAGCTCAATAACCCCGAGGCCGAAGGAAGTCAACGTTCAACGACCAATTCATTCACAACCACCAGGGTATGACCAGCACGTCCGCCCAAACAGGCTGCATGCTCAGGTTGACGACGAGACGGCCTGCTTCAGACAAGTGCGCATGATCTCCCCCAGCTTCGAGCAAGCATCCAGACAGAGCTCCGTCGCCTGTTGACCGAGAAAATGGCAATAATAAATAGCACCAGAACTAGCACTGCTGGTGGCAACAGCAGCAGTGATGGGCATTAAAGAGAGGGTCTCCACCTCATGAATCCTGCCCGTTGACCATTCCCCGGTGAGAGTCAACTGGGTGATCTCGCGGCGAGAAGGCATGAAAGCGACCGTGAGGCTGCCATCCTGGCAGTCTTCCTCCTCTGCGGCGGGGTCAATGATGAGGCTGTTGCCGATGCACGACTTCAAAATGAGCAAAAATATGCAGAGGATGATGTAAGAAATCCACATGAACTTGCTCTAAAAAGGTCAACGGGAGGAGACCCAGCCTGATCGATCAATCACCTTGAAAACAGGTGATTGAACAAGCAGGTAGTTTCCCAACAATCAGGAGCACCGATGCTAAAAGTCAAACACAAGCACAATCCAGGAACAGGCGAACCAGATGAACCAGATGAACAGGAGGCAGGTTCTATCAGACTCGATCATTACTGCCATTAATGGAATCACACGGGGAAGCAAGATTGTCGCTTGGTGATCATCAGGAGATGGAAGCAGTCGCAGCATGGATGGCCAAGCGTTACATACCACAGAAGCTGAAGCAACGAGATCGTACATCATTATTCCTGCATCCGCAAGAGCGAGGCTGGCGCAGGATATCACCGCCGGAAGATCGCCTGCGAGAAGCTCAGGTCAACCCAGCCCACCCGCTAGGGTTCGGAAGATCGATGCAGAGGGAAGGATGGCGGATGAATGTGATGCAGGGAGGCGGGAGGACTCACTGCCGCCGGATTCTAGAACGAGGGCGAAGACGTCGACGGTGGTCTTGGGGAAGGACTCGAGGAGGACGGCGCCCTCCAGAGCTTTGTGGAGCATCGAGGAGAAGTCCTTGTGATCCGACTCCTGAGCATGGTTCGAGATTCATCGCGAAGATAATAAGCAGAGGATGAAGACACCCACCTCCTCCATCTGGAGGAGGAGACGAGGAAAAACCCAAACCCTAAATACCTGCCCGCGGGTCGCGGTGGAGAAGGTCGCGAAGTTCACGTTGCAGTTCAGGCGGCCGATCCCACTGTACTTCATGGCCTTCTTGCTCTCTCGGGGGCCAAATCTAGAGAGAGAGAGAGAGAGAGAGAGAGAGAGAGAGAGAGAGATGATCATTTCCTGAAAGGGGCTGAGAATAAGGGTTTGGGTTGCAAGGAGCTCACACGGAGACGATGACCTTGGTGGAGCCGAACTCGGCGTATGCCGACCCCGAAGCGGCCCTCGCCGCGCCGGTCCTCAGGACTGCAGGGCACCGAGAAAGCAATAAGCACCCTACCCATATTAAACGCCGGAGCAAGAGAATCACACACGCAGAAGCAATAACTTCTGATCGCCTTCATCGTCATCATCATCATCGAGCTTCGTAAGGGCGGGCGGCGGAGGAGGTGGGTGGACGCAACTTACATGCAGGCCTGCACTGGTGGAACCCTCGGCCGTCGGAGCGGACCCAGTTGTCGTCCTGGAGTGGCCGCCGCCGCTGCTGCTGGTGCCGTCGGAGGGCATACGACGCTGGGGACGCCATCCTCCAGAGGACGGCCAGAAACCCTAAACCAAACAGACGACCGGAGTCGGAACAGTAGAAGAAAGACCAAGTGGCTGTTTTCCGCAAGAAAGAAGGGAAATCAGAAGAGGGCGGGGAGGCGATCCCAGGAACTCCGGCGGAGGAGAACGAATAACCAGAAGAATAGAACGACACCGTGATCGTATGGTATATCCCGCTGCCCTTTTCCTTCTCCCGCTCACTCCTGCGGCGGCGGCGAGAGCCCCGGAGTAGAAAGCCCCTCCCTAGCTACCATTAGCGGTCCTCCATTAACCATGAAGTTGCGAGCTCCAGCTCCCTCCCTCTTCCTCCCAGTTCGCCACCATTAACCAGAGACGAAGGAAGAATCGTCTCTGTTTCGGCGATCAACAGGTAGGGAAGAAGAGGGTCCAATCTCTCTGCTACTCCTAGATTGATGGCGGAAGACCCAGAGGCTCATTCGAGAGTTGCAGGGTCCAAATCCATGAAGGTCATATACCGATCCAATCACCCTCCCCCTGTACTCGGAGGAACTACCGAGAAAGGGGCCCGCGCCGCCCCGGCGAAGGGGAGAAGGGTGAGTGGTGAGCGTACCTGGAAGCTCGGCGCCGGCGGCGGGCGGCGCAGCCGAGGTGGCCGACGGCGGCGGAGGAGGAAACAGAGAGGGCCAGAGAGCGGAGAGATGTTGCTTCTGGGCCCGTCGAAATGCGGCGGCGGGAGAGGAGAAGAGATACCACACAGAGGAAGAAATATGGACGAATATACTCAGCACACCTTAAGCGGGTAAGTCGCTCCTCGCGCCCCCAAAGAAGATCGGACGGCTCAGACGGAGTTCCTTTCGTACAATCGGCAGGCTCAGCCGTCCGATCACGTTCATAACACCCAAGAGTAAGTCTTTCTGGTACTCTTCTAGCCTCCATCTCCAGAAAAGCTCAAGATGGCGGCAAGAGAGAAAGCTGGGTTGGGTTGGGTCGGGTTGGGTCGGGTTGACTATTACCTGCCAGGTCAGCGGGCCCGGTCTCTGAGGACATCCAGGTCCATCTCGGTGGGGTCGGTGGCCTGGATCTCGTAATGGACGCCGTCAAGCTCGCGCCGGAATCTGCTCTTGGATGTGGCATACAGCATCTTGGCTCGGATGCGGGATATGGAGGGGGACCTGGCAGAGGAAGCCCATCAGAACAAGGAGAAAACTGGCATCAAAGTCTACAAGCCAAGCCATGAATCATTCATCAATGGAGGAACATTATCGAATATGTGTAGCAGTTCACTCGAATTCTCCGATGGCAATCAGAGATGGGTACAGCTCAATGCAGGCAGATACTAGCAGATGATAGGCCTGAAAAAACGAAAAAAAGAAAAAAAAAGAGGGTTCATGCGGGGGATCGATCCTCCTGGTTTGATTTATATCCATTCAATGGCTTGTTGGCAAAATTCAATGACCAATTTGTAATGTCCGGGGAGTAATGATTGTCAGGTTGAATCCCTGGCATTCTGAAATCAATCGTTTGGATGGTAAACCTAATGATTTGAATACAGTACACTAGTCGGAACATTGCGAAGGGTATTGTAAGTAACCGAGGCATCTCATGTTGAGGAAGAGAGCGCGTGGGAAGTCAAGATGAGGAAATAATGTGGAATATATGAGAGAGAGAGAGAGAGAGAGAGAGAGAGAGAAGGATCAGTAGAGAAGAGAATTTCACCTCCCCACCATGACAGACAAACACAGATGAGAAGACACAAGGATTTCACTTTTGGAAGCTTCTTTATGTTTGGACACAATCTTCCCCGAATCTAATGGACTGAATCCCGGCATTGAACTTCACATATGTGCAGTATATCAGCATCAGCATTTCTCAAGGGAAGTGCTCACAATAAGCTACTGTAGAATCTGGTCAATATCAGAACAAGATCGCTGTTGTAGAGGACCAAAATTGGGCACCATCAGGATCCTTGGTCCTCGAATGCGACTTATGAGCATAAAAGAGATCGAAACCAAGGTAATCTAGCAGAAATATCTGCAAACTATGCCACATTGATAATATCCTAGTGTAACAGGTATTTTTCCATTTTCAAACGAATGTTTTCGGTATAAGAAAGCAATGTACAATTTCTACGTAATCATAAAAGAATTAAATTGTTCTTCCCCCTTTCCATAACTCAAATGAAAGTCATATTTTTCACACTAACTAAGAGTTTTGTTTCTTTTCACCCACACAAGTAAGCATCTGATAGAAAGATTGACTCAGTGGATAAAAGGGGGGCACCATCAAATCCGAGACAGTACCCCGACACGAATCGACCAGTCAGGTTGAAAGAAAAGAAAGATTAGACTAACACAAAGTGGATAAAAGTTAAAGAAAAGAAAGAAAAAACAGAACAATAAATTTGATCAGTGGCAAAAGCATAAGATATTCGAAGATTACATTAACTGAGAACATGGGTTGAGCCAAATCTTTCCTATCTAGAAGAAAAACATGCATGCAGAGCATAATGGCATCATAAAAGTAATAATGGATGATGACTTGGGCACCGGTTAGAGGCAAGAATCAACCATGCAATAAAGAAAATCTTGCTCTTCTGGCAATTTTCTTCAGTCACAAAATCAAAGTCATAGACTGCGTATCGGCAGTCATCATCTGGCAAGGAAGCTATAAAGTCATCATAGCTTTCCCCAGGGTCTCCAGTCTTCTCAACTACGACCTCCTTTGTCTTTTCATCGATCATGAATATCACATAGCGATGAACTTTTTTCCTCTTCAGTTGCATGAAAGTGTTCATGCTGTGGTCAGCAACTCCCATCCCCGAGGATGCATTCGACTGCGAATCAAAACGCCCATGCCATGAGATTTACAATCACTTCACTTCAATTCAGCGCAAAAAAAATCAAATACTCTAAAATTACAGTTTACGTAAACATCAGGAAACGAAATGCTTCGTGTCAGCAACATATCTCTGAATCACGAACAAACTGAGATAGCACCTCTACAACGGCGCAGAATTGATATTAGTCCAGCTACGGTCCACCCCAATTTTAGACTAGAAATAGGCGAAGGGATCCTAACAACCCCGATATCTGCCAACAAATGGCAACACAGCAAAGACCGATAAAAGTGAGCAGGCCTACGAACTTCTTCGTGACCGACTCGACAAAACAGTCAGACACCGCAGTGAATATATATATAGATATATAATACAATAATATACGGCAGCACATATCCACCATCTCCGCCAAATCATTTGCGTGATCTAGAGGGGAAAGAGGGATTGGACGGGAACCGGACCGAACAAGCACTCTCTCACAAGAGTTCAGAACGGAAACAAGCACAAGGATCGGACATCCACAGGAATGGACGCAACCTACACCACCGAGAAAGAAGCAGTGACAGCACCAGACGCACGCGCTCACCATTCGAAACGACATGGGCCACCTGAGCGCCTCTACCGATGGAGTTGGAAGGCGATGATGACGATGGCCTCCCCCTGAAGATCGCTCGGAAGGAGGAGAGACACAGCGAGAGAGAAACAGAGAGAGAGAGAGAGAGAATAAAAGAGCGCTGCCTAAAGAGGAAGATGCGGCGCCGCGTCACATCTTGGTTCGGCTCCACGTACGGCTGTGCTTTTCAAAGACCACACAATCGAACCGTCCATCTTGTGGGACTCCTGACCACACGGTCAGGATTCCGTGGGCGGCGGCGTCGAATCGGTGGATTGGCTAAAGAGATGATGAAGACTCCGATTCCCGTGCACCGACGCCCAAGCCAGGGTTTGACCTTGTGGTCCCCTCCCCGATAGACTGTCCGTCAGATTAATAAAGAGCCAGCCGGTTTGATCTCTCTCTCTCTAAGATGCAAGTCTGCGTATACGTGATGAAGAGAGAGAGAGAGAGAATCAAGTGGAAAAAAGAGAATAATGGCAGATTTAAATCGAATTTAACCCAGAAGCAAAAAATGTGAAAGATGGTCGGGAGTCGTTGACCCACAGAAGCAGAAATAGTCAAACAGCAACACAACAATAGTACGGCATAGGGGGCGCAGACCCCGGCGCAGAAATCGTGCCCAGAAATAATAGCAAACGCGAGACTCGTTGACTTGCTCTGGACCCATCAGCGAGTCCATCCTTATTCCTCTCCTCCGTTGTGGGGTGGGGGGTCACAGCCGCGAGCTCTCCGGAGCTCTAACCTACCGCCGGAGGCTCTGCAGAATATACTGCGCGTAGAGGTCCCTGCGGGCAGCCCACATCAAAGCAAAAAATTATGAACCGGCAGAGATCTCCGATTCGACCCGCATATATTCTTTTTCCTTGGTCCATTTTCGAGAAATAATAAGAATTAATCGCGTATAATGATGCCCAATCATGGAGTGCTTACATGGAGTACTGGATGGCACTGTGAGCGGTGCTTGCCGGCAGGAAGTCGTTGACCGCGACCTCCTTATTCTCGTTCTTCTTGTCTGCGATGATCATGGTGCTCAGATGAAATGATATGAGAGCGAGAGAGAGAGAGAGAGAGGAGCATACAGTCTTCGAAGAACCGGCGGATCTCGGCGAGGCGGTGAGGAGGGAGCTCTTGGATGTCGTTGTAGTGGCGGTACTCTGGATCGTCGGCGCAGACAGCGATGATCTTGTCGTCCTTCTCCCCCTGATTTATTTAGATGGTCGCTTGTGAGAAATCGTGGGTGGGTCTCCGAAAAATCTGGAGATTTGCCTCGCAGCGAGGGATGGTCAACCTGGTCAATCATTGGCATGAGTCCGATGGCGCGGGCCCGCAGAAAGCAACCAGGGAGAACCGGTTCCTGCTCGCAGTGCAAGCAGCGCAGATTAGCAAATAAACCGACAAAGAAACTGCAATCGGTCGGAAGAGGGTATTGATCTCAGTACCTGCATGAGGATCAAAACATCCATGGGATCGTTGTCTTCGCAGAGGGTTCGAGGAATAAAACCGTAGTTGTGGGGGTAAACGACAGATGAATACAGGATCCGATCAACCTGAATTGGTCAAACATCAGAAAGAAAGAATCCTTCGTGGACTTTACATAGCTATGGATCAGTGGTGCACCTTGATCAAGCCTGTTTTCTTGTCGAGTTCATACTTTACTTTACTTCCTTTTGTTATCTCCACCACCTATTACAGATTGACAGAACGTCGAATAAGCAGACGGAGAGACCCGAAAAAATTTATGCAATCTTCAAAGCACGATGGCATCCACCGAATCAATAACGATATAGTCTCTAGTATTGGGAGCACACTCAATCTTGGAGTCGTTTTCACAGAAAAAAACCAAGTCGTGTATAATGAAAGATCAGTTTAGATAGAGCGTGAGAAGCACGCACCCTGAGGGTCAGTCCAGAATTTACAGAAACTAGGGGACCAGAATCAAATGGTCACATGATGTGAAATGATCACAAAAAAGGCAAGTTTGTGAATCAAAGTCAACTGCTAGGATTATCAAATGAAAGAATCAAATGTGTTTCATCCCACTTACACAGTTGAACACAGACGGCGCTCCAGGGCCTGCATGCAAAGTCGCATACAAAGTCAACAAAAGTGTAAGAATTAGCTTCTGTCGTGCTTTGAAGCCGTTATGGTTTAGTGATGTCCCTACCTATTTCGAGGTCGTGCCAAGGATGTGCCGCCACCGATCTCCTCGACAAGGATGAGAGAATCCTTTCATTCAGGCGAGGAACCGGGCCTTTCTCACGAGCTGCATTCTGACTTTCTTCACTCATGTTTCTCAATAAGTTCTGAACAAAAAACAGAACAAGTGTAAAGTATCGACAGCTTAAGAAGCACTGAACGAGTGTAATGGAATTCTTATCGAAAAAAACCAAATCCAACGAGCGCCCAGTATACCAAAGCTTATCACTGTCCTTAACACTATCAGTGACCGTCTTCTTTAGAAACCAACACGGCCAACACTTGATGTCATTCTGTGGTGAGACACAAAGCAGAGAAATGGTTTCTTGTAAAGGCATCTCCAGTTGAGATACTTACGCATCTGGACATAGAACAATGTAGCACAACAAAGGCGAATCGCTCCAAGCCTTTGTCATATTTTCAGGCAAGCCTAAGCGAATCCATAGAACAGTAGTGGTGCTCCCAAAATGAATGCCAAAGGGGAAGGAAAAGGGAACCCTCCATTTCTCTTCGCGATCCTATAAAGCCTTGCTGCATCGTGCATGAACTTTTCCGACCCTTGAGAATTAGTTTAACCCAGGGAAACTCCAGGATCGATGTAACATGTCAAAACCATCTACAAATGTCGAGAAAGATGGAATCATCCACAACTGAGCTATTGCCTTGTAAACTTTCAATGTCTTCAAAAAAAAAAAAAAAAAAATCCTTTCTATTCTCTTATGGACAACTTGTGGCCTTGGATCTGAAACACAGGAAGCGGCATCATCATTCAACGATACAAACCGTCGAACGTTATCTTGTGGGGATCTTAACGACCGACCGAAAGAAAAGAATCGATCAGCCATCAGTCAGGGTTTTGCTCATATCGAAGAGCGCCCGTTCTTCCAAACCCGTTGGCTCCATTTGCCAGGGAAAACAGTCTACCCAGACTGCAACAGTGCAACTTCCCTTATAACATTGACACCCCGGTCCTCCACTCGAAGAACATCAAAATGTTCGACTCACTGTGTCTCGTAGGATCCGAACCATCGGACCTCTAGGAGCGCATCCCCCACCCTTAAATGTCGCAATGGAACACCTTAAAGGCAGCCTTGCTCCTCCTACTCGGAAAGAATGGAGAGCACAGACAGGACTCGATAAATACCAAGAGGAGACGTTCTGAATGGGCGAAATCGATCGGGAGAGCAGCGTAGCTGCGAGATCACCTATGATCATCCAGAACGCAAGACGCCATAACAGCAAACTAGGTAGGTAGAATCAAATCCAAAAAACCTTCGGTCGCCGTCCACGGAGCAGCAGCGCCGATGCCGTTACCTGGACTCCACGCGACTCTTCGATCGGCGCGCTGGAGTGAGCGAGAGAGGGAGGGAGGAGGACAACGGAGATCGGATCCGCAGGTGGCCGCCGCAGTGACGGTGGCGCTGCCGGAAGGGGAGGGAAGGTCGGGATCATCCTCCTCAGGGGGGGGGACATAAATAGAAGGAAAAGGAAGAAAATTTCGTGCACGTGTCTTCGTGGGAGTGGATAGTGGGGCCCACCGCCGTTCTGGCCCACAAAAAAAAGAGAAAAGAAAGGCACGTGCAACATCCCCAACTGCAACCGGGGGCACATCGTGCCACGTACCCTCTTCCCCCTCCGTTGCTTCGACTTTGCCCATATAACCTGAATTATTATTATTATTATTATCTTCAGCGGCGCCCCAGATCACCGCGGAGAGGCGTAGCTTAGCGAGCGGGAGAGAGAGAGAGAGAGAGAGAGAGAGGCAGAGAATATGATGGTGACTTTTGAGTCTCCACGTGTAGCAGGGCCTTGCCGAGTGTACCTTTGTGGAACACGTCAGGCGGTGCACGTTTCGGAAGCTAGCAGTCGCGCAGAAAGGGCGAGGGCCACGGAGGCCGGGTACGGCCACGTCACCAGATGACGGGACATGCCAGATGGTGCCAGTAGGGTAGAGTTGGCTCCCGCCATCACGAGAAAAGAAACCGTTCAGAGCCTCTCTTTCTTCTCCTTCCTCGTCCGTCTAGCCTCGGTTACGCTGCCTATTGCCGCCTTCTTCTGATCTTCAGAGCAGAGGGAGAGAGATACGGTTCCTCTTTCTCACTGTCGTCGTTACGTTCCTCTCTTCGGTTCTCTCATCTCCTGTCCTCTTCCCTGTTGAGTGCGCCGCCCTGGGAGGTCGTTTTGGAGGAGACGGATTCGATGGGATTCCTGAGCACGCTGCTGGGAGTCGTCGGATTCGGGGTCGGGGTTCCCCTTGGTCTGCTCTTGGGGTATTTCATCTTCATCTATTCAGAGTCCAGCGACGTCCAGGTGCGTTTCTCCAGACTCGCGCCGGTGGCGATGGCGTGTATCTTAGTCGTCGTCGTCGTCGTTGTCTTCCACTCACGAATCAATCCGCTTCTCTCGTCGATCAACCGAGGCGATCGTGTCCGGTTAATGGGCTGCGTTCTTTCCTGTCGTTGTTTCTCACTTGTTGTATCTATCCCCTGTTTCCCCGCCTCCAGGACTCAGACAAGTTTAGCAGGGGTCTGCGCCGGGGGGCCGTAAATGGGGGCTCCTACCTCAAAGTTTTGTCTTCTAGTGTTCCCATCTCCATGATTTATGTTCGAATTTCCACGCAGGAAGCCGATTTTCATACGCACGAGAGTTCCTATTCGAGTGATAATTTGTTGGCTCACCCTTCCTGCTTTAATCAACTTAAAAAAAACGAATTTCTGGATAGAATTTGGATGTCTTCCACTTCTGTTATTTTATGTTTTCAGTACGTATCTCTGACGGGTGTTGCCCAATTCCCGCAGAAACACGTAGTTCTACAGGGGGGGGGGGGGGGGGGTTGCCCTCCCTGGGGTTGGATTGACTGGATTTTTTTACCTGATCTTCTCCATCCATTTGCTACGGTCCTCAATTTATTTTTATCTCGGGTATCTGATGCTTATGCTGTGTTCCACTCAGACAGCTTTACTTGTTCCCCCATTCAAAGTCGCCGATTCCTCTAGAAGCTTTTCCTAAGAATTTCTCTCATTTTTTTCCGTTGTTTAAAAGCTTAACCCATCCTCCGTTAGCATGGTCGTATAGCTATAACATCAGTATAATTATTTCATTTTTCAACTTGTGACTGCAGGATCCAGTTACTCGCAAAATTCATGATTTGGATTCGAAGACTCTGAAACAACTGTTACCTGAAATTCCATTATGGGTGAAGCGTCCCGACTATGAGCGTGTGAGTGCTGATCCTCACGTCAGAATTCCCTTTGCTCTTTCAATTTCTGTGGTAATGTTAGCATAGCCCGAAATATCATTTGTGATTTTTTTCTGGAGAGATAAGTCAGATAGTCATAATGCTTCGCCTTTTAGATATTTTATCTAGACAGATATGATGCATTTATGATTAGCACCTTGTTCTAGAGCTGGGTTTAGATAACTACGAGTCAGACGGCGATTTATTTGCGAGGAAATAACTTTTTTACAAATTGGCACTGAAGATGTAAAAATTTAGCTCTGGAGCAGGGAATGTAGATCTGGTTATCTCAAACTGATGTTAATGATAACCTTTTAGTTTTCTCCCTCTCCAGGAAATCTTGCTTTCATGACCGGAAAAAGAATATTCTTATCTGAACAATCATACGCAATTTTATTTTTTTTCAGCTTACGGATTCTTCATAATTGTTCGATATGTATTTTAATCTGGAACGTGGCAATTATTTTGGAATATACTACCAAAATTCGTATTATCTCAAGATAATTGGAATATAGGTACCTCGTATTTAGTTTCTACCCCCTTGAAAGGCTTCTGTCTCTTGACTCTCTCTGCTACCTACGTTTGAAGACGCTGGCGAGAAGGAAGCTGGTTTGCTTTGAACTAGTAGATCACGTGTTGCATGTCTATGTTACTGGATTCTCTACATGAAGAGAACTCCAATGAGAAAGTAACTTTGTATACTTTACCGTAAAATTTACAGCTAACGTTACGGGCAGTCCTCTTTTTATTTTTCATTATTTTGAGCCAGTTTAGTGAAATATTATACATATATATATATATATATATATATATATATTATTGACTTTTCTTTCCACGAATGGCATTATTTCTTTTTCTAGGTCGAATGGATGAACAAATTTATCGCTGAATTGTGGCCTTGGTTGGATAAGGTACTCCTGATCTTTACGAACTTATTTTAGTTAAACCAGTGGTTGGCATTTATTTTCCTATTCTCTGAACTTTTTGTGGTTATACCTATTGAATCATACTTGTTGAGACTTTTTTTATTCAGTCGGTTACAGGAAAGAAACATCAGAAAAAATCGTTCATTAGGATTTATAAAAGATTTAGTTCTTCGTATGGTTTAGTATACTTTCATTCTGGCTGATTTTTATTAATTCAGGCAGCTTGCGATATGATTAGAAGCATGGCCAAACCAATATTCGATCAGTACATTGGAAAATTTCACATAAAATCAATTGAATTTGGACTTCTCACGCTTGGTACCCTTCCACCCAGATTACACGGTATGTAATCTTTCTTTTGGATGTTGAAGTGAGATCTGATATTTGGAGCATATGTAGACCCTTCTATCCTTATTACCTGAGGAATATTTCCCCTGTTCGCGAGAAAACAGATAAATGTCCCGGTTTACGACAAACTTGAGTGCTGCCTCATCGCTCCCATATTCATTATTGTCCCTGAGATGAAGCATCAGTCTGGCTCTGGGCAAAGCTGTCCGCCCAGATGCTAATGGTAAATTCTCTAGTTTGGCGTTAAACAGGAGGAGGCCTGCCATTACCCGTTGATGGGGCCGCTTGCCCTTTTGTCCTGCTCCCAAATTTACCGGTGAAAGGAGAAGAAGGAGATTGACACATTGGCAACTTAGGCCATGAAACATGCCCACGTTTCCCGAAAACTTGCCTCTTACGCTGCATAATTTCCGACCCGTTTCCATCGAGGAAGGTGTGCTATGAAGTATGTAACATGCTTCCCAGGCGCAACCAGTTATTTTCAGGAGTCACACAATAAACCAAATTCTTAGGCGTCAAGTTTCAGGTCCTTGCTTCCGCTCACGTGCATAATGAACCTCTACCTCTCTGAAAATCATCGTTTATCTGATTCGTCTCCAATAAATTATTGATTTTATTATGCTCTCCTGCCATTTTAAGATACATTTTTAAGATCCTCCAAGGAATGAGAAGATCCTAGGGAGGTCAAGAATGTGCCACTTGGCTGCAAGAATGTGCCGAGTCCAAGTGGCACGGGGTCCGCTGACTTCGAGGAACTCCGGCACTCGTCCACGATGTGCTCCATGACTCACCGTGGATTCAGAAGAACTTTTGTCCGCCGGGTCACTCCTTGATGACAGCCAATATTTTTTTTACTCTTAGTTCCTCCCCTCTGCAGGTGTTAACTTCTACGAGACAAATGGGAGAGAACTAATTCTTGAGACCGATATTCGCTGGGCTGGCAATCCAAACGTACTCGTTGTGGTAAATTTTCTGGGTTTTAGAGTAACAGTGCAGGTGAGGAGTTCTTCCAGCGCAAAAGAAAAAGAGAAGAGGGAAAGATCGAATAATGATGTCCCCCACAGAAAATTCTTTCTCATAGAGTTTGTCTTTCAGCTGATAGATTCACAGATCTTCATGTCACTGCGTGTTACACTGAAGCCCCTGGTGCCCACCTTTCCGTGCTTCGGGAGCGTGGGCATGTCCTTGACGGACAAGGTAATCCCGGGAGGGCTACCCTTCTTCATACCACTGCAAATCCGGGCACTTTTGTTGAACTGATTCTTCTGCACCTACTCCCACAACATGGTTCCAGCCGCACGTCGACTTCGGCCTCAAACTTGTCGGAGCAGATATCATGGCAATCCCTATCTTGTATAGTTTTGCCCAGGTACGTGCTTCCGCCATCGATTTCAACTCCCGGTCGTTGCGTGGATCTTCTTCGGCTTTCGTCTTTTAAGTTGCTTGTGGTTTTCTTGGGGAAGATCAGTAGTAATGGTGGCAGCAATCAAGCCCTTGCTCTCGTCGTCCATCTTCCCATTCCCTTCACATCCTGCATAACGATGACACCGCGTGGGCTCCCTAGAGGTTCAAGCAGCGAGCATCATGAAAAAGTTTTTTTTTTTTTTTTTTTTTTTTTAATTTTCTAATTTCCAGTCGGGGAGCTAAACGGCGCCGGCAGTCGAATTGGATATAGTAATCTCTTCTTTTCAGAGGATCTTGTTGGCCTGAACGCGAGAATTAATTGTCTGGGAATCACGCGCAGGAAACTATAAAAGAACAGCTTGGCGACCTCTGTCTCTGGCCGCAGACGCTGAAAGTTCCGATTCTCGACGGCTTCAGGTGACCTCCGCCGGATGGGCGTTGACCATTTTTTGCTTCCTCGTCCATTTTCCCAGGAGGATTGCATCTTTGATGTGTGGTTGCAGCGCGATGAAGAAGCCCGTCGGAATACTGCACGTGAAGGTCCAGCGGGCGTCCGGCCTCCTGAAGATGGACTTGCTGGGAAAATCCGACCCGTACGTGAAGCTCAGCCTGAGCGGGGAGAGACTTCCATCCAAGAAGACCACCGTGAAGATGTGCGAGCTGAATCCTGAGTGGAACGAGCGGTTCAAGCTCGTCGTCAGAGACCCAGAGACCCAGGTCCTCGAGCTCCACGTGTTCGACTGGGAGAAGGTCAACCATCTCCCTCTCCCTCTCCATCTCCGTTCCATCGATTGTATTATTGATCTTTCCGATCGTCCAGATGAAGGCGCACGACAAACTGGGCATGCAGGTGGTTCCGCTGAGCCTGCTGAACCCCAACGAGCCCAACTGCTTCACCCTGGATCTGCTCAAGAACCTGAACCCGAACGACCCGCACAACAGACGGAGAAGAGGGAAGATCACGGTGGAGCTGAGATTGGCGCTGTTCAAGGAGGAGGTGGATCCCTGCCCCAGCAGGTGGCTGGACGGAGAGTGGGAGGGATGGAGCAGCGGGGAACGGTCTCTGGTCGACGCCCGATCCCACAGCGACGGGGTGCTCTCAGTGGCGGTTGTCCGGGCGGGGAATGTGGAAGGGAAGCACCACAACAACACCTACGCCGTCGTCGCCTTCAAGGGGGAGCAGAGGAAGACCAAGGTATCACCATCATCATCATCATCATCATCATCATCATCATCATCATCTGATCTGCTGATTAGTTTAAGAATTCTTTGCATCGTTGGGCTCCGATTCCTTCAAACAAAAACAAAAAAAGAACAAAAAAAAATAAGTTTCTTTTGTTATTTATATGATGTTCTTCCGGGTTGAGATTCGTAAAAAGGTTAAACCCATTGATCAGTACTGCGGGAAGATTAAAAATCTATTCTTTGATGAAACCTAGCACTGATCTTACGATCTTATTGCTCAACATCTGGTCACGAGTCAACGTTGAGATTCTTCTCCGACTGCAGATGATCAGCCGGAGCAGGGAGCCCAGATGGGACGAAGAATTCCAGTTCATGCTGGAGGAGCCCCCCGTCGACGAGAAGATCCACATCGAGGTGATGAGCAAGAGAAGGGGTTTCGGCTTCCATTCAAAGGTGAGCTCTTGAACCAGAAAGTCAACGCACCCCGCATTCTCCCACCGGCGAGATTCCACGTGAAGCTCTTCGTTGACGTCGTTGCTGGTTGCCGTTGCAGGAGTCATTGGGCCACGTGGCCGTCAATCTCGTGGATGTGGTGAACAGCGGGCGCATAAATGAGACGTATAACCTGATCAACTCGAGGCGCGGAGTGATCCATGTTGACATAAAATGGAGAACCGTTTGACTCCAACCAATATCGTGGGGGGAGGGAGAGAGGGAGAGAGAGAGAGAGAGAGAGAGAGAGAGAGAGAGAGAGAGAGAGATGGATTCAGTGGAGCTCACTGTGGTGGGGCTATAGATTAAAGAGGCTTTATTTTTGTCTAAAGAGAGAAAAAGGCCACGCACCTTTGAGTCGATAAAAGTTTATTCCCTTCCTCCACAAGAATACACGGACCAGGGACATACATAGTCAGCCTACCCTCCCTCTACCCTTTCACCCCTCTCGCCTCTTTCTTTTTCAGGCCAAGAGAGAGAGAGAGAGAGAGAGAGAGAGAGAGAGAGAGCATATATTCTCGGCAAGTTGCTGAAGTAGGAGTGGGGGGAGGGGAGTTCGGGAGATAAATGGAGGAGGTTGGTGGGTTTGGAGGAAGGCGGAAGGAGAGAGAGAGAGGGAGATAGATAGAGAGAGAGGATGATGAAAACAGGGACTCACGAGAAGGGTGCGTGGTGAGCCTACTCCCATTAGAGTTTGCCAGACTTTCCGGGGAGTAAGTCAACAGAAAAGCTACGTGCCAGGCTTTTCAATCTCTCTCTCTCTCTCTCTCTCTCTCTCGCTAGCTCTTCCTGCGGAGTGACTGCTTTGGACGAGTAGACTCCTTCCTAGTGGGACGGAGTGATTGTTTAGACAGAGAGCGAGCGAGCGAGAGAGAGAGAGGCTGTGTGCATGCACTGAAAGAGTGAGTGTGCAGTGAAAAAGGACACTGATACAGTGTCGTCGTCCTGCAGCAACATGACCAAAGGCAGACAGTGAAATTGCCAGCGTATCTGTCCGTATATACGCAATATTTGGTCGTACGCCCCCGAGAAAAGACGCGCGAGGTTGACTTGCACCACGATTAGACGGTAAGAATCTTCCCCCACTGTCCCACTGTCATCATCATGCGGTCTGGTTCCTGTCATCCTCTCCCCAAACCACCCCCCCCCCCTGCGGATGGCTGGGTAATCCACTCCGTCTCCGGTAAGAAACTCCCCGGCATCGACTGTCTCCCTTCTCTTCGTGGGAGATAGCTAACCTTTTCAAACCTTTTCTTTCTCCGGCGACAGTCAAAAGCCAGGGGAACTCGATTCCGCCTGAGCTCCGTTATCTTTCGGAGATGCATGGTCGGAGCGCCGGTTCCCCTTCGAACCCTATTCCGCTTCACATCCCTCCGCCGCTGCCGTCCTTTTCTGCCGGCGAGCCGGCTCCGTCTGGTTACCCTTTCTTTACGGCGAGAGGTTGAAGGGGTTAATGGCGTTTGTCCAGCTGCTCTACCCTCCTCGTCGGCGTCTCTCTGGGCGTGCCGATTAATGGCGTCTGTCCAGAGCTTCACGGGATGGTGTAACGCCTGCCGGTCCTGTCAGGGCCGGACGCAAACTTATTGTCTCGACTCATCCTCTTCTCGGTCCCCTGGGAATTTTCGTAACCCTCAATGGGTGGTCCTTTGTGCCTTACCCATACTCATTGTGCACTATCAGAAACCCTCTCTCTCTCTATAAACTGTAGCTATTTACTCGTCGCAAGTTGCAGCTAGCGACCAACGACGGGCTCCTTATCCGTGGGACCAAGCTGCAACGGGATGTGTGGGAGCGGAAATGGGATTAATTAAGTGGCGATCGGGTCCAGCGGGAGGGAGGGCCTCCACGTCTACGCCTCGCTCGACGGCGGCGGCGCGGCCGCCGTCGTCCACCCGGCGTCGGCGATGGCGTGGTCGCCCTCGTCTACTTACTCAGTCATTTAAACTGCGGCTGCTGAGAGACCGTGAACGGGCTTCTCTCCCGCCGGAAACCAGAGGAGCAAGTTGCCCTCGTCCACACGGGGGCACCCCCGACGTCGTTGAACGCCCCGAAGGGAGAGAGAGAGAGAGGGATGCAGGCTATTCAATTCCTAATTCCTTTTATGTGTGGGGCGACGTTGACCGAGCATGTAGAACGATATGTTTGACCATGAGAGGCGAAAGTCAAACTTTCGATAATAAACTTAGCCGAGGGAGAAGGAAGACCGGACTGTGAGCGAGTGGGGGGCGTGGTGAAAATAAAGTCGCAGCCCGCGGTGGGCCCCACCGGCGGACATGGCAAACACAATGCACGTGTGGGACGTGACCTGCCAGCAATCACCCTCTCGTCATGATCTCGATCGGGCCACCGCGCTCTCTCTCTCTCTCTCTCTCTATACCTCTGAGGGGGGAGGGGGCGAAAAGGTCTAATCTTAGCGAAAGTTTGACATTACGAAGTACTAAATACGATATCCCTCTCCCTCTCTCTCTTTCTCTCTCTCTCTCTCTAAAACGCAGTGGAGAGAGGGTGTCGGCAGGGGCCCGCATTTAGTTAACTAAAGGGGCCGGTGATCTGGACCGGAGTTATTCCAAAGGCCGTCTCTTTCTCCCCTCTCTCTCTCTCTCTGGCGAGAGCCCTCCTCCGACCGCCCGTTGACCGGATAAATATCCTCTCTGACGCCGTCTGATTCTCACCTAGAGAGAGAAAGACGAGCGAGAGAGAGAGGATGACTCCAATCTTTAAATGATTTCGTTGAATCGGTGGGGAGTTTCTCGCCGCACACTTTCTCCTCCTTTGTCGCATCCCTCCTGCGAATAAAGGCCCCAAGAGATGTACTTATTTACCACAATGGCTGTACCTATCCTGTACTGGGGTGGCATTTGCGTAGATATCAGATAAATATTGGGTTATTTTCACAAGGAGCGGTGTCTGTAAAGCCTCGCTCCACCATTCTCCGGGCCTTCCCTTCCTCGCCGCCGCCATCTTCTTCTTCCTCCCCACCCTCCAGAAGCCGGCGTCATTTATAGCGGCTCTTCACGCCTCCACACCTCCCTCTCTCTGTCTCTCTCTGTCTCTCTCTGTCTCTCTCTCTAGAATATTTTGTTTCCGTTTACGCCTGTGCAGCAAGCTGCTGCCAGCTTCCAAATCTCTGATGGCGGCGGGGCGGTGGAGAGGAAGAAAACCGTGTACATCTCCCCAGGGGTGTCTCGTCGTCGTCTGACCTGGCCTCCCCATCTCTTCCAGGGTCGTCACCTCTCAAGCGAGGGGCGAGGGTATTTCCCCGGTCTCTGTCTGGAGTATAAAGGCCGTCCTCCTCCCCTGACCTCCCCCCTTCATTCTGCCGAGGCGCTGCAAGAAAACCCTAGCGAGAATCCAGGAGGATAGCAAGAGAAGTGCGCTCGTGCTCGTTCTTGTTGAAGAGGAGATCTCAATCGACTGTAAGGAGGATCGAGAGGATCTCTGATGGCGAGCGCTTGGAGGAAGGCGAAGATCGCCCTGGGGCTGAACCTCTGTGTCCATGTTCCGCGGACGCTAGACGATGCCTCACCGTCGGACGATACGACTGGGAGGTTCTCCGACGCGGCGACGAGCTCCCCGGCGTCCACCGGCTCGGCGACGCGGCGATCGAGGCCGATGACGCCGACCGCTTCCGCATCCGTCCTCAGGCTCTCCAAATCCGGTAGCAGATCCTCGAAGGTTCGGTCCCTTCTGCTCGACCATCTCCGATTTCCTTCTGCCCGATTCCTCTACCTTCGATCTGTTTTTTTCTGTGGCTTAACTTCGCCTGGATGTGCCCTTGCCCCGTTCCTCCGAGAAAAAATAAAATTAGAACAGTGAGATCGGTTCCTCTCGCATCCCAAGGATTGGGTTTCCAAAAGTCGGGCAATTAGATCGGAGCAGCCGCTGGTTTTCTCGGCTAGCTCTTTCGATCCTTGTTGTTGTTGTTGTTATTGTTGTTATTGTTGTTGCCGGTGGCGGTGGAAGGGGGGGGGAGGAAGTTGCAGGGTGGAAAGGAAGGGGGGAGGTCTTCGTTTTGGGGGATTGAAGGAAATAAGGAAGGAAGGAGTGAAAGAAGGAAAGGAGGAAGGAAGGGAGAGCCACCTGGCCTGGCATGAAAAAGGAAACTACGACCCTCCTTTCCCTGCTTTTCGATGGTCTCCGCCCTCTGCTCTTCTGGTCAGCCGCGGCACAGTTCTTCCTGCTTCTTTTCCGAATAAAATATTTATCGCCTAGGAGCATGCTTTCTCGCTTATCCCTGTTGAATTCACCCTGCCGATCGACGCCTCCTCCTGCCGCCATGGATGACAAGATATGGCTGACGATCTCCTCTGCTGCTAACCTCCTTCCTCTCCCTCTTGTTGCAGAGGACCTGCGCGATATGCCTGGGCATGATGAAGCCTGGCCACGGCCACGCCCTGTTCACGGCCGAGTGCTCCCACGCCTTCCACTTCCACTGCATTGCCTCCAGCGTGAAGCACGGGAACCAGGTCTGCCCCGTCTGCCGTGCCAAGTGGAAGGACATCCCCTTCCCAGCCCCGGAGCTCCCCCATGGCCGGGCCCGGGTCAACCCTCTGGACTGGCCGCAGGAGGACACCCGCATGACCATCTGGCGCCCTCTTCCCCGCTCCGCCTCCTCCGGCCGCCACCACCATTATCAGCACCACCAGCTCCTGCCCTTCTCTCCGAACGCCGAACCTAGCTTGTTCGACGACGATGAGCCCCTGGATCCGCCGCGTCCCCTGGAGCCGTGCCCGGGCAACAAGGAGCAGGGACGGCGCTCGAGGTCCGTGGAGCTCAAGATCTGCCCGGAGTTCTCGGCGGTTCAGCGCTCCGCCTCGCCGGAGAATTTCACCGTCCTCGTTCATCTCAAGGCCCCGGTCGCCGGAAGAGTAGATTCCCCGGCGAGCTCGTCCGTGTTGCAGACCTCGCGGGCGCCGGTGGACCTGGTCACGGTTCTGGACGTGAGCGGGAGCATGGCGGGGACGAAGCTGGCGCTGCTGAAGAGGGCCATGGGATTCGTGATCCAGAACCTCGGGCCCTCTGATCGCCTCTCCGTCGTCGCCTTCTCGTCCACCGCCCGTCGCCTGTTCCAGCTCCGCCGGATGACGGAGATCGGCGGGCAGCAGGCTCTGCAGGCCGTGAACACCCTCGTCGCCAGCGGCGGCACCAACATCGCGGAGGGCCTCCGGAAGGCCGTCAAGGTGATCGAGGAGCGCAAGGAGAAGAACCCAGTCTGCAGCATCATCCTCCTCTCCGACGGGCAGGACACCTACACGCTCTCCTCTTCCGCCACCGCCGCCGGCAGCAGAGCTGGCACTCAGCAGGCGAGCACCGACTACCGGCCCCTCCTACCCTACTCGATCCGCGGCGGCGGCGGCGGCGGCATGGGGCAGAAGATTCCCGTCCACGCGTTCGGCTTCGGCACAGACCACGACTCGACGCTGATGCACTCCATCTCGGACATCTCCGGGGGAACCTTCTCCTTCATCGAGGCCGAGAGTGTGATCCAGGACGCCTTCGCGCAGTGCATCGGCGGGCTCCTAAGCGTCGTCGTACAGGAGATGCGGGTGGAGATGGAGTGCCTCCACCCTAGAGTGAAGATCACCGCCGTCAAGTCCGGCAGCTACGCCGGCCGGGTGGCGGACGACCGGCGGCGAGGGTCCATCGCCGTCGGCGACCTGTACGCCGACGAGGAGCGGGACTTTCTGGTCTCGCTCAGCGTCCCCCCGGCGGAGCTACCGGCGGCGGAGACCACGACGGCTCTACTGAAGGTGGCGTGCAGCTACCGGGACCCCGCGTCGCAGGACGCCACGGCTCCGGCGATCACCCGGGAGGTGAGCATCCAGAGGACCGACGAGGATGGTAGTGGCGATGGCGATGGCGGCGCCGGGGAGGGGAGGACGATATCGATGGAGGTGGACCGGCAGCGGAACAGGCACCTGGCGGCGGAGGCGATGGCGGAGGCGAAGAGCGCGGCGGAGGGCGGGGAGCTGGCGGAGGCGGTGGCGATTCTGGAGAGATGCCGGAGAGCGGTGGCGGAGAGCGCCTCCGGGAGGGCGGGGGACCGGCTGTGCATGGCGCTGGAGGCGGAGCTGAAGGAGACGCAGGAGAGGATGGCGAGCCGGCAGCGTTACGAGGCGTCGGGGAGGGCGTACGTGCTCTCAGGTCTGAGCTCACACTCGTGGCAGCGGGCCACCGCGAGGGGGGACTCCACCGACAGCGCCAGCCTCGTCCGCGCCTACCAGACGCCCTCCATGGTCGACATGCTCCAGCGCTCCCAGACGTTGACCCCCGCCGCCACCCGCCGCCCCAACTCCGTGCCCCCCATCCGCCCCGTCCGCTCCTTCCCCGCCCGACCCTCCCCGAGGTAACCCGCAAATGAATAATTTTGCTGCTAATGCTGCGGATGCTGCGGATGCTGCGGATGCTGCGGATGCTGCTGATGCTGCTGATGCTGGAGGAGGAGGGAGTTTCATTATTTTTCCTATTTAATTTTGGGGATATTCGAGAGAAGACTGGGCCTCCGGGTGGCGTGGGGGGGTGGGGTTGGCCCTGTAAATGAATAAATTTTGAGAGCGGTGGTGCCCATGCATAGAAAGCGGAAGGGAATGGGGGGGCGGGTTGTGGTTACAGGGAAAGAAGCCCTGTGCCCTGGTATCATCATTTCATTCTCCCTCCTCCCCTCAGCTTTTCCCCTTCCCCTGCTGTTGATGTTTCTGGTGGTGTACATGAAAGCTCAAGGTTTTCCCTTCAGAAAGTCGCGGCGGGAACTGCTGGTTTTCATTTTATTGGGCTTCTCTCCATTATCATCTCTTTCAATTTTATCTCATCATAAATATGGCCCCCATTTTTTCTTTTCCTTTTTTTTAATGGCCTACGTGATCATGGTTCTAGAATGGTCTATAGACCTCATCCGTAAAGCTATCGGATAGGCGGCGTTGACCGGGAAGGTCCCGGCGGTCCCATTGATCGGTTTTTGAGGCTGTGGGCGCTAAGGCCGAGTTGAGACCCCAAGCCAAAGCCAGACTCCGCTTTTCCAGCGGGCGGGGGGCAAGGGACCGAGGACGTTGGGTACACTCTCTTTGCCCGTTCCCATCCTCCGGTCCTGCTCCGGCGGGGAGGCCTGCCCCCTCTTTTTTCTCGATCCCCCCGGGATCTCCCCTTTTTCTCTCGTCTTCCTCGTCCTTCCCCACCGCCTCACTCCCCCTCTCAATTGCCGGCGCTATTTACCGTCCGACGGAAGGCGCCGCCGGATTCCTCGATCCTTATTCCGGCTTCCTCTCCCGAGACACCGCCGCCGCTGCGTAGTCCGCCTCCGGCCCGGCAAACTCGGGCGGCGGGCGAAGGCGTGAGGAGACCCGATGCCCAAGATTAGACCTTCGGATTATGTTAATCCTGCAGAGAAACCCAGATTCATTGGATTCATCTGTTCGATAGCGGTGCAATCTTTGAATACTCGACACAGACTTTGATGTTCCCAGGCTTGGCTTGCCGGTCAAAAGTCGCTGTTTTATGCCCGACCCACCTCTGATTCTGTCTATATACCACCCGGACAGACCCGTTGGTGGAACGTCCTGGGCTTGTCGACGACCCCACATCCCACCGCGCTGGAAGATGACAACACCGTTGACAATATTTAGAATCGTGGAGCTCGGCGGAGGAGGCCCGGCTGCGGCTGGTCTTAACTGCGCGGCCACAAGATCATCCTCTCTCTCTATCTCTCTCTCTCTGTCTTCGGGCGTAGGAGGTCCAATGCTCTAATTTTAATTCCCATTTAAATTTAGTAAGCACAACTCCCCGCGAGGGTAGCTCTCCGCGTGAGATGGGAAAATAGAGTCATAAACATGGCAAGATGGGTTGGCGCCTCCTGGAGTCCTCCGAGCGGCGCCATGCCCGCCCCCACCTCAGAGAGAGTGAGGCGCTGCGAGGGTGTTCGGCTGGGCCTTTAAGAGGGAGAAAGAGGGAGAGAGAGAGAGAGAGAGAGAGAGAGAGGGAGGGAGGGATGGGGGGATGGGAGGGAGGGCGGGGGAGAGTGAATGGAACGGGAAGGCCTGAGCGATCTCTGGACGGCGCCGGCGGTCGGATTGTGAACTGAGAAGAAGACGACACCAGCAAAAAAATGAGGGTAAATCCCGTTGGGTGTTCGGCCGGCGAGGTGGGCGGCGATTTCTGCGGATGCATGAAGGTTTAGCCAAGTATATCGTCCTCACCTCTCCTCTCTCCACCTTCTCCTGCAATTCTTCATCCTCATTCGATCGAGGACGAATTTTCTCAAGGCCGAGATGCCTCTCGCTGAAGATTAGGTTATAAACTGGGAGGATCAGTCGGAATTTTCTCTCCATGTGAGGACCTTGAGGGCAGAGGAGGGTCTGTTTCTTCTAGAAGAGCGATTTGGGTGCTCGGGAACGAAGAACTTCAGATGGGAACTCCGTCGAAAGCAGTGGCCTTCCTCAGCTTAATCCTCTGCGTTCGCCAAAATTTGTCCGGTGAGTATCAACAGCGTTGGCGCAGCTGGCCAATTCAATTTTATCAAAAACATTATTCCCTTCCATCGGCACTTGCTCTGGTTTCGTCTTTTCGAGAAGTATCCTGAGTTTTCGAACGAAGAATGAAGCTCTCTTTTTTTCTTAACCATTAGTTTGACCCAGAATGAACCTCTATTGATGTTTCGATCTCACCCATTTGGCATTGGTACCAAACCTTGGGATGTACAGAGGGGTCAAGCTCTCTGGCATGGACATGCCTCTGTGCGGCTGCTGCGGGGACGAACGCCTCATCCCCTTTGTCAAACTGCTCCACAGCATGCCGATGCGCTCCTGGTACATCCCCGAATCATTCCCCTCAATCTTCGCGAGCTGTCAACCCTTCTACTGTGGAACTAGATCTATATGCCTTTGGGAAAGAGCGGGTTGGGGAGGGGCGGTTTAATGTCAGAGTGATAAATCAGATTATAAAGTTACTGTTTAAAAACAATTTTTGAGGTGGCGATTAACCGCCTCGGAGCATTTATATATAGAATTTGGCATCGGAGGAGCTGATGGAGAAGGGTGGACTTGCTTATGTTCTTCGCCGGAGCACGCTCCTCAAGAACAGGGCCTTAACAACATCGGTTGTTTTACTTCCTGCAACTGCACGTCAGGTAAAGTCACGATTTTGTTTCTTCTGACACTGAATGTTTCGTGATTACGCTTGCTTTAGGTCATTTTCTTCAAAATAATCATGTGGCTTACTGGATCTCGACGCATCTCACGCAGCTCCCTCTCCCTCGGATGCATCGGCGTCCCCGGAGAAGAAGCAGTTGTCTCAGAAACCGCTGGTTCTGATTCTCCTGCTCTGCGTCATATCGGCCACGATCGCGTTCCTTTCCTTGGCATCGTACTGTGCGTGTCGGAAGCCCTCATGGCGGATACAGCTCCCCGCGTTTTCTTCCGATGGAGACCCCAGTTCGAACAGGGAATCGGATTTCCTCTGCCACCAGGCGAGTCTGCTTCCGAAGCCTCCGAATTCCGGGCTCCACCCGACAACAGGTGAAAGAGCATCCCTTTTCCCAGTTTCTGGGGCATTTGATGATTTTCATATCTCGGAGGAAGATCGTCGTCTTGTTCCATGATCCAGCCAGCTAACGTTTTGGAGGGAACACGCGGCGAATATCTGAAGCAAGAATTTGGGCTGAACTGAGCCTGATTTCCTGCAAATTGATTCACTTATTTATTCAGGTTTCCGTCGCAGGGTCTGAACGACGGGCATCGCTCTGTTGCATCGCACAGTTCTCCTACGCTGAGTTGGAGCGCGCTACTGGCGGATTCTCGGAGGAGAACCTGGTCGGCTCAGGAGGAAGCAGCGACGTATACCGTGGCCGCCTGACAGATGGGAGGTTCGTCGCCATTAAAAAGCTTAAACTGGCGGGATGCCCCGGTGCGGATTCCGAGTTCATGACGGAGGTTCCCCCTTCTTCTGTGTCTTCTTCTTCTTCTTCTGCTATTTCTCCGTCGTCGTCTTCTTCTACTGCTTCTTCCTTGTTTTTTGCTTCTTCGTCTTCGTCGTCTTCTTCTACTTCTTAATCTTCTTCGTCACATTTTGTGCTCAGATCGAATTGATATCAAAGCTAAACCATCGCCACGTTGTGCCCCTGCTTGGATACTGCGTGGAGCGCCGGCAGAAGAGCTCCCAGAGGCTTCTGGTGCTCGAGTACATGCCCAACGGGAGCCTCAGGGATTCTCTGGATGTGCAGAGTGGGGGGAAGCCCATTGACTGGGGAGCCCGCGTTGGGATCGCGCTGGGAGTCGCGAGGGGCTTGGAGTACCTACACGAAGCCGCCGCTCCGCGAATCTTGCACCGGGACGTCAAGTCCGGCAACATTCTCCTCGACGACCTCTTCACGGCGAAGGTAGGCTTTACCGAAGGGATGAACGAGCAGCTGTCAATGTTGAAAACTCGTCGTCTTCAACATCTGTCTGGTTCCTCTGCCCGCCAGATAACGGATCTGGGGATGGCCAAGCGTCTGACGAGCGGCGAGCTCGCCGGATGCTCGAGTTCTCCTGCACGGATGCTGGGGACCTTCGGGTATTTCGCCCCCGAGTGCGCGATCACGGGGAGGGCCTCGCTGAAGTCGGACGTCTTCAGCTTCGGGGTGGTGGTTCTGGAGCTGATCACCGGCCGCCGGCCGATCCATCGGGCGAAGAACCAGGGCGAGGAGAGCCTGGTGATATGGGTACAAACAACAAATTTATCCCCTCCGGCGAAATAATCTGCCTGAACCCGCCGGCGAATCTCCTCCGCCTCACGCCATGCAATGCCATGACGCAGGCGGCGCCGCTACTGCGCAGCAGCAAGTTAGCCCCCTCCGAGCTGCCCGATCCCCTCCTGAGAGGAAGTTTCCCCGAGGAGGAGATGCTGATCATTGCGCGTTTGGCCAGAGAATGCCTGCAGTGGGACGCGGACTCTCGACCATCCATGAGCGAGGTCGTTCAAGTCCTCTCCGCCATCGCTCCAGGCAGACCGAGGAGGAGGACCCTCTCAACCAGCGTCACCATGGTGGGTACAAACAACCAGAAGAAGCCCAAGCTCTCCAGGTCTTCTCGAGATCTCATCTCTCTCTCTGTCTCTCTTTGCGTGCGTCCTTGGACAGAGCTCCTCGCCGGACATCGGCGAGAGCGGCTCCGAGGCCGAGCTGGAGCTGAGGGGGGTGAACCCTGGGGTAACACGGGCGACGGCATTGACGGCGATCACAGTGTTGACCCCCCCTCGCCGCTGGACTGCGGACGATGAAGAATCTGTGGACCTCACGGAGCCCCAGTTCAAATCGTTCATACAAGAAGTCGTGTGCATTACGATCCAGTAGCCGATAATTCAGCTCCTCCAAGCTTCCCGTTGACCGGTGGAGCGGAAGGACCTTATTTTGCGGGGAGGGAAGAAACATCAACCCTCCTACGGGCAAGACAGGCGGCGACTCTCTCTCCTCTTCAGTCAACAGCACAGGTGGCGGAGTCTCTCCTCGGCCAGCAGTATAGGCGGCAGAGTCTCCTGGCATGACCGGTTCCATGGGAACCTGTTACCAGGGTTCACCTACAGGAAACACCCCTGGCATCAGCACCGCGGCATGCGCTGGCACGACACTGGAGCGCTCCAGCACGGCGACTGCGCACGACGGTACGGCAGCCGCGCGCACTGGCACGACAACTGCGTGTGCTGGCACACCACCTGCGCGCGGCGCCACAACATCGGTTCCAAGATACTGCGACACGACACACCACTCCGACGTGGTGACCCAAGGCCACGAGGGCAGCCGATGATGTCACAAGCATGACATAATCTGAACGAGGAACGGAGAATGTTATTAACCGGACGTCACTTGGGGTGGGAACCTTTAATCCCATACCGGAAATGTGAGGATGACTAACTAGGGGAGTGTCCATAGAGAAGGATCCCTAACCTTATATAAGAGTACCTTGAATTATCAGAATTATCCTTATTGGTCACCTTTGGGCCGTTGGGGATCTAATCGCCCAAGCATCTGGTTAGAATTTCATGCAAAACCGCTGACATCTTTGTCACAGTTGTACAAGAGCTAGGTTGCAAAAAAGCTCAGTATTCTCTACCCTTCCCCCTTTCTTTTAACATTGATATAGTGCCATGAAAGTGGAGGGTAGAGTGGGTACGAGTGGTACCAAGGGCAGAGAATTGCCACGGCTAGGACTATTGAGACACTTATGGCTCCATTATTGGTTGAGTCTAGCAGCCTACAAGAACAGATGGTGGCCTTGAGGGCCCAAATAAAAGTTCAGACCCATGAGGCAAGTGATACCTTTACAGGGAGACTCAATGAATAAATCAGGTTGATCTACGACCAGATGGTTGGGCGATGACCACATCATATGAAGCTCCAAAAAAAGGCATTAGTATTGAGGAGAAAATTCAACCAACAAAAGTCTAGATTACAAAAATAAATGGAAGAAGTTGTGAGTTATCACCAAAGTAGGTTAGGCAACGCACAAAGACTTCTGGGGTAGTACCCAGGGGTCAAATTATCTTGAGTCAAAGCTCACAAACTCATGGTTTATTGACATGACTTAGTCATTGTATAGTAAACCATGTAAAATTTAAATTTATAAAACTAAAAAATATAAATTTTCAGATATTTAGAAGTATTTTTGAATAAATATATAAATTATAATTCAATAAAACTTTTAAAAATAGTAGTAATTTTTTAGATCAATCATAGAGATGTAATATAATATGATGTAATTATTTAGAATTTTTTTCAAAGAATATTATTTTCTATAAATTTTATATTAAAAAATGAAAATAAAATATATTTAAAATTTACAAAAAAGGAAAATAATGGTGCAAACGTCAGGATGATGTCAACGCTCGATGAATGCAAGTCAGATAGAAATAGAGTTCCATCTGATGATTCTCATGTAAATAATTATAGACGATTTAATTGATCAAATTAAGATTTGTAAAAGCCAAAAGAATTATAATTGAATGAAGTATATCTTAGTAAATTTAAATCACACAAATTATCACTAAATGAAGTAAAAATTGAGTTGAAAGTAAGAAAATAGAGTTCCGGCAGTGTGTTGAGGATGTACCGGAATCTTGGATATTTGAGAGGATTGTCGTGTAATGTCTATGGCCTCAAAGGCTCTTTTTAGACAAGGACAACGTGGGCAATCTTTAAATCTCATTGCGAACTCTAGAGATCAATGAAATGGGTTGTCGAATTATCTTTGATGACTGCCACTCAGTAGAGCAGAAAAATGATGATTTTATAGCTCTCTGATGGCTATCAATCAATGGAGAAGAGCTAGATGGAGATGTGGCGCGTGTTAGGGAGCTTCATCATTAGGTCTATGCAATAAGAGGAGGCTCTTCATCGCATCCAATATGCTCTCAAGAGGTGACGACTTATCTCCTAGTAGATCGTTGTCTTCTCGACGATGGCTTATTCATTAATCAATTGACGATGTTTTACTCGATGAATTCACAATCCTTTTATTGTGAATCGTTTAGTAATTTTCGTAACAATGCTCTATGAATCACTTTGATGAGATTTTCACCGATGATCTAGCGATTCTAGAGGCTTAATCCTTCACCGGCAATCTTCAAGAAAGTCGTGATAATCAGATAAAAAATATGAGTTTTGGCTTTGAGAGGATTTGAACCCACCCTAGTTACCTACCTACATGAGAGAGATTGACATAAGTACTCTAATGCCTTTATCTAATGATGTCATCATGGTATATCTCTATTATAAATAAGGGGTATTTTAGGTATTAAAATCATCAAACCTTTTATGGGGAAGGTGTGAATATATAAGGGGTATTTTAGTTTAGTCTCACATTACTTGTGCGTCGAAGTTTCAGGTGAATATATAGTAATATTACATTTGCAAGTAAGTCTCTTTCTCGTGCATATACGACCTCTCCTTACCCCATAGTCGACTGACCACCAGTGACGTGGAAGGGGAGTGGCGCACATATGCCTCTATCGGTCTTAGCCACTCAAGCCCCTACTCGCGGCTCCTCCTTGATTGTGCTTCCGACCCACTTGCGAGCCCAATTGGCCAATAGGTACCCCCCATTTTGTTATATTTTTTTTTTATTTTTTTTTCTTCATTTATCTCAAAAGTAAGACTATAAAAACCATATAAATTCATATAAAATCACATAATTACCTAAAAATTCACGTTAATTAATTGAAAACTACTTTTCACACTTTAACACAAATATAGGTGTATTTATCATGAGTTAAGGCTAAAATTATATTATTTACTAATTATTAACTCATGATAATGAAGACTTATCAATCATCGATGCATCATTGCTGCGATGTCAGAACTCTATTTTCCTACTTTCAACTTAATTTCTGCTTCATTTAGTGATAATTTGTGTGATTTAAATTTACCAACTATACTTCATTCAATTACAATTCTTTTGGCTTTTACATATCTTAATTTGATCAATTAAATCATTATTATCGCTTACGTAAGAATTATTGGGTGAAACTCTATTTCTACCTGATTCACGTTCATCAAGTGTTGACATCATCTTGACATTCACACTCTTATTTTCTTTTTTCACAAATTTTAAATATATTTATTTTCATTTCTTAATATAAAATTTATAAAAAATTATATTCTTTGAGATTTTTTTAAAAATTACCTAATATTATATTACATCCCTGTGATCGACTTGGAAAATTACCACTATTTTTGAAAGTTGTATTGAATTATAATTGATATATTTGTTCAAAAATATTTCTAAATATCTGAAAATTAGTATTTTCTAGTTTTATAAATTTACTATACAATGACTAAGTCACGTCAAGGGTCACTCATAATTTTTTATTTAAGAGGAAAGTCAGTGGCCTTAGATTAAAACTTATTTAGATAATTAAAAAGATTAAGGCCATCAACTTTGAAGCCCATATGGGCATTTGGGAAGTGAAGACCAATATGGGTGTATGGAAAGACAAGCTAGACTTCCTAGTCTTATGGATGGAAAACTTTGATGTCATCTTAGGAGCTGACTTTGCAGTCAAAGCCAAGCCAAGGATCTTCTTCAACTACAATAGTCTTCTTTTATGCATGAAGCCACACAAGAGAGTGAGAAGCCTCAACTAATCCTAGCCATGTAGTTAAAGCCCAACCTCTGACATGATACTAAGACATTTCTCATCACCCTATGATGTGACTTAGTCATTGTATAGTAAATCACATAAATTTAAAATTTATAAAACTAAAAAATACTAATTTTGGGATATTCAGAAGTATTTCTGAACACATATTAATTATAATTCAATAAAACTTTCAAAAATAGTCATAATTTTCTAGGTCGATCAGAAGGATGTAATATAATATTGAGTAATTTTTTAAAATTTTTCTCAAAAAATTTGGTTTTTAATAAATTTTATACTAAGAAATGAAAATAATTATATTTAAAATTCGTAAAAAAGGAAAATAAGGGTGTGAATGTCAGGATGACATTAGTGCCTGACAAACGCAAATCGAACGAACATGAATGCAAATCGGGTGATTATAAACGAGTTAATTGATCAAATTAAGATTTGTAAAAATGAAAAGAATCATAATTGAATGAACTATAGCTTGATAAATTTAAATCACACAAATTATCACTAAATGAAGTAGAAATTAAGTTGAAAGTAAGAAAATAGAGTTCCAACATTGCAGCAGTGATGCGTCGACGATGTACTAGAATCTTGAGTTTTCAAAAGGATCATCATGTAGTGTCCACAGCCTCAAAGGGTTACTTGACGGAGCGGAAAAATAACGACTTTGCGGCTCTCTAGCAACTATCACCTGACGGAGAGGAGTTAGATGGAGGTGGGGCGTGTGTCAAGGAGCTTCATCCTCAGGTCTGCACAAGAAGAGGAGGCTCTAGATGCAGTTCACGAATGGTGATGAATCTGGTGCAGTGTCGGAAGTCACAATCCGATAACCATCCTATCCTGTCTACATTCTCCTGATGGTAGTGGAGATAAGCTGAGAAAACCCTTCAAGAGATAATTAAACTTAAGAGGAAGGGGTATGGAGCTAACCTTTAGGTTGTGTAGCTCAGCGGGTTGTAACGGAGCAGAGATTCGACATAGACAGAGACATCCGGCGAAGATTGATGCTCAATGTCCACGGTCGGTCCTGGTCGAGAGTCGCTGAAGTTGTCGTCTTAAGGCGTGGCACAGTTGGCGCGGGCGTGGGCCTGCTGGTGGGCCGAAGGGCACGCTAACAGGCGTGCACGGCAAACCGCGCGGCGGCCTTAAGGCACGTGGACGGCAGCACCAGGTGGGCACGTGGGCCATAGGAGCTGGTACGTGGGGTGCGTGCAGTGGCAGCACTTCGGCAGGAAGGCCGAGCGTCAATGGCACTTTGGTAGGAATGTCGACCGTCAGTGGCTCTTGGCGGGAGTGTCGAGCATCAGCGGCACTTCAGCGGGAATGCCAAGCGTCAGCAGCGCTTCGGCGGGAATGCTGAGCGTCGGTAGTTGGGCGGAAACCCAACCATTGCCAGAAGGGTTGGCCTTCTTTGGCGGCGCCAGGAAGCGGAGTAGAGGAAGGAGACGATTTGGCCGACGATACCAGGGAGGGTTGAGCCCTCCTGGTCCAGGCAGCACTAGAAACGGCGCGACAGCGGTGGATTGTCGGGAAACTCCGGCGGGGCCTGTGAGGAGCTTGGACTGGATCTGGCTTGTCGGCATGGCAGCGGGGTCTCCCCCGACAGTGGCGGCAGGCAGGCGTTTGTCGGCGAACGGCCGGCGACTGGGCAGAGTGACGGATGGTGGCTCCGGCAAGTTTAGGGTGGAGTTCTAGAGGAAGAGGTGGCAGTCGAACCAAGAGTTGAGAGACTCCGGCGGAGTGCTCGGTGACAGCTTGTAGGGAGGCGACGTGAGCCCCTTTAGTCACGACGGCATGACAGGGTTCCAACAGAGGCGGCGGCAGTTGCAGCGGCAACCGCGACCGTTTCGTCTGGTGACGATAGTGAACTCCCGGGCGGCAATGAGATGGCCGGCGGTGGTAGTGGTCTCAAGCAGCGGCGGGACTTCTTAGGCAGCAGCGTCACGATGAATGAAGTCCTCGGGGTATCATCAGCCTTCCTCTCCCTCCTTCCCTCTCTATCCTAGGTCATGAAGAAGGAATCACAAAACGATACTCTCTCACAAAAAATACAACGCTCTCTTGAGGGGGGGTCCTACCTCCCCTTATATGGGGCCCACAAGTAGGCTAAGGGGAGGTGGGCCCACTTGAGGCCCTCAAGCCCATAAGCCACAAAAGGCTACAAAGGGGCTTATTGGGCCTCTAAAAGAGAGACCCAACAAGCTCCCCTAAAAGGAGAAAGAGGAGGGCCCTTGTAGGTGCTTAAGTGGGCCTCAAATGAAGACCCAAATAAGCCCCCAAAAGAAACCTAAAAGGAAAGAAGCATAGGTCCCCCCCTTTAGGGGTTTAATTGGGCCTCACAAGAGAGACCCAATAAAACCCTAAAAAAAGGGAGACACAAACAACACACACACATAGAATTGGGCCCGCTAACACATAAATGCGAGGCCCAACAAGTCAACATGAAAATACCAAGAAAGATAAGGGTGAGCTCGAGCTTGTCATTGTCGTAGAGGTGGAATGTCATTGTCCCAAAGGGCTAGGCCGTGTAGCAAAAGCTAGGCTCCTTCGTCTTCGCGCGTCAATTGGGTTGAACTCGGACTGCCGATGTCTCTTGAGCTGATGGAGTTGGGTCCCACTTGCCATCAATCTTGCTCGCCATCAGTTCAACAATTTCAATAACAATATTTTGTGAATCGTGTTGACGAGATTTTCGTTGATAATCAAATTAAAAGTTATGATAATTAGATAAAAATACGAGTTTTAGCTCTAAGAGGATTCGAACCTATGTTGGTTATCCACTTGTATGAGAAAGATTAAAATAAGTACTATAATGGTCTTCATTATCATGAGTTAATAATTAGTAAATAATATAGTTTTAGCCTTAACTCATGATAAATAGACTTATATTTATGTTAAAAAATGATTTGTGATTTTCAATTGATTAACGTGAATTTTTGGGTAATTATGTGATTTTATATGATTTTTACAGTCTTACTTTTGAGATAAATGAAGAACAAGAAATAAAAATAAAAGTATTACAAAAATGGGGGGACCCGCTGGCCAGTCAGGCCCACAAGCAGGTCGGAAGCACAGTCGGGGAGTAGCCGCTAGCAAGGGCTCGAGCGGCTTGGCTTGGGGACCGATAGGGCACATGTACGCCACTCCCCTTCCACGTCACCGTTAGCTAGCCGGTTGTGGGGCAAGGAGTGGTCATATACGCGAGAGAAGAGACTTTGCTTACAAACCTAACATTACTATATATTCATCCGAAAAATCGGCGCACAACCGATGTGGGACTAAACCCGCGTCACACCTTCCTCAGAAGAGGCAGGCGACCGGCGCGGGTTCGAATCCTCCTAGAGTCAAAATTCATATATTTTTATCTGATTATTGCGACTTTCCTACAGATCGTCAGTGAAGGATTAAGCAATGAAAATCGCTGGATCATCGGCGAAAATCTCGTCAACGCGATTCGCAGAGCATTGCTACTAAAATTGCTGAACGATTCGCGATAAAAGGATCGCGAATCCATCGAGTAAATCATCTCCAATTGATCGACGAACAAGCCGTCGTCAGGAAAAGGACGATCCGTCGGGAGACGAGTCACCACCTCCTGAGAGCATACCAGATGCAATGAAGAGCCTTCTCTTGCTGCACGGACCTGAGGATGAAGCTCCCTAGCACGCGCCCCACCTCCATCCAGCTCCTCTCCGTCGGGTGACAGCCGCCGGAGAGCCGCAAAGTCACCGTTTTTCCGCTCCGCCAGGTGATAGCCGCCGGAGACGATTCGACGACCCACTTCATTGATCTCTAGACTTCATGAGAAGATCTAGAGATTGCCCACGTCTTCTTTGTCCAAGGAGAGCCTTTGAGGCCGTGGACACTGCACGACGATCCTCTCGAACACTTAGGATTCCGGTGCATCGCCGATGCATCGCCGTCGCGACGCTGGAACTCTGTTTTCTTGCTTTCAATTTACTTTACGCTTCATTTAGTGATAATTTTTGTGTTTTTAATTTACCAAAATATACTTTGTTCTATTACGATTCTTCTAGCTTTTACAGATCTTAATTTGATCAATTAAATCGTCCATAATCGCTTACGTAAGAATCGTTGGGCAGAACTCTATTTCCGCCCGATTCACACTCGTCGAGTGCTGACGTCATCTTGACGTCTGCGCCCTTATTTCCCTTTTTCGTGAATTTTAAATATATTTCCTTTTTATTTCCTAGTATAAAATTCATAGAAAATCACATTCATTGAGAAAATTTTTGAATAATTACTAGATATTATATTTTTGGAAAATCGTATTCATAGAAAATCACTATTTTTAAAATTTTTATTGAATTATAATTGATATATTTATTTAGAAATACTTCTAAATATCTGAAAATTTGTATTTTCTAGTTTTATAAATTTTATATTTGCGTGATTCAATATACAATGACTGAGTCACGTCAGTCATCATGTTATATCTATGTTATAATGAAGGGGTAGTTTAAGTATTCAAATCTTCAAAGCCTTTCAAGGGAAGGTGTAACATGGGTTTAATCTCACATCACTTGTGCACTAAAATTTTGGGCGAATATATAATAATATCACATTTGGAAGTAATGAGTCTTCTCTTATGTGTACGACCACTACATGCCCCATAATCGATTGACCACTAGTGACGTGAAAGGGGAGTGACATACACGTGCCCTCATCGGTCCTAGCTGCTTGAGCCCCTACTTGCGGCTCCCCTTGACTATGCTTTTAACTTGATTGCAGTTTTGGCTGGCCAGCAGGGTCCCCTCATTTTATTATATTTTTATTTTTATTTATTTTTCTTTATTTATCTCAAAATAAGACTATAAAATCATATAAATTCATAGAAAATCACATAATTAACTAAAAATTCACGTTAATCAACTAAAAACCACTTTTCACACCTTAACACAAATACAAGTCTATTTATCATGAGTTAAGGCTAAAAATATATTATTTATTAATTATTAACTTATGATAATGAAGACTTATCACCCTACAAGAGGTTGAAGGGAAAGAGAAGTGGGTGGGTTCATCCTCAAAATTACCCTTACTCAAGGAATTCCATGATATTATACCCACCAAGTTACCTACCATACTACTATCTAGTTGGGACATAAAACATGCCATTGAACTATTGGCAAGAGAACATCCCCTAGCTAGAGCTCCATATAAGATGTCTGATAAGTCTTCATTATCATGAGTTAATAATTAGTAAATAATATATTTTTAGCCTTAACTCATGATAAATAGACTTATATTTGTGTTAAAAAATGATTTGTGGTTTTCAATTGATTAACGTAAATTTTTGAGTAATTATGTGATTTTCTATGATTTTTACAGTCTTACTTTCGAGATAAATGAATAATAAGAAATAAAAATAAAAATATTACAAAATGGGGGACCCGCCGGCTAGCTGGGCCTGCAAGCAGGTTGGAAGCGCAGTCAGGGAGTAGTCGCGAGCAGGGGCTCGAGCAGCTTGAGCTTGGACCGATAAGGGCATGTGTGTGCACTCCCCTTCCACGTCACTAGTAGCCAGCCGGCTGTGGGGCAAGGAGTGGTTGTACACGCGAGATAAGTGACTTTGCTTACAAACCTAACATTACTATATATTCGCCCGAAAAATCAGTACACAACTGATGTGGGACTAAACCCGCGTCACACCTTCTTCACAGGCGGGCGACTGGCATGGGTTCGAATCTTCCTAGAGTCAAAATTCATATATTTTTATCTGATTATCACGACTTTCCTGTAGATCGCTGATGAAGGATTAAGCAACGAGAATCGCTAGATCATCGGCGAAAATCTCGTCAACGTGATTCGCAGAGCATTGCTACTAAAATTGTTGAATGATTCGTGATAAAAGGATCACGAATCCATCAAGTAAATCATCTCCGATTGATCGACGAACAAGCCGTAGTCGGGAAGAGGACGATCTGCCGAGAGACGAGTCACCACCTCTTGAGAGCGTACCAGATGCGATGAAGAGCCTCCTCTTGCTGCGCAGACCTGAGGATGAAGCTCCTTGACATGCGCCCCACCTCCATCCAACTCTTCTCCGTCGGGTGACAGCCGCCAAAGACGATTCGACGACCCACTTCATTGATCTCTAGACTTCGCGAGAAGATCTAGAGATTGCCCACGTTGTCTCTGTCCAAGGAGAGCCTTCGAGGCCGTGGACACTACACAACGATCCTCCCGAACGCTCAGGATTCCGGTGCATCGCCGACACATCGCCGTCGCAATGCCGGAACTCTGTTTTCCTACTTTCAATTTACTTTACGCTTCATTTAGTGATAATTTTTGTGTTCTTAATTTACCAAAATATACTTTGTTCTATTATGATTCTTTCGACTTTTACAAATCTTAATTTGATCAATTAAATCGTCTGTAATCGCTTACGTAAGAATCACCAAGCAGAACTCTATTTCCGCCCGATTCGCACTCGCCGGGTGCTGACGTCATCATGACGTCTGCACCCTTATTTCTCTTTTTCGTGAATTTTAAATATATTTCCTTTTTATTTCCTAGTATAAAATTCATAGAAAATCGTATTCATTGAGAAAAATTCTGAATAATTACCAAATATTATATTACATCCTTGTGATCGACTTGAAAAACTACTGTTATTTTTGGAATTTTTATTGAATTATAATTGATATATTTATTTAGAAATACTTCTAAATATCTAAAAATTTGTATTTTCTAGTTTTATAAATTTTATATTTACATGATTTAATATACAACGACTAAGTCACGTCAATGTCCCTAGTGTACCTAGGGAAATTGAGGAAGCAATTGAAAGAATTACTAAAGATGGGATACATACACCCCTCACATGCATCATTTGGTGTACTAGTTCTCTTCTAGGGTGTTGACGAGAAGGGTTAAATCTTAAGATTAGGTTAACTCCAAATGAATAGATACATATATTTATATAGGTGAGAGAAGAGAGAGATAATGGGCCTAAGAGGGCCATGTAAAGGAGGATATTTGAACACTCCTCAAGCTAGAGCATATAAGTCAAAGATACCCAAATTGGTACATATAGCATCATAAGATACTTTTGTAAGGCTTTTGGTGAAAATGTTTGTTAGTTGATTGGATGAAGGGACATGTGGTGTGGAGATAACACCTATTAGAACCTTGTCTCAAATGTGGTGACAATCAATCTTGATGTGTTTGGTTCATTTGTGAAATGTGGGATTCACGATGATAAAGATTACTACTTAATTGTCATAGTGCATAGGAATAGGTGTTTGAGGAATGACACTTAGGCTCTCCAGAAGAGAGCGAAGCCATACCATCTTACGTGTAGTTTTAGCCATAACACGATATTTGGCTTCTACACTAGAAACAAGATACCACATTTTACTTTCGAGAGCACAAAGTGATTAGGTTGCCACCGACATATGTACATTGGTCAATTGTCAACTTCCAATCTCTTTTGTCACTAGTATATTTAGCATTTGAGTAGGCTTCAACACATAGGTGACCATGATGTCTATAAATGGGTCCCTTCTCTAAAGCCTGTTTGATATATGCTAGGTGACGTGACTTAGTCGTTGTATATTAAATCACGCAAATATAAAATTTATAAAACTAGAAAATACAAATTTTCGGATATTTAGAAGTATTTCTAAATAAATATATCAATTATAATTCAATAAAAATTCCAAAAATAGCGGTAATTTTCCAGGTCAATCACAGAGATGTAATATAATATATGGTAATTATTCAGAATTTTTCTCAATGAATACGATTTTCTTAAGAATTTTATACTAGGAAAAAAAAAGGAAATATATTTAAAATTCATGAAAAAAAAAAAAAGGGTGCGGGTGTCAGGATGACATCAGCGCCCAGCGAATGCGAATAAGGCAGAAACAGAGTTTCGCCCGGCGATTCTTACGTAAGTGATTACAGACGACTTAATTAATCAAATTAAAATTTGTAAAAGCCAGAAGAATCGTAATTTAACGAAGTATAGTTTGGTAAGTTAAAATCACACAAAGTATCACTAAATGAAGTGTAAATTAAATTGAAAGCAGGAAAATAGAGTTCCGGCGTCGCAACGGCAATGCGTCGGCGATGCACCGGAATCTTGAGCATTTGGGAGGATCGTCGTGCAGTGTCCACGGCCTCGAAGGCTCTCCTTGGACAAAGACAACGTGGGCAATCTCTAGATCTTCTCGCAAAGTCTAGAGATCAATGAAGTGGGTCGTCAAATCGTCTCCGGCGGTTGTCACCCGGCGGAGCGGAAAAACAGCGACTTTGCGGCTCTCCGGCGGCTGTCACCCGACGGAGAGGAGCTGGATGGAGGTGCGGCGCATGTTAGGGAGCTTCATCCTCAGGTCTGCGCAGCAAGAGGAGGCTCTTCATCGCATCTGGTACGCTCTCAGGAGGTGGCGACTGGTCTCCCGGCAGATCGTCCTGTTCCCGACGACGGCTTGTTCGTCGATCAATCGGAGATGATTTACTCGATGGATTCGCGATCCTTTTATCACGAATCGTTCAGTAATTTTAGTAGCAATGCTCTACGAATCGCGTTGACGAGATTTTCGCCGATGATCCAGCGATTCTCGTTGCTTAATCCTTCCCTGGCGATCTGCAGGAAAGTCGTGATAATCAAATAAAAATATATGAATTTTGACTTTAGAAGGATTCGAACCCACGCCGGTCGCCCGCCTCTTCTGAGGAAGGTGTGAGGGGGGTTTGTCCCACATCGATTGTATGCCGATTTTTCGGGCGAATATATAGTAATGTTAGATTTGTGAGCAAAGTCCCTTCTTTCGCGTGTATGACCACTCCTTGCCCCATAGCTGGCTGGCCACCGATGACGTGGAAGGGGAGTGGCGTACGCATGCCCTGTCAGTCCCCAAGCCAAGCCGCTCGAGCCCCTGCTCGCAGCTTACTCCCCGACTGCGCTTCCGACCCGCTTGCAGGCACGGCTGGCCGGCGGGTCCCCCCATTTTTGCAATATTTTTATTTTTATTTCTTGTTCTTCATTTATCTCAAAAGTAAGATTGTAAAAATTGTATAAAATCACATAATTACCCAAAAATTCACATTAATCAATTGAAAACCAAAAATCATTCTTTAACACAAATATAAGTCTATTTATCATGAGTTAAGGCTAAAACTATATTATTTACTAATTATTAACTCATGATAATGAAGACTTATCACTAGGACACATGGTGCTCCCTCTCAATAGACTTGACGAGGCTCCTACTTAAGCTAGTTGAGAGCATTGATTGTATGCATAATGTTAGGATGAGTAATAGCGAGATAGATTAATTTTTCTAATAAGTACTGATAGCGATTAACATTATCCATCAGATGTAAAGTAATATCCCAAAACTTCAGATAGGCCTTCATAAGTGATGACTCTATTTTGCAGCCAAGAAGCTACATTTCCTAAAGAAGGTTGAGGGTATAGTTCCTCTAAGATAAAACTAACTTACCTGATTGATAAACAAACTCTATCCCAATAAAGTATCATGGTGTCCCCAAGTCTCTTGTGAAAAAGTGTTGTTGCAAGTAGGCTTTAGTGATAGAGATATTTTTCTCATCACTCCATGTCATAAGAATGTCATCAACATACATGTCTAGGATGACCATACCTCTAGGTGGAGTCTTCATTAGGATAGTGAGGTCAACAATACATGGAGTGAAACCAAAGATAGTAAGAAGGTCACTAAATTTCACAAACTAGGTTCAAAGACTCTACTTGAGTATATAGATAGCATGTTGAAGTAAACAAATCTAGGAAGACTCCTCTTGAGCAACATACTCTAGAGGTTGCTCCATCATCTAAGTCACCATAGAGGAAGGTGATAGATCATTTTTGAGGGTCAATAGTATTTATACTCTTGTATTTATTCTTTTAGATTATATTATGAAATAATTTAATACTATGATAAGTTCAGGAGTTAATCTTCAAGAAATTCTGGGTAGAGTTCACTTTTATTTGTTGTTTAAGATTGATAGAAATGATTAGAGATCACGAAGAAGAAGAAATGAGAAGTGAAAGGGAAGAAAAGAGACTTAGGTGTGAAATGAATTTGTCAAAGTATGGATGATGTCAAGTGATCAAAGGGATTGCATGATCAACTCTAATGCTAATCAGAATCTATTTTCTAACTAAGAACATCAGACTCATTAACATGACTTAGTCATTGTATAGTAAATCATGCAAATTTAAAATTTATAAAACTAGAATATATGAATATTAGATATTTAGAAGTATTTATGAATAAATATATCAATTATAATTTAATAAAACTTTTAAAAATAGTAGTAATTTTCCAAGTCGGTCATAGGGATGTAATATAATACCAGGTAATTATTCAGAATTTTCTTCAAAGAATGATATTTTTTATGAATTTTACACTAGGAAATGAAATTGAAATATATTTAAAATTTACAAAAAGGGAAATAAGGGTGCGGATGTCAAGATGACATCAGTGCCTGGCGAATGCGAATTGGGTGAAAATAGAGTTATACCCGACAATTCTTATGTAAATGATTACATATGATTTAATTGATCAAATTAAGATCTATAAAAGTCGGAAGAATCATAATGAAATGAAGTATATCTTGGTAAATTTAAATCACACAAATTATCACTAAACGAAGTTAAAATTAAGTTGAAAGTAAGAAAATAGAGTTCCGACATCACGGCAGTAATGCGTTGTTAATATAGTAGAACCTTGAGTGTTCTAAAGGATCGTCGTGCAGTGTCCACAACCTCAAAGGCTCTCTCATTGGACAAGGACGATATAGACAATCTTTAGATCTCATTGAGAAGTTTAGAGATCAATGAAATAGGTCATCAAATCGTCTCTAGTGGCTGTCACCCAACAGAGTAGAAAAACTACGACTTTGCGGCTCTCCAATGGCTGTCATATGATGAAGAGGAGTTGGATAGAGGTGGGGCGTGTGTTAGGGAGCTTCATCTTCAGGTTTGCACAGCAAGATGAGGCTCTTCATTACATCCGGTATGTTCTCAAGAGGTGGTGACTTTTCTCTCGATGGATCGTCCTCTTCTCGACAACGGCTTGTTCATCAATCAATCGGAGATGTTTTACTCGATGGATTCGCGATCCTTTTATCGTGAATCGTTCAATTTTAGTAATGTGAATCGCATTGACGAGATTTTTGCCAATGAGCTAGTAATTATGGTTGCTTAATCCTTTACCAATGATATGCAAGAAAGTTACAATAATCAAATAAAAAATATGAGTTTTAGCTCTAGGAGGATTCAAACCCATGTCGGTTGCCCACCCCTTTCTAGGGAAGGTGTGACGCAGGTTTAGTCCCACATCATTTGTGCACTGAAGTTTTGAGCAAATATATAGTAATATTACATTTGAAAGTAAGTCCCTTTCTCGCATATATATGACCACTCCTTTCCCCATAGTCGGCTTGTCACTAGTGATGTGGAAGGAGAGTGACACACACGTGCCCCCATCAGTCCTAGCTGCTTAAGCCCTTACTCACAACTCCTCCTCAACTGTAATTTCGACCTGCTTGCGAGCCCAACTAGCCAGCAAGTACCCCCCATTTTGCTATATTTTTATTTTTATTTCTTTTTCTTTATTTATCTTAAAAATAAGATTGTAAAAATCATATAAATTCATAGAAAATTACATAATTAGTCAAAAATTTATGCTAATCAATTGAAAATCACTTTTCACACTTTAACACAAATATAAGTCTATTTATCATGAGTTAAGGCTAAAACTATATTATTTATTAATTATTAACTCATGATAATGAAGACTTATCAGATGACAATTACCTAAAGTTCCACTAAGATAAACTAGGTTTTTCCATTGTTGATACATGATATGTATACAACATCGCCCCTCTTTCTCTCTCTAATTCTTACAACATGATTAACCCTTAAATCAATGAATGAGCCACTCCCTTCTTGCATAGATGGTGAAACTTTCTTCTCCCCTCTTTAGGTGACATCCTCTAAGTGAATATGGGCCTTATGCCCATAACTCTTCATTTGAGCCCACTTTGCTTGTTTCTCTTTATGTGATTATGAGCCTTAAACTCATAATTCTTCACCTAAGGACCAAGTGTGATCTTGGCTCCTTAATAAGCTGTAAGTTAAGACTTAACATATGAATCTCACATGGTTAGAAGACAAAGAATTACATTATGTTCTCACACGATGTACATCAAGTATCTAAAAATGTATAATTCAATGAGAAACGAATGAAATACATAAAATGTGTATGAATGTTGATGTGTGCCATAAACATGAGAATTCATTAGTAAGTTAGTGAATTTATGTCTAGAAATCATGAACTTTGATGTAATATAACTTATGAATAATATTTATTTAAGTGTTATCAGAAGCCATTAGACATGTCCAATTGGTGAAGTGACTAATCATGATGCACTGTCAAAGATAACTTGAATAGACTTCAGTCAGACCATAGGGGAGGTCTCCGTGTAATTAATGTCATAGGCTTGAGTGAGGCCACAAGCAACTAAACAAGCTTTATGATGAGTGATGGAGTCATTTGGGTTGTACTTCAATGTAAAGACCCACTTGTATGTCATAATGTTGGCATTGGTCAAACGAGAGGCAAACTTCCACATGTCCTAAGAAATTAGTGCTCCAATCTCTAAATTCATAGCTACTTTTCAAGTAGGGGCTTAAAGTGCCTCAACATGTGATTGTGCAATCAATTTAGAGGCCACAGAAAAGACAAAGACACAAAAAGTAGGGTGAAGGCAATCACAAGAGACAAAGTGGGATATAAGATGTTATGTACAAAAGTGTGTACCTTTGAACAATGCAATGGGAAGATGAAGATCATTCATAGGCAGCACAAGAAGGTTAACTAGTGAAACAATGGTCTCAGGCGACGTGGGCAAGGATGGAGTTGCACTTGGAGTTGACACATTAGTAGTGGATGTGGGTGATAGGCGTCGATGAAGAAGGGAGAGATAAAGAAGGAATAGAAGGAGGAGGATCCACGAGAATGACAAAGGGTGGAAACCTAGGGGGTGGAGACATAGATGGATGAGAAGATGAAGTTGATGGAGCAAAAAAAGAGAATTTCTCATGAAAGATAACATCAACTGAGGTCACATAGTGATAAGGATTAGGAAAATATACTCGATGAACTTTTTGAGTTTGTGAGTATTCCTCAAAGATACCTTTTAGAGTACAAGTTTGAAAAGAGATGATGAGTGATCATGAACAAAAGTGGTGCAACCAAAAACCTGAGGAAGTAAAGAAAAAAGAGAAGCATCAGGTGTGAGATGTTGGAAAGTAATAGAACCACTTAATGGAGCAGAAAGAAGGCAGTTTTGAAGATAAGTGGTAGTCAAGAGTGCATCAAACCATAAGTAATGTGAAACATGCATCTAAATGAGCAGTGTGTGACTGATGTCAAGTAATTGGCGATGTTTACATTTGACAACTCTATTCTATTGGGAGGTGTATGGATAGGTGGTCTGATAAATAATACCATAATTAATACAAAAGGTTTGAATAGCATATTGAACAAGTTCAAGTGTATTGTTCATGTGAAGAACTTTTGATGTACTAAAATATTAAGTAACAATCTTAGTGATAAATTGAGTAACAATAAAGAGAACTTGAGATTGATCACGGAAGAGATAAACCCAACTCATACAAGTGTAATCATCAATGAAAATGATGTAATATAAATGCCTAGTGATGGAGGCAACTCGAGAGGTGTTAAAGCTAGATTTTTATGTTTTAATTAGGTTTGTTTTTTTTTTTTGATGTGTTAGCTTGTAAAATAAATATATGAATATGTTTTTAATTTTAAAAGTAAGTTAAAATACATAACATCATTTTTAATTATTTATAAAAATCAAAGAATAAAATATACAAAATATTACCACCCTAGCAAGCCATCACTCAATAGTTGACCTAGAGGGGCACTACGGTCAAGTGGGTAGACCTAGACTAGGGGAGCCATGAGCTGGGGTTATGTGGCAAAGGACTCACTTCATGCATGTGGGTGTCACTCTACCATGTACTGGTGGCCAACTAGTCATGGAACAAAGAGCGTCATATGCTTGAGGGTAGACCACCTTTTTACCTTCTTCTAAGATGGTCTTAGGTATTATTTTATTTCAGGAAAATAGATCTCTACTTAGAGAGCATTACTTTGATATATATTCAATTTAATCGATGAAAACCTTCTAATATAGGACTAAACATTCTTATTTGTTTCAGGGTAGTAGTCTAGTGTGCACTAGTAGTGCTCAATAAGTCATTTCATCAGATAAGATAGATTCTACGGTGAGAGAACTACCATGATACTCAAAGCGTAAAGCAATCCATTAGTGGTTCACGAATCCAATGCTGCTCAATATGCATGTGATCATAAACCATGAATTGATGGCTAGCAAAGTGCCACAGTACTAGGGACTTAAAGTTCTTAGTAGGCATCGATTCGTGGTGGGTTAATCTGACATTGCTCAATACGTCACATGACCAAGCACATCTGATCTTACAGCTTGCGAAGTGTCATGATACTAAGAACTTAAGTTCTCGCACATATCATCGTCATGGATATAAAGATAATAATTGATTATTATCTAGTAACATAGATATTATCGATTATCTTTAAAATCCTAATAGCAGTTGTGAATATGACAATTTATTCTTCCATCTTTTCGCACAATCAACACCTACGACAATTGGTGAGCTTGTTCCTTCCTCCCCCAACTACACTCAAGACCTTTGGCGAATGTTCAACTCTTCCCTTCTCCCTCCAAACAACAGTGACATCATGGTCGACCACTCTTTCAGTGGATCCCTACGGCAAGCGGCATAGTGTTTCTAGACAATACTTTTGCGACTTCCGGCATGGTGTGGGATGTCCAAACAAAAGTAAGCCACCACACCAATGTCTCTTGGTGCCTAGGAGGTAGACTAAACTTGAGCAGTACTTTATTTTCTGCTTTTATCATTTATATTTATTTATATTTTACGACAAGTTATTTCTATTTCGTACATGTTGATAAGTCTTTATTATCATGAGTTAATAATTAGTAAATAATATAGTTTTAGTCTTAACTCATGATAAATAGACTTATATTTATGTTAAAGTGTGAAAAGTGGTTTTTAGTTGATTAACGTAAATTTTTAGGTAATTATGTGATTTTATACGAATTTATATGATTTTTATAATCTTACTTTTGAGATAAATGAAGAAAAAGAAATAAAAATAGAAATAAGACAAAATAAGGGGGACCCATCGGCCAGTCGGGACCGCAAACGAGTTGGAAGCGTAGTTAGGGAGTAGTCACGAGTAGGGGCTTGAGTGGCTTGGACCGATAGGCACACGTGTGCACCACCCTCCTTCCACATCATTGATGGCCAGTCAATTGTGGGGCAAAGAGTGGTCGTACACATGTGAGAAAGAGACTTGATCAGAAATAAAATATTGTTATATATTCACCAAAAACTTTGGTGCATAATTGATGTGGGATTAAACCCACATCACCTTCCCCAAAAAGGGGGGGCAACTAGCACGAGTTCAAATCCTTCGAGAGCCAAAACTCATATTTTTTATCTGATTATCATGACTTTCCTGTAGATCGCAAGTGAAGGATTAAGTAACTAGAATCATTAGATCATTAGCAAAAATCTCGTTGTATATTAAATCACGCAAGTATAAAATTTATAAAACTAGAAAATACGAATTTTCAGATATTTAGAAGTATTTCTAAATAAATATATCAATTATAATTCAAAAAAAATTTCAAAAATAGCGATAATTTTCCAAGTCGATCATAGAGATGTAATATAATATCTAGTAATTATTCAGAATTTTTCTCAATGAATACAATATTTTTAGGAATTTTATACTAGGAAATAAAAAGGAAATATATTTAAAATTCATGAAAAAAAGGAAATAAGGGTGCGGACGTCAGGATGATGTCAGCGCCCGTGATCGCGAATTAGGCAAAAACAGAGTTCTACCCGACGATTCGTATGTAGGTGATTACAGGAGACTTAATTAATCAAATTAAGATCTGTAAAAGTCGGAAGAATCGTAATTGAATGAAGTATAGTTTGGTAAATTAAAATTACACAAAGTATCACTAAATGAAGCATAAATTAAATTGAAAGCAGGAAAACAGAGTTCCGATGTCGCGACAGCGATGCGTCGGCGATGCATCAGAATCTTGAGCGTTCGGGAGGATCGTCGTGTAGTGTCTACGGCCTCGAAGGCTCTCCTTGGACAAAGACGACGTGGGCAATCTCTAGATCTTCTCGCAAAGTCTAGAGATCAATGAAGTGGGTCGTCAAATCGTCTCCGGTGGCTGTCACCCAGTGGAGCGAAAAAATGGCGACTTTACGGCTCTCCGATGGCTATCACCTGACGGAGAGAAGTTGGATGGAGGTGGGGCGCGTGTCAAGGAGCTTCATCCTCAGATCCGCGCAGCAAGAGGAGGCTCTTCATCGCATCTGGTATGCTCTCAGGAGGTGGTGACTAGTCTCCCGGCGGATCGTCCTCTTCCTGACGACGGCTTGTTCGTCAATCAATCGGAGATGATTTACTCGATGAATTCATGATCCTTTTATCACGAATCATTCAGCAATTTTAGTAGCAATGCTCCGCGAATCGCGTTGACAAGATTTTTGCTGATGATCCAGTGATTCTCGTTGCTTAATCCTTCACCGGCGATCTGCAGGAAAGTCGTGATAATCAAATAAAAATATATGAATTTTGACTCTGGAAGGATTCAAACCCACGCCAGTCGCCCACTTGTGAGGAAGGTGTGACACGGGTATAGTCCCACATCGATTGTGCACCGATTTTTCGGGCGAATATATAGTAATGTTAACTTTGCAAGCAAAGTTCCTTCTCTCGCGTGTATGGCTACTCCTTGCCCCATAGCCGGCTGGCCACCGGTGACGTGGAAGGGGAGTGTGCACACGTGCCCCTATCGGTCCAAGCTAAGCCACTCGAGTCCTTGCTCACAGCTACTCCCCAATTGCGCTTCCGACCCACTTGCGGACCTAGCTGGCTGACGGGTACCCCCCCATTTTGTAATATATTTTATTTTTATTTCTTTTTTTTCATTTATCTCAAAGGTAAGACTGTAAAAATCACATAATTACCCAAAAATTCACGTTAATCAATTGAAAACCAAAAATCATTCTTTAACACAAATATAAGTTTATTTATCATGAGTTAAGGCTAAAACTATATTATATACTAATTATTAACTCATGATAATGAAGACTTATCAGCCGTCATCTAAGTGCTGAAGCATTGGTAGCACTACCTCTTGTCGAAGGAGTTCATGCTCTACTTTGACCATTAGGCCCTAAAGTATTTGTAGTCGTAGTAAAGCTGAGTAATCGACATGTCCGTTGGGTTGAGTATCTTCAAGACTACACATTCGTCATTCGGCACAAGAAGGGCATTGATATTGTGATTGCTGATGCCTTGAGTTGCCGAACCCACCTTCTCAATTTGGTGAAGGTGCAGGTTACTAGATTTGAGTCCTTAAAGGACTCATATGTAGATTCCCCCAACTATGGCCTTGAGCTTGGGACGACACACAAGCACCCAGACTAACTTTTGACATATGGATATCTATTCTTTAAGAATAGATTGTGCATACCCCGCACTTCTCTCCGAGACTTCCTCACTTTGGAGTGTCATGCCAAAGGTCTTGCCGGTCACTTCAGTCGTGACAAGATGATCACGCTTGTAGGATACTAGTTCTACTAGTCGAGTTTGAAGTGCAATGTAGGGAACATCGTCAATATAGTTTTCATTATCATGAGTTAATAATTAGTAAATAATATAGTTTTAGCCTTAACTCATGATAAATAGACTTATATTTGTGTTAAAGCATGAAAAGTGGTTTTCAGTTGATTAACGTGAATTTTGGGTAATTATGTGATTTTATACGATTTTTACAGTCTTAGTTTTGAGATAAATGAAGAACAAGAAATAAAAATAAAAATATTGCAAAATGGGGTGATCCGCCGGCCAGCCGGGCCCGCAAGTGGGTCGGAAGCGCAGTCGGGGAGTAGCCGCGAGCAGGGGCTCGAGCGGCTTGCTTGGATCGATAGGGGCACGTGTGCGCCACTCCCCTTCCACGTCACCGGTGGTCAGCCGGCTGTGGGGCAAGGAGTGGTCGTACACGCGAGAGGACTTTGCCTAGAAAGCTAACTTTATTATATAATCGCCCGAATAATCCGCGCACAACCGATGTGGGACTAAATCCACCTTGTTCAGGGGCGGGCGACCGCCGCGGGTTCGAATCCTCCCAGAGTCAAAATTCATATATTTTTAACTGATTATCGCGACTTTCCTGTAGATCGCCGGTGAAGGATTAAGCAACCGGAATCGCTGGATCATCGGCGAAAATCTCGTCAACGCGATTCGCGGAGCAGTGCTACTAAAATTTCTGAACGATTCGCGATAAAAGGATCGCAATCCATCGAGTAAATCATCTCCGATTGATCGACGAACAAGCCGTCGTCGGGAAGAGGACGATCCGCCGGGAGACCAGTCGCCACCTCCTGAGAGCGTACCAGATGCGATGAAGAGCCTCCTCTTGCTGCGCGGACCTGAGGATGAAGCTCCCTAACACACGCCTCACCTCCATCCAGCCCCTCTCTGTCGGGTGACAGCCGCCGGAGAGCCGCAAAGTCGCCGTTTTTCCGCTCCGCCGGGTGACAGCCGCCGGAGACGATTTGACAACCCACTTCATTGGTCTCTAGACTTCGCGAGAAGATCTAAAGATTGCCCACGTCGTCTTTGTCCAAGGAGAGCCTTCGAGGCCGTGGACACTGCACGACGACCCTCCCGAACGCTCAGGATTCCGGTGCATCGCCGATGCGTCGCCGTCGCGACGCCGGAACTCTGTTTTCCTGCTTTATCTAGAGATTGCCCACGTCGTCTTTGTCCAAGGAGAGCCTTTGAGGCCGTGGACACTGCATGACGACCCTCCCGAACGCTCAGGATTCCGGTGCATCGCCGACGCGTCGCCGTCGCGACGCTGGAACTCTGTTTTCCTGCTTTATCTAGAGATTGCCCACGTCGTCTTTGTCCAAGGAGAGCCTTCGAGGCCGTGGACACTGCACGACGATCCTCCCGAACGCTCAGGATTCCGGTGCATCGCCGACGCGTCGCCGTCGCGACGCCGGAATTCTGTTTTCCTGCTTTCAATTTAATTTACGCTTCATTTAGTGATACTTTGTTGATTTTTATTTACCAAACTATACTTCGTTCAACTACGATTCTTCCGGCTTTTACAGATCTTAATTTGATTAATTGAGTCGTCTGTAATCGCCTACGTAAGAATCGCCGGGCGGAACTCTATTTCCGCCTGATTCGCGTTCGCCGGGCGCTGACATCATTCTGACGTCCGCACCCTTATTTCCTCTTTTTTTGTGAATTTTAAATATATTTCCTTTTTATTTCCTAGTATAAAATTCGTAAGAAAATCATACTCATTGAGAAAAATTCTGAATAATTACCAGATATTATATTACATCCCTGTGATCGATCTGGAAAATTACCACTATTTTTGGGATTTTTATTGAATTATAATTGATATATTTATTTTGAAATACTTCTAAATATTTGAAAATTCGTATTTTCTAGTTTTATAAATTTTATATTTGCGTGATTTAATATACAACGACTGAGTCACGTCAAGTATCTTCAAGACTACACATTCGTCATTCGGCACAAGAAGGGCATTGATATTGTGATTGCTGATGCCTTGAGTTGCCGAACCCACCTTCTCAATTTGGTGAAGGTGCAGGTTACCAGATTTGAGTCCTTAAAGGACTCATATGTAGATTCCCCCAACTATGGCCTTGAGCTTGGGACGACACACAAGCACCCAGACTAACTTTTGACATATGGATATCTATTCTTTAAGAATAGATTGTGCATACCCCGCACTTCTCTCCGAGACTTCCTCACTTTGGAGTGTCACGCCAAAGGTCTTGCCGGTCACTTCAGTCGTGACAAGATGATCACGCTTGTAGGATACTAGTTCTACTAGTCGAGTTTGAAGTGCAATGTAGGGAACATCGTCAATCAGTGCCATGTGTGTGCCTTTGCAAAGCAAGTTAAGAAGAATGCTGAACTTCATACGACACTTCCTATATTGATGCGCCCTTGGGACGATGTCAACATTGGCTTCGTATTGGGACTTCCCCACACCACCCATCAACATGATTCTATCATGGTCGTCATCAATTGATTTTCAAAGACGACACATTTTGTGCTTGTTTGAAGACCTTCGACGCGATCCGTATAGCTCAGCTATACTTCGAGAGATAGTGCACCTACATGGAGTGCCCAAGTCCATCATCTTAGACCACAACGTCCATTTCACCAGCCACTTCTAGAGGACCTTGTCAAGCTTGCTAGGCACTAAGCTCAAATTCTCAACAGCATATCATCCGTAAATGGACAACTAGACAAAGGTCGTCAATAGGAGCTTAGGGAACTTGCTCCGATCTTTGGTGGGGGAGAACCTCACAATGTGGGATCTGATTATCCCCCATGCTGAGTTTGCCTTAACTCCTCAGCCAACCACACCACTAGCATGAGTCCTTTTGAGATTGCCCTTAGTCTTGCACCCCACAAGCCCCTATACTTAGTGCTCGTTGACCTACATGTTAGAGTGTCTGAAGATGGTGCTGCATTTGCCCAGCATATTAGTGACTTGCATCAGCATATTCATAATAGGATTACCAGTCGCAATGCATTATACAAGTAGGCTGCCGATTTACATTGTTGACTCCAGAGCTTCAACATGGGCAACCAAGTGATGGTCAAGTTGAGATCTGAGAGGTATTCTCTTAGCACGGTGATGTGACTCAATCGTTGTATATCACACAAATTTAAAATTTATAAAACTAGAAAATATGATTTTTCAGATATTTAGAAGTATTTCTGAACTCAATTATAATTTAATAAAACTTCCAAAAAATAGCAATAATTTTCCAAGTCGATCACAAGAATATAATATAATATCTGGCAATTTTTAAAATTTTTTCTCAATGAATATGATTTTCTATGAATTTTATACTAAGAAATGAAAAGGAAATATATTTAAAATTCATAGAAAAAAGGAAATAAGGGTGTGGATGTCATGATGACATCAGCGCCCGACGAATGCGAATCAGGCAGAAATAGAGTTCCACCCAATGATTCTTACATAAGCAGTTACAAATGATTTAATTAATCAAATTAAGATTTGTAAAAGCTACAAGAATCGTAATTGAACAAAATATATTTTAGTAAATTAAAATCACAAAAATTATCACTAAATGAAGCGTAAAGTAAATTGAAAGTAGGAAAATAGAGTTTCGACATCGCGATGGCGATGCGTCGGCGATGCACTAAAATCTTGAGCATCAAGGAGGATTGTCGTGTAGTGTCCACAACCTTGAAGGCTCTCCTTGGATAAAGACGACATGGGCAATCTTTAGATCTCCTTGCGAAGTCTAGAGATTAATAAAATGGGTCGTCGAATCATCTCTGGTGGCTGTCACCTGACAGAGCGAAAAAACGACGACTTTGCAGCTCTCCAACAGCTGTCACCCAACGAAGAGGAGCTGAATGGAGGTGGGGCACATGTCAGGGAACTTCATCCTCAGGTTTGCGCAACAAGAGGAGGCTCTTCATTGCATCCGGTACACTCTCAGGAGATGGCGACTCATCTCCCGACGGACCGTCCTCTTCTCGACAATGGCTTGTTTATCAATCAATTAGATATGCTTTACTCGATAGATTCGCGATCTTTCTATGGCGAATCATTCAACAATTTTAGTAACAATACTTCACAAATCGTGTTGATGAGATTTTTGTTGATGATCTAGCGATTCTGGTTGCTTAATCCTTCACCAGCGATCTACAAGAAAGTCATGATAATCACATAAAAAAATATGAGTTTTGGCTCTAGGAGGATTCAAACCCATGCCAATTGCCCACCCCTTCTGAGGAAGGTGTGACGTGGGTTTAATCCCACGTCCGTTGTGTGCCAATTTTTTGGCCGAATATATAGTAATGTTACATTTCTAAGTTCCTTCTCTTGTGTGTATGACCACTCTTTGCCCCACAACCAACTGGCCATCGGTGACATAGAAGGAGAGTGGCTCGTACGTGTGCCCCTATCGGTCTAAGTTGCTCGAGCCCTTGCTTGCAGCTACTCCTAACTGAGCTTCTGACCTATTTGCGGGCCCGGCTAGACGGCGAGTCCCCCTCATTTTGTCTTATTTTTATTTTTTATTTCTTCTTCTTCATTTATCTCAAAAGCAAGACTGAAAAATCATATAAATTCTTGTAAAATCACATAATTACCCAAAAATTCACATTAATCAACTGAAAACTATTTCCACACTTTAACATAAATATAAGTCTATTTATCATGAGTTAAGGCTAGAACTACATTATTTACTAATTATTTACTCATGATAATGAAGACTTATCACACGGCTATGAAGCTCCATACTCATAGCATGGGCTTGTTCTAGATCCTTACTCGTGTAGGTGAGAATGCCTACATCATCAACGTCCCTCCATCATGGGGGATTAGCTCGACATTCAACGTAGCAGACTTGGCTACGTACTGAGCCCCACCTTCTGACCAGCCTCCCTACCCCAGCCCATTCTTTGAGAGTGAGTTTGCCTTTGAGTCCACTCCCCTTGTTTTACCACCTGATTGGCATGAGCAGGTCAAGGAGGTACTGCATGAGGTAATTGGCTTTTCAGGGGATAAAGTTTCATGGAGGTTTCTCATGCATTGGCAGGCTTGTACTATAGTAGACGACACATAGATTTTGGAGGAGGACCTCGCATGCTTGCAGCCAAACTTGATCAAGCCCATGCTTGTTCCACTCACCAACTCAATAGAGTCAAGTTCTTCCAACCCTAGGAGGATTGGTGGTGAATGGGACCCATCTCCACCATGCACAAGCTCGAGACAATAGAGGAGACCTTGAGTTCTGCTATACAGCTTGAGGTGCCTTTATGTTTTCCATGTCTTATGTTTTCCTTCACTTGTTTCCCTTGTTCGTGAACTGTGTGGCTTTTAGTTTTGCTCCATGTGGGGACTCCCATCCCTAGGGTCCATGTTGGGCCCATGGTGGGGATGGGAAGGCCCATTTCCTTTTTGTTTTCTTTTCTTTCCTCTCTTCTCCTTTCGGGCCATACATGTTTAGGCCCAGTTGGAGAAGAGGGTATCCTTCTTTTCCTCACCTCTCTTCTCTTTTGGGCCATTCTCATTTGGGCCCAATTGGAGAGGAGGGCCCATTTTGGACTATGTTCCTTTTTTGGGCTTTGGCATCTTGGGCCTCAAGCATGGCCCCTCCATCCTTGGCCCATTTGGGGCCCTATATTAGGGGTGCAAAGCCACCCCCAAGAGAGCTAGCCATCATTTTTAGGAGAAAGCGTGTTTTGGTTAAGAATCTCATTTAGAGAGGATAGGAGAGGAAGGGGGGGTGCCGCCAAGTCACCACCGCTGCTACTAGGCTGTCAGCAGCCTGCCATGCTGCTGTCAGATTGCTGCCACTGCTACCAGGCCATCAACAGTTCATCGTGCCGCTGCCAATGCACCAGCCACATGCGCTCGCCCACCACGTGAGCCCACCAGTTGTGTGCTCCTGCCTTGTGCCTGTCACATGGCCATTACAGCACCTCTACGTGCACATTGCGTGCCCACCCACACGCCACTGCACTTGACCCTCAAAGCTTGCCATTGTGCTTGACCAAGGGCACTCACTTGAGCACCCTGCCGCTTGGCCATGCCCCCTCTTCCAAACCCTGTTTGTGCCCATGTTGCTAAGCCTAGCTGAGCCCCCAACTAATGCCCACTAGGTGTTTGATGATTTGCCTTAGAAAGTGTTGATGTCACTTAGTCATTGTATAGCAAACACAAATTTAAAAATTATAAAACTAAAAAGTAGTTATTTTTTAATATTTAGAAGTATTTTTGAACAAATATATCAATTATAATTTAATAAAAGTTCTAAAAATAGTACAAATTTTTTAGGTTGATCATAGGGACGTAATATAATATCAGGTAATTTTTTAAAATTTTCTTTAAAAAATATATTTTTTAATAAATTTTATACTAATAAATCGAAATAAAGTATATTTAAGATTTGTAAAAAAGAAAAATAAGGGTGCAGATGTCAGGATGATGTCAGCATTAGATGAACGCAAATTAAGTGAAAACATAGTTTTGTTTGGTAATTTTTACATAAGTAATTATAGATGATTTAATTAATCAAATTAAGATCTATAAAAGTCAAAAGAATTATAATTGAATGGAGAATAGTTTGGTAAATTTAAATAACACAAACTATCACTAAATCAAGTGAAAATTAAGTTGAAAGCAAGAAAGACATAGTTCTAGCCTCGCAACAATGATCGTCATAATTCTATGTGTTTGGGAGGGTCATCGAACAATGTCTACAGTCTCAAAGGCTCTCCTTGGACATGAAGGACTGGAGTATTTATTAGAGAAGTCTACAAAATGATGGTGGAAGTTAAGCTAATTAAATAATAATAAAATAGAGTTTTGACGTCGCAATAATAATATGTCGGCGATATAGTGGAATCCTAAACGTTCAAGAAGACTGTTGTGCAGTGTCTATAGCCTCAAAGGCTCTCCTTGGACAAGGATGATGTGGGCAATCTCTAGATCTTCTTACAAAATCTAAAGATCAATGAAATGGGTTGTCAAATTATCTTTAGTGGTTGTCACCTAGTAGAACAAAAAATGGTAACTTTACGGCTCTTTGACAGCTGTCACTTGATAGAGAAGAGCTGGATAGAAGTAGGGCGCGTGTCAGAAAGTTTCATCTATAAGTCTACACAGCAAGAGAAGACTCTTCATTGCATTTGATATGCTCTCTAGAGGTGGTGACTCGTCTCACAACAGATCATCTTCTTTCTGATGATGGTTTGTTCGTCAATCAATCAAAAATGTTTTACTTGATAGATTCATGATCTTTTTATCATGAAATATTTAGTAATTTTAATAATAATATATTTTGTGAATTATGTTAATGAGATTTTCACCGATAATCAAGTGATTTTGGCGACTTAATTCTTCATCGGCAATCTATTGAAAAGTCATGATTTAATCAGATAAAAATATGAATTTTGGCTCTAATAGGATTTAAACTCACATCGATTGCCCACCTACATGAGAGAGGTTGAAATAAGTACTCTAATACCCTTATAAACTGACATCATCATGGTATATCTCTATTATAATTAAGGGGTCTTTTAAATATTAAAATAAATAAAACTATTTTGGAGAAGGTGTGATGTGAGTTTAGTCCCACATTGATTGTACGCTGAAGTTTTAGATGAATATATAGGAATATTAATTTTAGAAGTAATAAGTCTCTTTTTCACATATACAATTACTCTTTGCCCTACGGCCAACTAACCATTAGTGACGTGGATGAGGAGTGGTACACATGTGTCCTCATCAGTCCATAACTACTCAAGCCCTTACTTGCAGCTCCCCTTGACTATGCTTCTGACCTACTTGTGAGCTTGGTTGGCTGGTGGGTCCCCCCCTTGTTCTATATTTTTATTTTAATATTATTTTCTTCATTTATCTCAAAAATAAGACTATAAAAATTATCTAAATTCATATAAAATCATATAACTAACCAAAAATTCATATTAATCAACTTAAAACTACTTTTCACAATTTAACGCAAATATAAGTTTATTTATTATGAGTTAAGGTTTAAACTATATTATTTATTAATTATTAACTCATAATAATAAAAACTTATAAGTAGCCTAGCCATAGTATCTAAAAATACTTCGAATTCAATTCATATAATAATGGGATGCTAGTGTATTGATATCCATTCATGTGTAATCTTCTTCCGCATGTTTCTATAACTTTCATGTGAAATCATGTGAATAAGATGTAAGTTCATTGTTAATGATATTGATGAGAAATAACTCCAACTTTTTTTCGAAAGTTAACAGAATAAATTAAAATGTAATTTGACAATCCAAACCCAAGGATACCAGTAATTTGACTAGGAAATTGAGCAACGTGTTGTTGTCAATGCTGAACTAAAATATAGATCCACATTGATGTGAGACATATCAGTAAGATGGGCTGTGATTTAGGACTTGCTTAAAGCCTAGTCTAAAGTTGGGATCTATAATCAGTTTAGAACATACCATAATTGAGATAAAATCCTAGAAGATGACTCCAAAGCAAATCCTATGTTTCTCCTTTAGATGATGTCATGCTTGTGACATCATCCGCTGCCCTCGTGGCCTTGGATCGCCACATCAGAGTGGTATCGTGCTATCACGTGCAGGCGCCATGCTGGTGCACACAGTTGTTGTGCTAGTGCATGCAGATGTTGTGTCGCCATGTGCAGGTGTTGTGCCGCATTATGTGGGCATTGTGCTGGTGCGCACAGGTGCCATGTTGTTGTGTGTGTGGGCATCATGTCATCACATGTGGCCATCTTGCCAAAGTGAACCAATGTCATGTCGGAGAGCACTAGTGACCTGTTGGAGCACACTAGTGTCATGCTAGTGTGTATCATGGTGCTGATATCAGGGTTGGTTACTATAGGTGAACCCTAGCAACATTCTCCCCCTCTTGTGGGATCTGACATCCTTGTTAGATATTGTCTATACTGATAAGCTTAGATTAGGTTCTCAAATTACCACAAGTCTATGTCCTTCTCCCATGTAGCCACCTCCTGTGGTTGTCTTGCCCATTGAATAAGGTGAAAGGTGTTATGGTGGGCATAGGGGAAGTCTATGTCCTTCTCCCACACACCCACCTTTGTCAACCACCTAACAATCCAAGATGTGGTTGCTATGTTAGAGTAATGTCTTGGATCCCCAGTGGGGGCTGGTGTGGCCAGTTCCACTCTAGCCATCCATGTCTACATGGTAGGTGTTCAACAGAGAAACATGAAAGACCAAGTGTACCAAGAGGCATGGGGAAGGTTAAAGCTCGTAGGTGATAACTCTAGACTTAGGATGTCCTAAGTCCTAAGTGAGGTTATATAAAACTATTTATATTTTCAATATCCTAATCAATCTAATGAGCAGAGAGGGTAAGATAAGGGTCGAACCACAAGGAGAAAAACTAATGATCTTAAAAAATATTAAGTAATGAGAAGAAATAGGTTAGAAAATAGAAAAGAGAAAGATAGATGAGAGATGATCGAGAGATGAGAAATATGGGTGAAATGGGATGTAATGAAGGAAACCCTAGATTAGGGTTGGCCTAGGGGTTTGTAGAAAGAAGTTTTGAAAGTATTTTAATGAGAAAGAGTGGTCGAGATTTACAAGAAATAATGTAACTACTAAGAACCTATCTAAAACCCTAGGTTTCACCCTGAGGAAGAAGGAAAGGAAACAAATAAGCACAAATAAGAAGATTGCTCAACCTAGGCCTTTTCTTGTCGCCAAAGTTAGATGGTTTCCTCTGATAGGTTGATCTCCAGCACTTTACTCCTTGTAACTCAATCCTCAACACTCAACTTTGCCCTCAAGGCCTCTCTTGATTACTCAAGATTACATAAAAGGGAAAGAAGAATGAATCTTTAGAATAGAAGTTGTTTCACTCCATCTAACCACTATTGGGGCTCCTTCCAAAAAGGTGAAAAGAAAAGTGGGTGAAGAGAATACATATAAGCAATAAAGTTTCCCAAAATATCTTTGGCTCTTTCTCAAAATACCTCTAGCTCATCTCCTTCATTTTCATAAGCTTCTTGAAGATCATGCCCACAAAATTTGGGCTTGAAACCCCTTCTAGATTATTAGATGTCGATCCTAGAAGATAGAGAAATCTAATTGTTGATTGAGTGTCTCCTCCGCCTCTACAGGAACCTTGTCACACCGTCGTGATGAAAGGGGCTCACTTCACCCCGCTACGAGCCATCACCGAGCACACCATTAGAGTCTCTCGACTCTTGGTTCGACTGCCGCCTTTTCCTCTAGAACCCCACCATAAACTCACCGGAGCCGCCCTCCACCGCTCTGCCCAATCAGTGGCCGTTTGCCGACGAACGCTGACTTGCCGCCGACGTCAGAAGAGACCCTACAGCCGTGCTGACGAGCTAGAACCAGTCCAAGCTCTGCACAGGCCCCCCCTAGAGTTTCCTGATGCTTCACTGCCGTCGCGCCGTTTCTGATGCCACTTAGACCAGGAGAGCTCAACCCTCCCTAGTATCATTGGTCGGATCGTCTCCTCTTTGCTCTACTTCTCGGCACTACCAGAGAGGCTGATCCTTCCGGTGACAATTGGGTTTCTACCCCAACCGCTGACGCTCGGCATTCTCGCCGAAGCGCTGCTGATGCTCGGCCTTCTCGCCGAACGTCGATGCTCGGCATTCTCGCCGAAGCGCCACTAATGCTTGGCAATCCTGCCAAAGCGCCGCAGACGCTCGGCCTTCCTGCCAAAGCGCTGCCACCGCGTGCCGGCTTGCAGCCCGCACGCCCACCCGGCGCCACTGCCTGCGTGCCCTAGGGCATGCCACGCGACTTGCCATGCGCACCCGCTAGCATGCCCTTTTGGCCCACCAGTGGGCCCACACTTGCTAGCATGCCCTTTGGCCCACCTACAGGCCCACGCCCATGCTGCTTGTGCCACACCCTAAGATGACGACTTCCGTGACTCTCAACCAGCATCGCTCTTCACCGGACGTCCCTGCCTTTGTCGGATTTTTGCTCCGTCACGACCCACCGGGCTACGCAGCCCTGAAGGTTAGCTTCGTACGCCTTCTTACTTAAGTTTAATTATCTTTCGAAGGGTTTTCTCGGCTCGTCTCTACCGCCTTCAAGAGCATGTAGATAGGATAGGATAAGTTATCGGATCGTGACTTTTGACGTTGCACCAGACTCATCATAGTTCATAAGTTGCAGCCCTAGGCTACTTCATGACGACAGTTCTACTGTCTGTCTAGATGTGGATTGAGAGGGCCTCTTACTCACCATCGTCGAGTGTTTCCCTGAGTTGTCCTGAGATGATCACGCATATTGGTATGCCTGCCTATGCTTAGGTTACGTGGTCAAACCTAGAGTCTAGGGTCCAAACCTTCTTATTAGATCGGTTCGACTATCCCATCTTGGGACTTGAGTTTCATTGATCAAGTACAGAGAGTTCTCGCCCCGTCCTACATCACTTATGGTGACAAGACATCTTTAATCATCATTTTTAGTGAGAAGATGTGCTTAACCACTACTTTTGGTGACAAGACGTGTTTAACTATCACTTTTGGTGGGAAGACATACTTAACCACCACTTTTAGTGACAGGACATGCTTAACTACTACTTTTGATGGGAAGACGTGCTTAACCGTCATTTACAATGACAAGATGTCCTTGACCACAGAAATAAGAGGTACAATCACTGATAGAAAGTCCATGTCTTCTTGCCTTATACTCTCGTGCAATACCTCGTCTTCTTGCATTCTACGTAATTATGGCTTGAATAAAATATTCATGACTTAAATAATCATTGTGCTGCCACATCACATACCATGACATGTTAAATATATATAAAAATCTAGTGGTTGACATGTGTCATTAACTATGAGAAATTGTGGAAAAGCCCCTAAAATGTGTGAAATAAAATATATGTTTTTCCCTAAATTACTTAAATTTCCTCATGACTTAAATTTATCAAAATAAATTCAAAATAAAGTCGTAAAAAATCCAAGAATATTTCTAAAATAGGAAAAAAATTTAGAATCATTATAAAGTTATTATTTGGCTATTTTATAAAGGATAACATGCAAAAATAAGACATTTGATCTTAAATCTATTCACTTGAAGGTAATTAATGAGTAGTTTTAGCATATTATCAATAGGGGCTAGTCGCCCCACCAAAGTCACAACCTAGAAGGGTCCATCAAACCATAATATCAAATGCCTCTAGGTACCTTTGGAGGCTCTTGTATGCCAATGCCAATGCCTCTAGGTGGCTTTAACCTCTCACCGATAATGATTAATATTAATCTTCATCCATTGGGTGGCTTTAACCAATGCCTCTATGGCCTCTTCAATGAGGATGCTATAACTCTTGGCAAAGTGGTAGGCCACTGGCAAGTATCATGGACCCTACTACTTTACCAGATCCGAGGGATCAATGGTTGCCTACTAGTGTTAAGCTTAAACAATGAGTGTCCTATGGATGCACATTGCTGAAGCTTATGGGCAAATTGAGTAATGATAAGTCTTCATTTTCATGAGTTAATAATTAGTAAATAGTATAGTTTTAGCCTTAACTCATGATAAATAGACTTATATCTGTGTTAAAGTGTGAAAAGTGGTTTTTAGTTGATTAATGTGAATTTTTGGGTAATTATGTGATTTTACATAAATTTATATGATTTTTATAGTCTTAATTTTGTGATAAATGAAGAAAAAGAAATAAAAAATAAAAAAAAGATAAAATGAAGGGGACCTGTCGGCCAGCTAGGCCCTGCAAGTAGGTCGGAAGCTCAGTCAAGAAGTAGCCGCGAGCAAGGGCTTGAGCAGCTAAGACTGATAGGGGCACGTGTGTGCCACTCCCCTTCCACGTCACTAGTGGCCAGCCGGCTGTGGGGCAAGGAGTGGTCGTACACGCAAGAGAAGAGACTTTGCTTAGAAATCTAACATTACTATATATTCACCCAAAAAACAGCGCACAACTGATCTAGGACTAAACCCGCGTCACACCTTCCTTAGAAGAGGTGGGCGACCGACGTGGGTTCGAGTCCTTCTAGAGTCAAAAGTCATATATTTTTATCTAATTATCATGACTTTCCTACGGATCACCGGCGAAGGATTAAGCAATGAGAATCACTAGATCATCGGTGAAAATCTCATCAACATGATTTACAGAGCATTGCTACTAAAACTACTGAACGATTCGTGATAAAAGGATTGTGAATCCATCGAGTAAATCATCTCGATTGATCAATGAATAAGCCGTCATCGGGAAGAGGACGATCTGCTGGGAGATGAGTTGCCACCTCCTGAGAGTGTACCGGATGCAATGAAGAGCCTCCTCTTGCTGCACGGACCTAAAGATGAAGCTCCCTGACATGTGCCCCACCTCCATCCAGCTCCTCTCCGTCGGGTGACAATCGCCGGAGAGCCGCAAAGTCACTATTTTTTCACTATGCCGGGTGACAATTGCCAAAGATGATTCGACAATCCATTTCATCGATCTCTAGACTTTGCAAGGAGATCTGGAGATTACCCACGTCGTCTTTGTCTAAAGAGAGCCTTTGAGGCTGTGGACACTACACGACGATCCTCCCAAATGCTCAAGATTCCAGTGCATCGTCGACGCATCATCGTCGTGATGCTAGAACTCTGTTTTCCTACTTTCAACTTACTTTACGCTTCATTTAGTGATAATTTTTATATTTTTAATTTACCAAAATATATTTTGTTCAATTACGATTCTTTCGACTTTTATAAATCTTAATTTGATTAATTAAATTATCTATAATAACTTACGTAAGAATTGTCGAGTGGAACTCTATTTCCGCTCGATTTACGTTTGCTGGGTGCTGACATCATCTTGATGTCTGCACCCTTATTTTCTTTTTTTGTGAATTTTAAATATATTTTCTTTTCATTTTTGAGTATAAAATTTATAGAAAATTATATTCATTGAGAAAAATTCTAAATAATTACCTGATATTATATTACATTTCTATGATCAACTTGGAAAATTACTGCTATTTTTGGAAGTTTTATTGAATTATAATTGATATATTTGTTCAGAAATACTTCTAAATATCTGAAAAATCATATTTCCTAGTTTTATAAATTTAAGATTTGTGTGATTTAATATACAACAACTGAGTCACATTAGGTAATATCTAAGAAATTGACCTGATTGTCTAAGGTAGTTCTCCAACATCTCATTCACTCTCTCCATCTGCCCATCTATTTGTGGATGAAAGGCGGTGGAAAAGTTAAGTTTAGTGCCAAGGAGGGTGAAGAGGGCTGAGCAGAATCAACCCGTGAAGCGAAGGTCACGATCTGAAACTATATCCTGAGGAATACACCACAACTTGATGATATGTGTTAAGAACAATCCTGCCACTTCTTTTGCCTTACACTTAGACCATGTTGGTATCATGCTCATCTACTCATGGTAGGCATGTGATGAAGTCCATAGATAAGGATTTCCATGGTCCTTTTGGTCTGGGTAGCGGTTCCAATGTCCCCACAGCATCTTGTTGCTCCACCTTATCTTGTTGACAAATCAAGAAAGAGCGAATATACATTTCTATGTCTCACTCCATGTTGGGTCAAAAGTTACTAGCCAATAGCGATAGTGTTCACCGCTGTCTAGGGCATCTTGCATGCGGTGCATCATGTGTCACTTACAATAGATGACATCAGAGTTGTCCTCCCTATGGGACATAAGGTTGTAAGCTTTCTACATATAAGATATCATCTTCCATCCAAAAGCATTGAGTTTTCCTTTTTTCTGTTTGTCAGATGAGGTGTTTGGCCATTAGATCCATGTTTTATGTAATACGTATTTTGTCAAGCAAGTCTCCTATGCTGACTAAGAAGGCAGCCACTTCATCTATGGTTCCCCACCAGCTCAAAACATCTGCGACCACATTAGTGTGTCCAAGCTTGTCTCTGAGGAGGAAGTCATACTCCAAGAAATCTTGCCGCCATGCTTACTTATGAGATAACTTCTTCTAGGAGTTGAAACAGCTAGTGTCCACATTGTCAGTATCAATGGTGAAATGATTACTAAGAAGATAGTGTCTCCATACCTACAGGCAGTGATGACTACCATCATCTCTTTCTTGTGTATCAAGTACAGTTGCTCTATGTTGCTCAACTTTTGACCTTCAAATACAACAAGGTGTCCTTCCTGCATCAACACACCATCAATCAGCACCTTTGACACATTAATGTGGACCTCAAAAGGTTTGTGAAAGTCTATGAGTTGCAAGTATTGACTCCTTTGTGACTACTACTCAAAGTTTATCAAAGGCTTGTTGATTGCTCTTAGACCATACCCATTTCTGGTCCTTCTTGAGGAGCTCTGTCAAAGGTGATGCTATCTGTGAGAAGCTCTAGATGAATTTGCGATAGTAGTTGGCGAGCTCTAAGAATGACCTTAGCTTGGTCACCCCCTTGGGTGTTGGCCATTCTTCAATTGCCATCACTTTCTTCCAGACCATCTATACTCTCCTTTTGCCAACTAGGTGACCAAGGAATTCCACATCTTCGATGGTGAAAACACACTTGACAGGGTTCAAATATAGTTGGTGATGCTTTAAAGTCTTTAGTACTTGTCATAAATGTGATAGGTGCTTCTGAATATTTCGACTATATACCAAGATGTCATCCAAATATACCACAAAAAAATTGTTCAAAAAAGGTCAAAATATGTGATTCATTAAGACCCAAAATGTTGATGGGGCATTTGTCAACCCGAAAGGCATCACAGTAAATTTATATGACCCATAGCGTGTGACACATGATGTTTTCTACTCATCTCCCCCCTTCATATGGACTTGGTGGTATTGACTCTTCAATTTTAACTTCAAGAAGATCTTTGGCTCTCTTATATGATTGAACAAGTCTTCTACGTTCAGTATCAAGTAATTGTTCTTCACTATGATCTTGTTCAAAGCCTTGTAATTCACACAATGTCTCAACATTCCATCCTTCTTCCACTATTCAAACATCCTACTTTACATGGCCCACTTAGGCCTATTATCTTGCTCTCTTCTTCACCTATATAAACATATGTATCTCTTCATTTAGAGTAAATATAATCTTACTATTTAATCTTTCACATCAACATGACATCAAAGCCCTAAGATTATGATAATTTGAGCAATCATCATACTAAAGGGGCGAGAAGATTATTATTTAAAGCCTAAGCAATAGAGGAGTATGACAAGTACATATTTAATACTCTACTTATATATTTTCACATGATGATTTATGAATTGCATCATTTTCTTATTTTCTACTAGGATGAGAGCATCAAGATAAATGAGAGGAGAAATATATGATTAATAATTGTTGGAGGGAAGAAGATTAATAGATAATCATGATGCATGAGCATGAGCATACATTCCTAGTTTCATCACAGACTATTGAAAAATTAGTGAAAATAAAAAGGTAAAATTGTAAAACTGACTTATTATGTTTACAAATTGAGAGGGGCATAAGGGGCATGCCTATAATAGGACATACGATTCCAAAAGAAGACCAACCACTGCCTAGGACCTTCATTCACGATCAACCCTCTCATTCCTCTCCTTCTTCCTTTGGTGTGTCCCTCTCTTATTGTGTGGATGGCCTGCTCCTCCTCTCTCCATTGGTGCCACCCGCAGCACACCATAGGTGAGCCGGCTCATCCCTTCCCCCCCTTCTGGTGGTGACAGCAGCAGCAATGATTGTGGGTTTCCTCCCTTAGTGCAGCAAGAAGAGGATCAACCAAAAACGCCCCTACATGAGGCTGCCGTTCTCTTCCCACATCTATCAGAACAAGAGGGAGAAATCATTTTCGTTTTGTTCATTTGATTTTTATGTAATCAAACCTCTTTTATCCTAGTTAATTCAATCTAAATTTCATGAAACTCTCTTCCCCTTTGCCTCATTGATTTTGAATAGCCAAAGTCATTGAAGGAAGCAGGGAATCATCCCAGCCAGCCTTCCATAATTTATTTACAAGGTGGCTGGTTGAACCTTGAGAGAAATCTTCTTTTCAATGTGCATTGAATTTTTCTATTTGTGGTTGCTGAATTTCAGAGAGTAAACAAGTCAGAATGTGGTCATTAAATAATTTACATCAACTAATTCAAAACCCTCCTTGTGTTCCACCTGGTTCTCCACTAATTCATCAAGAGATTATTCCTAAAAAAATCAGTTTATAAATTTAAAATTGACGATCTTAATAACAGCAACTTAAGAGTGATCAGGTTCTTTTCAACCACTACCATTGTTATCGTGCAGCTGTTGCTGCACCTACTGTCACCATCATGCCACTGTCTATGTCATGTGTACACAGTGCCAAAAATATGATGCGCACAATTCAATAGGTTGATCGAACTTAGCTTGATCTCAAATGAGTGACCATGATTCTTGGACAAATGTGTACTCTCTCTCTCTCTCTCTCTCTCTCTTTCTCTCCATTGATCGATCTCCCTCTCTCTCTCCATCTCATGTGAGATTTCTCTCTTCTCTCTCTCTTTTCCTCCCTTTCTCCATCCCTTTCCTTTATTCTTCACACCTCACCCTTCTATTTTATTATTTTTGTTAAATATTAATAAAATATTTAAAATCACTATAAATATAAACTAAATTATTTTTTTATGATGGAGTAATCAATCTCCTTATGTTTGACCTGAGACTTACTTCTATACTAATATTTTATTAAGTTTTAATTATAAGTATTATTAGATAATGAGCATTTAAACACAATGACAAGTGCACATCACTACTGTCGCATCTTCTACATGCTCTCCTCTCTCTCTTTACATGCCATCCTCTATCGCACGCCGCCATCTACTATGCACTACCATCAACTGTGCTGCCAAAACCTGCTACTACATCGTGTGCAACCAGCACACTGATGCCTGCCCTACTACCACGGCCCCCTACTCTCGTGGCCCCCTGCCATCATGGCTCCCTATAGCCGCAGCCCCCCCTACCACCACAGCCCCCTACCATCATGAGCCCCTTTCCATCATAGTCCCTCCTACCTCTGCACCCCTCTACTGTCAGGGCCCATGCCGTCTCACCCCTTATCATTACAGCCCTTGCCATCACGTCATCTGTCACTACAGCCCCTCTCGCCATGGCCTTTGCCATCACAACATCTACCGCCACGGCCCCTCCCACTCTTGTAGTATCTACCGCCATAGTATCTTACAATATCTTGGCGTATCTCGTAGTGCTGCCACAATCTCTCGTGGTATATCACAATATCTTTTCATATCTCTTAACATCTCATAGTATATCACGGTATTATCTCTTGCTGTATTGGCTACTGCCACACTATCTTCTTGCCACATGCCATCTCTTGTTCTGTGTCATCCCTTGTTGCATGTTTGGTGTGTACTTGTCATTGCATTTAAATGCATATTATCTAATAATATTTATAACTAAGACTTAATAAAATATTAGTATAGAAGTAAGTCTTAGGTCAAACACATAGAGATTGATTAATCTGTCGTGAAAACTAATTTAATTTATACATAAAGTGATTTTAATATTTTATTAATATTGAATAGAAATAATAGAATAGAAGGGTGAGGTGAGAAGAATAAAAGAAGGGAAGTGGAGAAAACGAAGGATGAAAAGAGAGAAAGAAGATAGAACTCTCACGGTAGAGAGAAAGGATGAGATTACTCACAAAAGGAAGAGAAAAGAGGAGAGAAAACTCTCATGAGAGAGAGAAGGGATGAGATCTCTCACAAAAGGAAGAGAAAGATAGAGGAGGAGAGAAATCTCACGTGAGAGGGAAGGGATGGGATCATGACTTCTACATTTTTAAAACCTTGAGATGTAGATGATTCATGGCTATTAGAAGGTTGATTTCATGGGTTCATGATTGGTTGACTAGGAAGATGACCTGTTTCACATTTTGAGTGGGTCAAGACTAGTTTACCTATCTCTTTTTCTAACCTAAGGGTTGTTTGCTGATTTTCTTGTCTAATTTGGTCAATCATCTTCATCATAGATGTATTTGTTTCCTAAAATTGCTGCATCATTTGTCCCATAAATTGTTGCATCAAATTTGAATCTATATTAGATTGATTTTGATGAGTACCTTGCTAGAAATTATGAGTATTTTGCTGAAAAGAGGGCTTAGCATTATATTGTGGTTGATGAGGAGGTTTAAATGTATAATTAGGTCTAAGAAATGACTGAGAATTCATAGCATGATTTTGAAAATTTGAAAATTTGTTTTGATTTTTTCAAGGAAGATTTGACTGATTCCTATGATTATGAATGCATGTGCATGCAATTAAGACATTGAGACTCATAATGATCAGTCTTACCACATCATGAACATCTAGAATATGAATGTTGTGCAGGCTGTGTAGGTTCTTTTTTATGCAGCAAATGATCATATAAAATATTCAACTTTTGATGAACCTCACTAACTTCATTTCTAGTATCTAATACATCATTTCTAACCTCAAACATTTCTCTTTTATTTTCACTATTGTTGCAATCATATACAGCAAAGATTCACATTCAGCTGAATTCTCACTCAAATTTTCATATAATTTATAAATTTCGTCCTTATCCTTAGTCATGAATGTGCCTCCACATGTTGCATCTATAGTGTTCTTATGCTATTCAAATACACCATCATAAAATACATGATTTAATTGTCACTTGGTAATTCCATGATCTGGACATTTCCTTTGAAGCTCCTTGAATCTTTCTCAAGATTCATGGAATGTTTCTCTTGATTTTTAAGTAAATTAGAAAATGACTTTCCATATGGCATGAGTCTTGCCAATGGGATAGAATTTTCTCAAAAATGCTTGCTCTACTTTTAACCATGTGGTGATCTCATGTAGTAATGATGTGAGCCAATCTCTAGCTTTATCATGCAATAAATATGAGAAGAGATGTAACTTAAGTGCATCTTGAGGAATATTAGGAATATGAATAAGCTCACATGAAGCTAAATATCAAAGAATATGTTGATGTAGTTCCTCATTAGCTGATCCACAAAATTCAAGAAGTATTCGTAAAGTACTATGACGAATATCAGAATAGACATTTGACAAAATAGGAGGTCTAACTTACAAAGTAGGTCTATATAAATCAGGTGTATAATAATCATGCATAGGTTTATAAGGTTGAGTATTTTCAACATTCTCACTTTCTTGGGCTAGATCATCCATCTTAGGTGATTGTACTTCTATAGAAGATGAATTTTTTTTTCTATTGCTAGAGTCTCTAATATGGGTGGTAAATTTCATTTTTTTTGTGTCATCAAATTCTTAGATTGGTTGGTAGCTGGATTTTTTAAGATTGGTTGCAAGTTGAGTTTATAATTCATAAATCAGTTTTTCAGAATTTAAATCTAGCAATAATGATGACATAAAGATATGATTCTAATAAATATGTCAAAGAGGAGTATAGAATCAATGAAAAATTAAGATACTCAAGTAAATAAATAGAAACTAAAGATTTAAAATTC